TCCTTGTAAGAATAATCACGGCGAAAACACTGAAAAAACTGCCTGGCTATTCTGATTTTTAAATCAGAAAAGCAACATTAGCCAATTAGCACCTGCTCGCTATAGGTTCTTTTATCTGGTTTCAATTAATATGCATACGTTGGAAATAACAGGTCTATATATACCATGCGTGACGTGACAAAAAAAGAACTGAATTCAACGCCTTTATTTGAATAGACATGCACGATGTCGTTGACTTTTCGCTCCAAACATGGATACATTAGAAGAAATTTAGTACTGAAATAAGATCGATTCCTGAATTCGAAGCAGCTAAACTTTGCCTAAGTTGCGACGTTTACGCTAGCTGAACAACACTTTATTGGCCGAATGATAAGAAAGCTGCTGTCATTGCTATTGTTTGCGAGTCACAACCGGCGACAACATGAAGGTAAGAGAGCTATAATCTTGCCATAGTAACGCAAAACGCCAAGAAAAATACGTGTTCTCCATTGTTGTTTCTAGTCAGTGTCTACTGAGTGAGCCCACAAGACCAAGAAGCCATAGTGTAGTTTTGAAATTGTACTTCATAGTAAGGAATAATTTCAAGCCTTTGTGTAACAGACGCTATTTGAACATGCAATCAATTTTTTGCTTCCTGAATGAAATGGTTTCAGAAATACGTCATTGGCGTGCACAACCTAGATCAGTAAGGTACTGGAAAGTTTTTTATGTTGAGAAATAAACCCTTTTCGGCGTTATTTAGCTATCGTGTTCAGCCATACTTCATTTGCATAAACAATCACAGTTTCCCCGCCAATAAGACAAACATAATGCAGCAATTGTAATTGTGCGTGAATTTAAGGGGTAACACAACACTAGTTTGGCTCTATTAAATTTTAAATCTTGACATTTAAACACTGTACCAATATTGTATCTCCATGGACTTTAACCATTAAAGTCATTTCGCTAATATACTAAGCCCATTTTAATTCTGTGCAAGAAGGAATGCGGTATCTCAGGGTGCGTTTTTTTTGGGGGAATCCAAAAACGGATTTGTGATCTCCGATAATACGGATTTTTCACTACCAAAAAAACGATCAAAAAAAGGATCGTTTACCATGACAACGGCATGACCTCGCGCCGTGCTCCTCTTAGAAAAGAAAAAACAACAACAAACTGATCCTCACGGCGAAGACAAGAAGAAAAAGCAACGTAAGCGACGAATGAATTAGCCTGCGAAAACATCCGTTTCTCCTCGCTCTTCGCCGCTGGGGACGTTTCGCGCGGAGGAACGTCTGCGACTCAGCGACAGAAATTCCATACTGATGACGCAAATCAATGTTTACTTAATAAATCTGGTAGTCGTGGGGTTCCAAATGTAGATTTATTCAATTTTAGGTTTCTACTGATCGATTTTGGTAAAGTGTTGTGTTCATCTGCGAACGAGCTCCAGCAAAACTCAAATGCTTGTTGTAGAGAAGACTATATTCCACAAATATTGACTGTTTTGTTAGAGATTCATTGCGTTTACATTTGACCTTTGTGGCCTTTTGTCTTTTGTCTGTCATTCGTAAACAATGGCTAAAACAATGTAACTACTCCGTCGACCAATCAGGGCTTCTGACCGTATTCTGGACATATTTTACGTCATCAGTATGGAATTTCTGTCGCTGAGTCGCAGACGTTCCTCCTCGCGAAACGTCCCCAGCGGCGAAGAGCGAGGAGAAACGGATGTTTTCACAGGCTACGAATGAATGTACGAAATGCATATATTTCGGTTTGAAACACAAACTTTTCTTGAATAGACTACACTCCCTAGGATAGTAAAATTATAAGAATTTAAAACTGAAGCCGATGAATTGTTTTTTTTTTTCTTAATTACTTGGAAAATACAGCGGCGTGAGCAGACACTACATACGTACAAAAAACATGACAAGTACGGGTTTAAAAACAGTCAACCAATAATTTGAATAGATGACAAACATGGAATGATATGTCACTAATGGCTAAAAATTAATGAGGCGCCACCAACATAGGTTCAGTTACAATGTCATACATGTAAGGCATAGATCTGTTGCGTACCATTTTTTTTTCTTCCAAAAACCGCTTTTCAAAAATACTTTTTTCAAATCCTTTCCCAAAAAATGCTCAGTTTGTGAATCTCAAAAATCCGGATTTGGATTTGATACAAAGAATCCACCCTGAGTGTGGATTTTATGGATTCATGATCCGTTTTTGGATTCGGAAATCCGGATCTGGATTTTCCCAAAAAAACGCACCCACAGTTTCAATATACGAACATATTACTTTCATCATTCACGATCATTCAAATTTTTCTCCGTTTCTGATTGGCTTAAATACCACGGCTAATTTTTCATAACCAGCTATCGTTGACTAAATTTGGAAGAAGTTTACGATATATGGAAAATAACGTCAATAAAACGCCAGAAAAATGGACGGGCAAACGAGAAGCTCTTGGGAGGAGGTTGGTTGAGTTGTTTTGGTAGATCAGTAAAATATGGCGGAACAGTTTGCACGTTTCGTGAAGAAGAAATAGCCGAACTACACGAACTACCTAAAAAAAATAGCACCAGAGGTCATGGACATATGTTTGTGCATGTGTTCTAAAGGAAACCAACAAAAGTAGCTTCGACAGCTACAATGTCAGGAACAGTGTATGAATCGTATCCCATGTTACCTTTCGGGGTTATCGAGTGCACCTTTTTTTCCGGCAACTTTCTCCGCTGTATATATAGTTCCTGAACTTGCCGCAAAATGAAGGCAAAGGAAGACGGGAAATTGACATCGATCGAGGTAACCATATTTTAGCTTGCTTTAAAACTATATCGAAATTATCAATTTTGAATATATAATAAAACAGTTATTGGATTCGGCTTTCGTGTGATAAGAAGAATTTTGGAGATCCCAATCCTCGATCTCTATATATTGTTCAGATCATCCTCAGCTAAATATGTACAGATATTTATTCAGTCACGATTTTTTTCTCATAAGGCCGATCTGCGACAGCAACGTAAGACGGCTCGGGTGTTCTTCAGTTCACCATTCGGTGGACTGGAGGAGGAACGTGAGGAGTTAACCAAGAAGTACTGGCCTCGGTTGTCGTCAATTTGCAAGAGAGCTGGGTACGAATTTGTTCCGGTTGACATGAGATGGGGTATAACCTCGGAGATGTCATCAAATGCTGCCACTATTGAGATTTGTCTTCGAGAAATGGATCGGTCTGACATGATTGTGGGCTTCTTTGGACAGGTGAAATGCACCAGATGAGATCTTACACTGACATAAATTTAGGATGATCTTAGTGTGAACAAAAACAATGTTTAGCTTGTGATTCCAATAAGGGAACTTTGTCACATTGTAATTTGGTAAATCACAAAGATACATAAGCAACTAAGGAAATTTCAGATCTCTTCAAAAGAACTTTATTAAAACGACTGAAATAATCAAATGGAGAGTTTTCACTCACGTGGCCAGCATCTATGCAAATTTATGAGAACAAAAAAAATTTTACATACGAAAAGAGCCCAACTCCCAAAGGATTTGTTTGGAACACCAATATGGCCGCCGTTTCATTGTTTTGGAACACCAATATGGCCGCCGTGACGTCATGTGAAAACGCTATATAAAGATAAAAAAGGATTGTTTTTGCTTTCAAGTCCTGTCATTTGAAGTTAAATCGTCAAGACACATGACACATGATATCGTTTAGTCAAGAGATTTCATCAGAAAACTACTTTTTATTGCAAGATTTGTATGGGACCGTACAGTTTTAACACTGAACTTTTGTTGATAATTGTTGCGATAGGGCCCCTTTAACCCGAATCCATAATCATTTGAGGTAGAATGTAAATCCACATACAGCTTATAATTCTTTAAGTAATAACTAAAGACGGCCTTTTAAACCTATTTCAATGAACAACAACCCTTACCAAATCCAACACTGTTTTGAATGTATTTTTAAGCTATTTTTGAAAACTGTTTTTAACCTGTTTTGTGAAATAGGTTTTAAATAGGGTGAAAAGTGTATTTTTAATGTATTTTTCGACTGCTTTTAAAGGTGTTTTAACCTGTTTAAAACGCTATTAAAAAGAATTTTTAATGTATTTTTAAATTCGTTTAAAATATATAAAAAATTCCAGGGCTTTTGCAAGGCTCAAAACAGGTCTAAAATAGTTTTTAAATATCTTATAAATCGGAATAAAAACAGGATAAAAACAGTTTCAGAAACATATTTTAATTTGCTATACTATTTTAGAACTATTTTTAATGGCAATTTTAAACGTATTTTGAAAAAAACAGGTTTAAAATAGGTCCAAAAATATATTTTTAATATATTTTTCGACTGATTTTAAAGGTGTTTTAACCTGTTTAAAACGCTATTAAAATGTTATGCTTCAAAATATATTTTAATAGCTTTTTAATGGGTTTCGAAATGTAGTAAAATAATCGTATTTGCAAATACAATAAAAATACTTTGAAAATAGTAGTAAAATACCACAGAGGAAGAAAAGCAATAGCACGCGTATATTGTGAAAATACATCAAAAATAGGATGCAAAAATGCAAAAACAGTATAAAATTGTAAGAAAATAGCCTTAGAGTTGTCTGAAAACAGTACAAAAATCGGTCGAAAGAGCATAAAAACAGTACAAAAACAGGATGAAAATACCATTTAAATTCATGAAATAAAATGAATACAAAACCGTCGAAAATTACTCTGAAAAAGCAAGATTTACTTCTGCGAAATTTTTCCACACAGTCCTACGCTAGCATTTCACCGGAATTATCTCTTAGCCGATTACTTTACGTTGATTTCCCTACGAATTCTCGGGAAATTCTTATGGAATTTTTCAGAAATGCTGAAATCAATCTTTAGCCTGTGTACAAACCCCCTCCCCTCAATAAAAATCGGAGGGGAAGGGAGTCGGTACACAGGCTATCAATCTTCCGCTTCAAAAGAGTATTGCGTTACGTTACCGGTAAATAATAATCTACATACATGTAACTTACATTTTTTATTATATTCACGGCTTTACTCAATTATTATCAGAAGCTTGCAGGCTACGCCTGAACGTTTAATTATTGGCTGATAAAGAACAACATAAGAATAACATCATCAAATTTACACGAGCATGAAAGAGGTCGGTGACGTGACATCAAGTGACTGAGAACAGCGAGGCTGAGCATGGAACGCTGTAAAAACTAAAATTGCCGTACAGGCGGGAGTATATAAATGTTTACTACCCTTCATTTGTCTCTCATATGGCGTATACTTAAGCGTCTTAGTAACATGTTATGCATATATTGTGTATAATACTCACATAACAGAAGACTCTTGGATTAACACTGTCACAAGACAGCACAAGACCGCGTGCTTCGGAGAGAAACTGAACCAGATCCTTTCAAAGTACATAACAGTCGCTGAGGAGTCATACCCATTTTTGATCCGTGATAAATGCAACATCTACGTGTTCAGACAATCCGCAGAGTTGAAATGTATACTTTTGTAAGATCGTAACAAACAGTAAAATCAAGCGTACCCGCCATCAGAGCAACCGCCGCTAGAATAATTTGAAATGAGCAAAGGACAAAGGACGGTTTGTTTATCACGTGCATTTGTCACATCACCGCGGCGCGAAGTCGTGATTTCAGTCGCGCGTGACATCTTAGAAATAATATGCCATGCATGTGCGGAATAATCTATGAGTGAAAGATAACCATATGTCGGAGTTTATTCATATCTGAGCTTTGTTTCTTGATGCAATATATGTGAGGTGAGATCTTAGCTTGGATAATTTATTTATTATGTAATTTCAAGGGCTTATTTTAGATAAACCTCTGTTGACCGCGTGCATCCGGTTCTCAGCCCGCGGCTTCGGCTGTTTGTGAAAAAATTTCTATATGAAATTAAAATGCGATTTTAAGAAGTTTCTTTTAAAAAACTTATGAAAAGTCCCTTAACTGCATTAATTGAATCACGGCTAAAATCTACGCGGAGATTTTCGCAGAGAGCTTGCTGGTAATGAACAGTGAGGAACGGATAGATCTTTTATCGGAACACTGTCACAGTTACGTGTTGTCAGTCAAAGCTAAAACCTATTCCTAATTTTCTTCTCTTTTTTTATTTAATTTAGATTTAATTAATTAATTGATTAATTTCATTTAGAACTTTGTTGGGAGGAGAATCCGGTCCACAGTATGTGACAGCTTGTTTTGAGTCATTTATGAGTTCGTGACACGATGAAGGCTTAAAAATTAACTTTGTGCAATTGTCACTTTTATTTATAGTCTGAGTATAAGTCTCCCAAAAGACATTACAGTATTGCACCCTAGTAATAATAAGTTATAAGTACACTACTTTAAAGTATTTACAATAAGGTAAGCATTTGATGACTTTAAGCAGACTTCAAATAGTTTATGGATACCGTAATGTGTTTTTATAGTCAGAGTGCTGTGTGCCTAAAATACAATTCAAATAGACCTCAAAACAGTGTTTAAGTACCCTATTTAAAAGTATTTAAAATGCGGTCAGTTCTTAAGGTTTTAAAACATATTTCAAATAGTCTATTTGAACTCTGTTTGTAACTTTGTCAGTGGATGCGTCTCAAAATACATTTTAGATACAACTCAAAACAGTGTTAAAGTACCCTATTTAAAAGGATTTAAAATACGGTCAGCATTTAGGCTCTTAAAACATATTTCAAATAGTCTATTTGAACTATGTTTATAACTTTGTCAGTGGATGCGTCTCAAAATACATTTTAGATACAACTCAAAACAGTGTTAAAGTACCCTATTTAAAAGGATTTAAAATACGGTCAGCATTTAGGCTCTTAAAACATATTTCAAATAGTCTATTTGAACTATGTTTATAACTTTGTCAGTGGATGCGTCTCAAAATACATTTTAGATACAACCCAAAACAGAGTTAAAGTACCCTTTTTAAAAGTATCTTATAATTACAGTCAGCATAAAAGCCCTTAAAACATATTTCAAATAGTCTATTTGAACTCTGTTTGTAACAGTGTTAGTGGTTCCATGCCCAAAATACATTTTAAATACTCTATTTTAATCATATTTATTAAACAAAATACATTGTAAATTGATGAGAGAGGTTTTCCTTTACATGAAATACAATTTAACTACACTCAAGATATATTTCAAACAGTGGCGAAAAGTTAAATTCTTTTGTCAAATAGTATTAAAATACAGGAAAATAGTGTTCAAATACTGAAAATACATTTTAAATACTTTAAAATCAGTTTCAAAATACATATGGTTTGGTAAGGGAACCTATCTGTCTTTTTTCTGGGATTATTTGTCACGAATGGGCAGCTAGACCCGTTGTACATCTCACTTATGTCCAAAAATGCATGCTGTTACGAAAATGACGAATCTGCCCAAAAATTTGCCTAGGGTTTGGCGAGTCAGATGCTATGTCAAGAGCTGCCCCTTGTAAAGTAACATTATTCGAAGAAAATGGCGAATTTGGCGAAAATTTGTCACCGGTTTGACAAAAATTCAAATGGGTTATCAAGAGGCGCCTCTGGATGAATTTGCCCGAAATTCGCCGTTTTTATTGTTGCGTGTATTTCTGGACAATTTGTTTTGCATCTGACGTAAAAAGTAAGAGCAGTACCGAGAGTAAAACTGAAGACAACAATGACAATAATATTTAATGACATTATTTTGTTCAGCGCTATGGGTGGCATGGATTCGATGCCCTTTTGCAAAAGAGTTTCGATGTTGCGGCAATGAAATATCCTTGGCTTAACGATTACCGAGAGAAAGCTGTGACTGAGCTGGAATTCCTACACGGACATCTAAGAGACCCTGGAAAGAGAGCTGCCTGTTTCTTCTTCCGCGATAAGGTAATAGACAGTATTTTTAACTTCCTTTCAACCAGCCTTTATAACATTTCTCAGGGCCTGTTTACGCGATCTGAACGCAAAAATTCTGATTTCATGATAACCGAGCCAGCTCGGTTAGCTAGAATCCCGGTATTGTGATGATGGGATCCCGACTAACCGGACTGGAAATTGGCCATGTAATCAGACTTTCCGGACCAACCCCGCGAATCAAACTAGCAGCAGGACAGCCGGTAATACACTGCTCATCCGCAATGATTCCATTGTAGTTGCTCTGCTCCGGATTGGGCCGTTTCATGTAATACCGAGATAAAAGACTAAGTCACCTGCAGCGGGCACAGTTAGCCAGCCCGGCTCATCTAATCAGGCCCTTGATACGATGAGAAGTAGTTTCTACTCCATTAGGGATGCTTCTCATTAACATCTGGACGTGGGCATTTCGTTATGTGATTACGTGAACAACTTATCACATCGTAAGCCTGTATCATCTTTTTATCATCTCTTTCTTTTTTTTTTCGTCGCCGGCACCAGTCATCCTTATTGAAAGACGTCCGTGTAAAGAATACCATTGTTCATGCAGACCACTTACTTTTAAAACTGACATTGCAGTCTTACGATGACACGAAACTGAAGTTTGCTGAACAGGCGGGGGATGAAAGACAGGCACGTAAATTCCGTTCTTCAACAGATGGTCCTAAAGCTGCGGAGTACTTGGCAAACTTGAAAGAAAGAGTGTACAAAACACAAGACAAGGTATGTGCCAGGTCGAAACACTATTCTGAAGGGTCTAGGTCATGTCTCCGATAGACAGGTTGTTAATAGCGCAGGTCTAATGTAACCCCTAAGCCTGCAAAAATCCCGATAAAACATGGAACGGCCATTAAAGACAAGAAAAGCCTAGTGTCAAAAGATCCCCTTTCCTTCAGTCTTTAGCAACAGAATGAGGTCTGGGCACGATCTTTGCTGGTCGTATATGACCTAGGCTCGGTCTTATACCGTAATCTTCATGGAACGTTTGTACTTCAGGCAAATTCACCCGGTATCCAATTCACACATGTGAGGATAAGTGCACTGTGAAGTTACGTTGGTCTAAGGAATAAACGCATGGGAAGGGAAAAGGACAAACCGACCACTAATTGGCAACGAAACGACCGACCCAATGACAGAAAACCAGAAAAATACGCTTTTTATTATGCTCTAAACTGGAAAAAATACTAATGTGTAAGTCATATGGGGGAAAAAAAGTGTATCACGTCCACTGAAGCAATTTCTAAAAAAATCCTAGTTCAAATGAGAAAAATTGAAAACATATATAATCATTCCTGTTCCTAGTGTTTAGCTGTGCACATGAATTACAAAACTCCACAAGAAGGAGCGAGGCTAATGTACGAAACGATAGAGAAGTACTTACGAGAAGTTTTTTTAGCACGCCCTGTGAAAATATTGTCTCCTTTGGAGGAGGAACGTTCTCTCCATGACGTTTTTATGGTCAGCAGACTCGGCATGGGTGGCGTTTATGTTGGTGGAGAAAGCTACATGAATCAAATTGACAACCATGTCAAGTCTCAGAGCGATGAGGATAGTCCTAAACATCTCGTGGTTATTGGGGAAGCTGGTAAGATAGTACTTCATCACATAGAATGTACCAGTATCCTGCCCGGGATAATATGCGGCTCCTAAAACCTCCAATATCGTTGGTTCTCCATAACACGCAGCTCCATTGTTTCAGGGATATAGAATCATTGTTATATTTGTATGTCTTTTGTTTTCACAGCCAATCCTGTGAGGCCTTTTAAAGAGCTGCGTTCCGCCCACCAGTATACAACCTCAGTCACCTCGGCACTGACTAGCTGCGAAGTAGTTTCTAATAACGCTCATCACAAACGTGTGATTACAATAAAAAATAAACGAGTATTTAGAAATGATGCTCTTGATATGTGTGGATACTTGACTAAGGGCGCTTTCCATTTGTCAGAACTGGCCGGCCGGACCATTGGCGGACCAGTCATTTTAACTACGAAATCGGCTTTTTCCGAGGGTTTTTGCTGAAAAATTATCTCCTTGCTGCACACTGTTTAGGATTTGACTGATCTGGATGGATAGTTTTGATTAATAGTGAAATTCTCATTACGACGGGAATGGTCTGGCCGGTCAGTTCTGACAAATGGAAAGCGCCCTAAGTGTTGTTGTTGTTGTTGTTGTTGTTGTTGTTACATATCATTTATTTCATTTTGTTTAAGACGCGTATTAATCACTCTGGACTGCATTTTACCACAAAACCGATCGACGCGACGTTTGTAAAACATGCTTCAAGGAGATTTTGGACATTTTTCTTCTTCGGTTAATTGTTGGATGGTCATTAACAAAATTGGTTGCCATTATTTTTTGTGTCATGTAAGAGTATTATTTACAATAATATTTACAGGTTCTGGAAAGTCCTGCTTGCTTGGTAACTGGTCGTTACATCATCAGGAGAAATTCCCAAAAGATGCAGTGGTATATCATTTTGCAGGCTGCACAAGTGGAAGCACTGGTGACAATACATTCCATTGCCTATTCTGACTTACGTTCCTAACACTGACATGACGAAGGGATTTCTGTTTGATGAATCGAAAATGACGGAAGTGAACACAATGTTAATGAAAATTTCAGATTTGCTTGTGCTGCGCCATTTGTAATAGCAGAGAAAGGGAGATCCCCGTTTAAAAACATTTAAAACAAAAACAAATAGATACATGTGAGATATCGTTTAAAAGCAGTGAACATGAAAGTAGAAACACCTGTCTAATAATCCAGTGGCTTACCGCTTGCTTTTCGGACTGACAAGATTGTCCTCATCGTGCCTGTCCCAAAAATGGGCGTTTTTCTATTTATTTCAGGAGTAGTTTTCATAGCGTCTGAAGTTGGATACAACATCTTTATGAATAAAACAATTTTTTGAAAAATAATTCTTTCATAGTAATTGTCCATTTCTGATCGATAACCTGCTCACGTTTACTATATTTAGTAGAATTGGATTAGTTCTCTATTGGACTTTAATTCAGATCAATATTAAAACAGTAGGAAATTAATGGACGATTAACGTCATGCATAAACAAGGAGGCGCGACTAGCCATTTTGACGCTCTAGAACTGATTAAAATGGCAGAGATTATCACACGATATGCGAAAACCAAATTGCCGAACTGCTGAGTAAAAAACAAAAACAATGTTTTATTTTCTAGTGAGATATTAAAGGGTGTTATCCACCAAAAATAGCACCCTCCTCTATCAGCATAATTCTTCATACTACATTCAGCCTTACCCTACAATTGTTGCTTATGGATTTGTATTTGATTGTTTGATCATGCTCTTGTAGCTGGTACCATTGTTATGCTTACTTTGTGTTAAGACAAACAACTTTGAAATTTTTCCAGTACCTCGAAAGATATTAAAACGACTGCTTGAGGAACTTCGTTGCCTGCTAAAGGAAAAAACGGGTGAAGAAAAACAAACAGTAGAGTCAGACAGTGTTCGCGATCTGGTTCGAGAACTGACAGGCACAGCGAAGAGGATCACCGACGCAGGACGTCGCACCGTCATTATTATTGATGCTTTGAATAAAGTCGACGAAGCTGGACAAACAACAAAGGTGAATGATGTTTGATAGCAAAATACCCTGCTCTATGACGCCGCAGTATAAGCTCATTTGGTAGACGTACATTGCAGGTCCTCAGAACGGTACATCACCGAGGTTTGGATCCCTTGGGCTGGGCAAACTCTCAGGGCTTAATATTAACGGAGGAAGAAGTCCCCTAAAGTAGGAGACGTTGAAAACGTTTCTTCGACTATAATACGAATTGCAATATACAGTAGGGACCTTACAAAACTACAACGGCGACGGCAACGGCAACGTCAAAAAGCAATGGGTTTAGTTAGTAAAACAACAGCTCTGCACGTGTATCATACCTGCATGACTACGACGTGAAATAACCAAATTTTAACTTTTTTTGAGTACGGGAACGGCAAGGCATTAAATCAGTGTCTGAACGGCCCCCTCTCTTCAGCTCCAAGATAAATTTCCTTCTTTTAAGTCTGACTGGGCGACTTGGAATAATCGCGAAAGGGTTTGAAAGGATGCGGAGTCTATTTTTCAGCAAGGTTTTCATGGACGTCGCCTTTGTCGGATCGTAAGGTCCCTAGTAACAGTTCAGTAACGTCACCTCCATGACTTCATTGCATTATAGAGTGAAGAGTGTCATCGGGGTAAAAAATTTGCCTCGTCAAAGAAGCACTAGATGGCCTACTATCTTCCTTCTTTGTTCTTTGTTCTTTGATTGTGAATTACTCATTGACATTGCCACATGCTTGAATTTATTTACAATATAGGTTCCTTCTTCCTCGCAGACTTTGTTTTGGTTACCAAGGAAACTGCCTCGCGCAGTGCATCTTATAGTGTCCGTAAATGCCTCTGACCTAAACAAAGTGACAGAATTGACTGAGGAAAGAGGCTACTCGGCTATCCACATTTCTCCACTGAATGCAGCAGAAAGAGAAGAAATTGCTTTGGTAAGACAGTTCGGTTTTTGTTATTTTGTTGTATTATAGATATCTGGTCACCCTGATACTTCTTTCTGTAAAATGTCTGTTGAAGAAGCAAAAAAAATAATGGATAATTAAAGTTCGAGAAAGGCAAAACATTTCGATACGAGAATTTTATCACTTAATTCGAAATTAACGTGACGATAAGTTAAATTGATTGTTTAACCTGAAAGAAGCCCTGGTTGTATGTTCAGAGAAGGTCTTTTGTCCCTAATGACGAACATTGCGTACATCAGACAATCAAACTTGCTTGAGCATTTTCTTGAGACAAGGTTATTGTTCAGATCATTCTACCATGAGCTTAAATATCGGCCAAAACTTAAGGCTTTGGTTCTTCTATTCTATTATGGAGATGACGTGTGGTCGATATACAGCTATTTCGAGAAAGGTTGTCGGAAAAAATGTGCACGCGACAATCCCGAAAGGAAATATGGGATATAATCAATACACTGTTCCTGACAACTGTAGCTGTCGAACCTTCTTTTGTTGCTTTCCTTTAGCACTCGCAAACACATTTCCATGGCCTGTCGTTCCAATTCTTTCAAATTTCTTTGAAAAACAGAGAACTCAAAACCATCCACAATGCCTTTCGAGATTGTCGCGTGAACTTTTTCTGACAACCTTTCTCGAAATAGCTGTATATAGCTTGCACCACACAAGTGACTATGGAAATCATACACGTAGACTATACACTGCTGGTCAACTGCAGATTGTATATCACGCATTAGCATTTTTTCCCACGAAACGAACTTCGTAAAATTTCATTTGTGTCACTAAACCATTACTTTACATGAACTTAGTAACTCCCTTAAGTTGCTTTTATCAAAAGTTTATTCCAAATTTATTTGTCAGAAAGCTAAGGACACCTAAATTCTCACTTTCTAAAACAGAGACGGAAATAGGTATCAGAAAATCTGTCGTTTTCAGAAATTCTTAAGAATGTTTAACAATTATTCCTCGAGCCCGAATGGGCTCTGAGTCAATAGCCCATGTACTGAGGCCGAAGGCCGAATAGGCTATTGACTCAGAGGCCATGAAGGCGAGAGGAATAATTGTTTTAGTAAAATCCAGCTAGTTGGCCAAAAATATCGAGGCAAAACAACTTTAGCTAGCAAAACTCGATTCCGCCGCCATTGATCTGGTTTTCAAAGCCGGCGCTTTTCGCCACCAGTGGGCTATAACATATAGCAGAGTAGTAGCTTAACCAATCAGAACGCAGCATTGATAATAGACCACTAGTTGGATTTTACTAAAGAGAGACTCGAAAAGGCTAAAGTTACCATAGGATGATCAATTCTACAAAATGCGAATTGCTCTACAAGTTTTTGAAGCATCGGGTATAATAACATCAAAAGTAGGAAACAACGCAAAATTACTGTTTGTGATAATTCAACATAGGCGACACTGAAGGTTCGTGGAAAGGCTTTATCATCAGAACAGAAATTAAAGGTTGTATCCAAAGCGCAGACGGAAAATCCTCTGTATCTTAAGACGTTACTGGAGGTAAGAAAGTTATTATTCACGTTTTCTTATTATTAAGAGATGAACAATAATAATAGTAATAATTATAATTTGTATGTGTAATCAAATGGTGACGAGTGAAATTAGGGAATAATTTAAAAATATCTTAAGACATTTTTAATAAACTTTTATTATAGGCCCTTGAACGAGATGATGATGGGACAAGGAATGTTTGCCCTGAGGTTTCCTGAGCGAATTAAGTGTTTTTTTTTTTTACTAACCGTTATCTCAATGAAAGCCCAGTATAATCAAGCAAAGAGGCAAAGTTATCGTTTTCCAATAAAACACAAAAACACCTAGCTAACAACCCAGTCGTTCAAGAACAGTTTATCTCAATACACCTCTACCTAAGTATACAAGCAGAATTATCTGTGTTCCAAAATGTAACGCTCGTAAACCCATTATCACTGACTTAATGCTAAGAGAGAAAGAAATCGCTCTCCTGCCCCTTACATTATGTTCGTATAGAGAGAGCGTGAGATCAATGTGAAATGACAAATATCTGTTATGTATTCCCTTATTGCTGCATTTATTCATTTAGTATTTAGTGCTGACATGCGTATACTTCTTCTTATCGTTATTTATAGGAACTATGCAGCTTTGGGGAATTTTTCCAGCTAGAAGCCTACCTTGATGGTCTCCTTGAGAGCCAAGAGTAAGACCCTTTAGTTTTCGATCTTCTTTTTGGTGTTACGGTAGCAGCCTAAGCCATGGACGCACACTTAAAACCTTAAGAAAAAACAAACAAATTGTTTTCCTTTCTCTTTCAGCACAAAAGAACTGTTTCTTAAATTTCTTAAGCGGCTGGAAGAGGATTACAACCCCAAAGAATACGAAGGAAATTTGATAAAAGATGTAAGTAAAAATCGAGAAGAATTCGTCTCCTGCAATTTTTCAACTTAAAGTGTCTTGGTTTAATTCCACTTTTCTTATTACAGGTCATGTGTTGTATTTTCGTTGCTCGACAAGGTCTTTCTGAGACAGAGCTGAAGGCCATTCTCAAAATCACTGATCAAATATGGTCTGTTCTCTACTTTGCGATTGAAGAATTTCTTTTGGAGCGATCAAGCCTTTACGGGTAAAACGAACGCTTTTAGCAACTTGATAATTCATTTAACTACTTTTCAGTACAGCAAGACGATTTTCCTGCAGTTAAATGGAGCTAAAGGGATACTGAAGCTCGTTACCCAAACTACAAAAACAGGTGACAATTAGGCCAAAGAGCGGCTTAAAAATTGGCGTTTTCTTGATGAGACTAGTTCTCTTAAATAAAAATAGCTTAAAGATTAAAGGTAGAAGCGCGCGAGGCAGTTGCCTTGTTAAGGCTTTGAGACAGTCGTGTGTCAGTGTTACCTTTTTTTTTGTTGTATCCAACTTAACTGTAAGGATTTTCTTTATTTGTGCCAGTTTGAAATATTTTGAAATAATTCTTAGTTCAAAACCTACATGTTAAGTGGGCTCCCAAATCCTTGTACAATTATCAATTATCTCCGGCTTCCAAGTGGAGTTGAACTGATAGTTGTGTATATTAACCCCTTTCACCGACACTGTTTGTTTTAGTATATACCACGCAAGCTGATTAACGAGCGGACCAAAAAATTACTTCATTTTTATCAACTGCTCGGAAATTTTAAAATTTCGCGCGCCGGGTAATGGGAACATTAACGCTCACAGTCACAAGGTACTTAAGGTGATCAAATTAAGTCCAGAGTCGTGAAAGAAACGAGCGACTTCTTCAAACGTTTGACAATCTTCCTTTATGTGGAAGTCCAATGCTTTTGGATCTGAAAAAGTAATTACCGACGAAAAAAAAGGCCTGCTTTAGGTCTTAATTTTTTTTCTTCGGCTGCTCGGAGGCGAATATCCAGCCGTTTGGCTAATAACCCCCGAGTAAGCCAATCAGCGTGTGCGAAAAGTAATATAAGTAGTAACGATTTGATGTAGCAGATCTACTAAGCGGCTCTTTGTCTACCATTCCTAGTCGAATTGGAATTTGTAACTGTTGGTTTTTGAGAAGAGGTTAAAACCTGAATACCCGGAGAAAAACCTCCCGGAGCAAATAAGAAAACTAACAACAAACTCAACCCACCTCTGTGCCACCCTTGCTCCCTGTTTGCAAGAGTTGCTTGAGAACAGTCTAAAGCATAGTGTGAAAATACTGGGTCTTTAAAACTTACCTTGCTTTGTTTGTTTGTTGTTTAGATTTTCGTATGATGAACTGTCTGCCGCAGTAAAAGAGAGATACTGTGAGGATGAATCCACTATCAAGCACTACCTCATGCTTCTAATAGAATATTTTGACGCGATCCTGAAGGTAAACTTGACCTTTTTAAATAGCGATAGTTTGTTTTTAGTCATATTTAGCATTGCAACTTCCTCTTAGAAGCTCTGACTTCAAGGTAGAATTATACCGGAAAATAAGCGATTTTTTGTTTATTTTGTGGCTAAACATTAGACCATCCATCTTCCACTGGCGAGGCGCGGTACCACATTGAAGTAAGAAGTCACATTTCACAGGCGCCGAATCTAATGCAAATGATTTTCCTCATAAGCATCATTTCGCCACATGTGAAGTAAAACGTGTAAACCGAGCCCTATCCGTACAGCTTGTGTGTCGTTGGTAGTTTTACATACATCCTGAAATGTGGCTCTGCTGATTTTCTGACAGAAGAGAAGTGCCGAGTACTACACGGAAATCCCCGAACGAGTAAAAATGGAGTTACCATGGCTTTTGGTCAAAGCTGGGGAAAAGGATCGACTTATCAAGTGTCTTACAACTGCTTCAATATTCTGGTCACTAAACAGGTTTATATATGCCTTTGGTATTTTGCTACTGTACGCATCGACCCTCTTCACCCCACAAAAAACGCTGGGAGACGGAGAGCTTTGTTAGTTAGTCGATATATTAAGGTATAATTGTTAATGGTTGCTATTGGTAACCATTGCCAATTAACAGCGAAAAAGTAGCGCTCAAATCATAGTGCCCAAGCCTCTTGGTCAAAAGTCACATCATTGTCGCAACATTTGCTTAGGGAACAGATAATTGGCAATTATTTAATAAGGCTTTTGTGTGTTATGAAGAATTTAGAAGATCTCGGTGGATGGTATCTTCGCATTCGAATAAACAACCTAAGAGGATCTACAGGAACCTGAAAAATTCAAGCCTGACCTTCGCAATGATTTTTCAGTGGCAGGAAAGCTATCGGATATTCGACGATCCACGATCAAGATCGATGGGGCGCAGCTTCGCCCTTCACCGAAAACACTCAGAGGGTTCTCAGAGATCAACGCAAACAAAAGCTTCATTCGATATGGTTATTGTTTCTGCGCAAGAGTCAGCTGATTTAGCAAATGATCGGAGACGTCAGTTGACGACGGCGAGGGCAAATCGAACAACTGGGTTGACCAATGTCAGAGCGGCAAATTGGGTACCAGAAGTCGAGTTTAGCCCTTTCTGCGCGCTTTCCCGTCGTCAAATGACGTTCCCGTTCTTTTGCTAAATCAGCCTAGTATCTGATGTAGCGTCGACATACCCTTTATAGCTCAAATACATACAATTAAATAGAAGGACCTTAGGTCGACCCCATTTTCCCAATTTTCCCTTTTTATCATTTAACGCTTGTCAAAAAATACGTGTACAGCACAGAATACAACATCGACAACAAATGAAAAAATTGCATTTTTCTGAGTCATATAAATCCTTCTTTATCTCTTCCCACTGAAATTATGTACAAAAAGTGTGAACTTTCCACACTTGTTTTCATCAATTTTTAATTCAAAGCGTGAGTTGGAATCTATGGCTTATTTGCTCTCTCAATTTGCCCCTCAGGGATGAGAACAAGTACGACTTGATAAATTACTGGAATTGTACTGGCTTCACTGGGGACGAAATAAATAATTTCTACAAGACGACTGTTGATGATCAGCTTGCCGTCCTACATTTCAAAGAGCAAGAGAAATGTGGAGAACCAATCAACGCCCTAAAAATGGTAGGGGATTTTTTATTCAGCAAAGTAAAATCCTCTCTCCGTAGTAATGGTAACTTTGATCTGATTTGGGAAACCGGTTTTAAGCTTTGTGTCCTGAACTAAGCGTTTATCGAAAGGACTTTATCAACAGGAATGAAATTTCAATGTTTAACGGTTAATTTTCCTTCACCCTTCGCACCTCTAAACAATTTTCAATTTGTTTGCCAGAAACAAATTGAAATGTCAGTCTCTTGAAAGTGGAAGGGGGAGGGCTAGCTGAATAACACAAAACTGTTGCGTAATACCGCGTGCTCTAAAACGTTTGGCTAAAAATGACGCCTCTTACCAGTCAACACACTGTTTTTTTGTTTGTTTGTTTTTTTGCAGTTGTTGTTGTTGTTGTTTTTTAGTTTAAACGAAATGTTATTTTCCACCTTTTGCAGCTTTTCCCTTTTGTTTATGGTATATCCCAGTTTCAGTCAGGAGCTGGACATGTGACAGCAGTTGAAGCATTCCTTCAGAGAGCTGTTGACTTACTAGTAAGCCAAAGGCAACAATGGGGCGGTTAGTTACAAAGGGCCGGTTATTTGAATTTAGTAACAATTATTCCTCGAGCCCTAATGGGCTCTGAGTCAATAGCCCATGAGACCGAACTGAAGGCAGAATGGGCTATTGACTCAGGGGCCATGAGGGAGAGAGGACTAATTGTTTTAGTAAAATCCAACTAGTTGATCAAAAATATCCAGACAAAACATCTTTAGCTAGGAAAACGCGATTCAGCCACCATTGTTTTGGTTTTCAAAGCCGGCGCTTTTCGCAGCTGGTGGGCTGTAACATATAGCCTAGTAGTAGCTCAGCCATTCAGAACGCAGCATTACTGATAGACCACTAGATGGATTTTACTAACAGAGTTTAGCCGTTGTTTAATAAAACCGCGTTGTAACCCACTAAGGAAGAGACCTGGAGGTCCAAAGATTTGTTAAACCGCGGCTTAAGTTAGACTTCGTTTAAACAACCGACCCATAGAATTTAAACGGTGTGTGTCAAAACCTTGTTATCTACTTGAGATAAGACACTTGTACCGGCAGGGCAGAAATTTTGAGTGCATGGCAATGATTTTCTTTCACCTCGCTGTAAGATAGACGTTGTTTTAACTGACTCATTGAGGCGGTGGCGGTATATTTGGGTTCATTGTATCCTCCCTCGTACTCTGTGAATAATTTTGCTTGCTCTATTTCGCAGTTCTAGTTTCTAAAACTAGCTGTGTTCGCAACAGTAATATATCCATCAAAGTCAATTTGCTCACATATGCCTTATGTGGCTTTAGAGAATGCCAGTATAAATAATGCTTATTCAAACCTAGCCAAATGCCTTATTCTTTTTTTAATTGTGTATGTTAATGGTGAATAAAATAATATATAGTAAAAGAAACTTGATTATTTTTAATCGCGTTATAAACGAATGTTATATTTTGCTTCTTTTGTAGAAGACAGCACATTCAGAAGAAGAAATCCATTCTAATTATGTGGTCGCTGAACAATACTGCAATATGGTGAATTCACTGGCATGTTTGTTTGTGGATACAGAGCAGTTTGATAAGGCCGAGCCACTCCACTTGGAAGTTCTCAAGCTAAGAGAAAAGTTAATACCTTAGTATTTTTTGCTCGTTAAGACCAGTGGCGGATCCAGGGAAGGATTAGACCAAACTGGGGCCCAAAGGGCAAAAAAAAAAAACTTTTTGAGACCGCCGCCTCCCGCCCCCCTTATCTCAGGGTCTGGATGACCGCCTCCCTCCCCCCCACCCTCCCCCCTCCCTTACCCTTTATCTGAAGGTCTGGATCCGCCACTGAAGACTTCTGTCAAGTCCAGGAAATCATTATTAATAGTCTTGGAGCCTTTTTCAAGACGATTGATGATGTGAATTCAAATGCAAAGGAAATTGCTCTACCAACTACTATTAACGTTAACCTGCATGGAAACATTTACTCTGCCGGCACTAGCTTTTTTGATAAAAACAACTTCTTGTTGTTTCTATTCACTAAATCAGATTCGCTGATAAGTGGGACAATGGCTGGTCGAGTGTTGCCACTTCATTTCATGGTCTGGGAGTACTGTATTACAAGACAAACAGGCTTGACGAGGTAAGACATGTTTGTAGTTTTTAATTGTCATTATTTTTTTGTGACCTTTTCTATTAACAAATTGCCATTACTGGAAAATTTTCCGAAACGCCAAGTTACTGAACTGGTTGATTTCTTTGAAATGTGTCGTGAAGACGGTTTGACGAATAACCAATGTCAACGTTGCTCGGCCATTGTGGGGGTTTGTCAAGCTTCTGTTGTCTCATTAATTCGTGTCGCAGATATGGCTATTTGAATTTTGTTGGCATCCACCATTTTGATTTTTGTTTTACCGTGGACACTACAATGTTCCGCAAGAGTGTCCGCTTAAACCATGATTGACTATACCCGAAGTTTACTTTTATCCGGATGCTCTTTCTTAGGCGTTAACCTATTACAACAGATGTCTTGAGCTTCATCGAAAAACTTTGCCAACGACGGACAGTTTAATTCCGACTACCCTCAACAACATAGGTGTTGTATATAAGTCCATGGCGCGCTGGGAAGAATGCGCTAAAGTGCTTGAAGAAGCATTACAGGTGACGTACACTTACTTACAATAAACCTACAAAGATAAAAGTACATTTGCTTGGAAACAGGGAGGGCTTTTAAAACAGCAGGATTTTACTGTACGATGATTCACAAAGGCCCATGTAGCCGTAAAAGCTATTTTCATAAATGCCTTTTAGCTACCTGCATTTATAAATTTCTTTGGATGGTATTGTCTTGCTACACTCTGCTTCTTTATTATGTAGGAGGGTAGTCCCAGATGCCAAAGGCCATTTAGCGCTTTATACATCGTTACTGCCTTAGTTTATGTTTTTAGCTAGATCTAAGTCATAATGTTTCACGTATTCTACACTGTGACGTCAATTGGCTAATTCTCTCAGTGTTTTAATCAACTTGGAAAGATAAAAAGAAATCTTGAACATATTTCCCTCACTTGGATTTGAAACCAGACCTTAATTGCGAACCATGTTGAGAGCTGTTCAATTGCTTGATTAACTCAACTAGTTAGAGCGTTGGGTTCGGTGATCAAAAAGGTCGGGGCCAGGAGCGCTCCTGTCGGGGCTCAAATCCCGGTTAACTATGAGTTTCTTCAAGTTCTTTTTAAGAAATGAAAATGAGATGAAAACAATGCCAAGATTACAAGCACAGCCACAATTCCTTTCGTAGGTGCAGTTAATAATAATTTGTTTTAACTTCACATATATAGCTCTATGAGGATGCTTACTTTGGTCAACTTCCTCCTGATGTTGGTGGAACCCTCCTTAACCTCGGAATGGCTTACTTCAGGCTCTACGACGCTAACAAAGCAGAACCATTGTATCTGAAGTAAGTGTTAAAGCGGACTAGACCGGTTTGATATTTGAATATGATCTCGGTGACATAAATTTATTTAACAGCTTTTCGGATAGTTGCAGAAGAAAATTTAAAGGAATGAGCCGTTACTGTTGCACTTAGCAAATTCTATTGTGTGTGAGTGCTAGGCTAAAGGACTGCATCCCAGAAGGGGATTTTTGTCTCTTACAACTGGCCAACTTTATTACTACACAGGAAAAATGTGAGTTTACGGTCGTGTTTCTGGAATGTAGCTTGCGATTCCCCATGTAATTTATTGTAACGAGTCCTTTTTATTTACAAACTTCTACCCATTAACTCTTTCAGTGAACTTTTTCATATTATTTTTTCTCATTTGAAGTAATAATGAAAGGGTTTTTCACGCTGCAGAGCATTAGACATTCGTACCAAAGCATATGGCTCAGATCACCATGATGTTGGACAGACATTGCTCAATTACTCCGGCTTTTTGCTCTCAGTCGATGCTTCCAAATCAGCCGACGCTGCTATGAAAGCAGCAGAAATTTTAGAGGTACATCATTTCATTATGGCTAATCGAGGGGTTATTTCATGGAGATAACCACAATTTGGGCAAAGCTAAACTGGTCATAGGACTAAGAATTGTCAATCATTTTACTTAGGAAAGAAAGATGCCAAATGAATCTATCAAACGAAGAACAAAGCATGTTCGGGTTAAATTTTTGGTCATTTTTCAACAACAAAGGAGTTTAATTTGAAAACGTTGGCTTAATTTTCTCTGTTTCGTGAATTCCATCCTGGCCATCCTGGACATGTACTTACAGTTTAGGAACAGTAGCAGAGTAATTTGAAATAAACCTTAACTATTATTTCAAGGATTTTTTCTGTTGTTGTTTTCAATGTGCTTTTAGAGTTTAAAGCAATACCAAAAATCGTTACATAGCGTCTTTAAGATCTAAAGACATTATACACAACTGGAGATACACCCTCTTCGTGGAAAAGCTTTCTAGAAAAATTAATCGTTCATTTCTGTAATTGTTTTACATATTTTTTGAATTACATTTAAGAAATCTTTAGGTGCAGATCACATTCAGACGTTGAACGCTCAAGAGAATGTAGCATTGGCTTTTGCGAAGGATAAAAAGTTTGACAAGGCACATCCGTATTTTAAAAAATCAGGTGCTAAATTTAAATTTGTTTTAATAAGGTACTGATACAGTGTACTGTCCTGAAGAATTCATTTTCGGTGTTAATTAGCATTCTTTAACAAATTACTATGCTAAGTAGTTAAAGGAATTATACATCAAAATCAATCAATCAATCAATCAATAGTTTTGTTAATGTTCGTATTTCTTCTTGTGTCATTACAAGAGATCATGTCTTTTTTCAATTGGTGTCTCCTCATCGCTTCAACGCACTGAATCGTAAAAGCGAGTCTTCCGGAAGTCAACCACTTTACGGGAAACTGTTCCCGTTTGGTCCGCATACAATCTAAAAATAACTTTTTGCAATTCAAGTTTCCCAAACACATGACTGGGAGACACCCTCTCCGTCCTATTATGATCTCCCGGTAATAACTACAGCTTATCTTAAAGGTCTTCCAGACCAAATCGCTTCTTGGAGACAAAAAATAGCCTTGTTTGATATAAGGTATATTTTCCATCTTTTATCTAATATTCATTTTGAACTTTCAAAGGAATAATTCGACACCAGAGAGGTCACATGAATTCTTCTATTCCAATATTAAACTCTGTTATGGCCGATTATTACCTCAGCAATGGTCACAATGAGGAGGCGAGGCAGCTATTTGAAAGATTGGTAAGTCTTGATTTTTTTGTTCCATTTTTTAATCGTCTCTTGTTTGTTTGCTTCATTGATTTTCTTCATCGTGAGACCGGTCCCGACGCCACGGTGTTCTTCTTAGAGAGAGTTGACTTTTCTGAGAGAAAAGATGAATGGTTTATTTGATTTTTGTATTGCAATATCAAATATGACGCCTGGAGGTAATTCATCACGTTTTGTTTGCTTCATCGTACATTCAGATTGGGACAGATTTTGTCACGGACAGGGACTTCGCTGCCCTAGACTTCTTGGATCATGAACTTCTGGGAGATGGCAAACCTGAAAGGCCATACAACGAAACAGTGGATTACGGCTTAGAAAAGTTTGTACTCAAATTTTAGAAAAAAACTTAGTCTTGGAAGAAAAGTTCAATTCCTTCTGTAAAATATTGGTATACAAGCACATTTAATTTGCAACATAAACTGTAAAGTGACAAAAACGCCAGATAGGGAATGCGGTCGGCTGCAGGGCGTATAGCAACATTTCCATAAGTAATGTAATCGCTAGGAGAAACTGAGTTTCTTGGGCGGTTAGTTGAAATATTAAAAAGGCTATAACTTGATTTCTAACGTTTTTAAGAGCTTTAAGAAACATGGTATTTTGATTTAATAGTTTCCTTTTAACAGACCGTCCAGCATTCCTAGCGAACATACACATCAACTCGAGGCTTCAAGAGTTGACAGAGTTCAGCGATTGGCAAGAAGTTGTCCACCAAAGTCTCGAAGCCTTGTTTTATTTGTGAAATTCGGAATACGGGAATGGCCTATTGAGTATTTGTTGTGTTCTACCTCAGTTTGCTATCATCTGCTATGAGGATAAATAGATCAAAGGGGATGATGCGCGACCGAGTCTTTACAGCGTCGGGCACGAAATGAAGAGGCCGTACAATGTTGAACAAAAATCTTTAGTACAATGATTAAATGCTGTAAATTATCTTTCTTCTCAACTGAAGTTTAAAAAATAAAACAAATGTATCGATTTTCCCCCTGTCTCCATTAAAAAGGTGGATGGATGGACAGATAAATTGCGGATACAAGTAGTCAAAAAGTTTATGAGGATTGCCGGAAAGGTCTGGGAAAATGAAATTTCATACGCGCGTGAGTGTTTTTATATGATTACTTCGAGTCGTTTTTTATTGAGAGGAGATAACGACTCGAAGCAATCGTATGAAATTCAGGCTAGTGTTTCCCCGGTTTGAGTGAAAAAGTTACACAACTGCAAATTCGTGCCAAGACTCCTACCCGTGGTTGTAAGAAGAAGCCATCTCTTATTACCAGCTGGATTTTGTGATGTTTCAACAAGACGTCCTCACAGGATGTATGAGATTGATAACGATTTATAAACGGTTACGAAAAAACACGCTACATGTGATTAGATGGACTCCGTGATATCTCCAAGGGAATCCATCTCATAGTTCCTCGCGGCCTATGAAAACCCCGAACATCCAGTATTAATAAGTTCAGGTATAGAATATGAACGTAACAGATTTGTATCTTTGTAGACCATTATCAGTTTTATTTTTCTGGTGTGGTAAATGAAACCATTTTTCCTTTCCAGATTTCCGTCGAGCGTCATGCTCTTTGGTAGAAAACTTCCAAAGCTCGCAGAAAATGGGGACTCCAAAAGAATTTTGCACATTCTGGAAAAAGGAGCCTTTGGTGTTGAAAAATATAACGAGTCATATCTCAGTTTTGCTGAGTGTCAACACAGGAAAGAAGGTCTTGAAATCCTCATTGCTGCCAATGAAAAGTTTCCCACAGACACTGTAAGTATACTGGGTACAAACCAGTCTGCCCTGAGAAGTGCAAATCGTTCATCTTGCAGTTTTTCTCACATATTTAGTCTTAAACATAGCTTGAGCATAAATTTTCGATTAGTAGTTAAAATGTACCGAGCCACAAAGTACAATGGCCCAAAAAAACACTGAAAGAAGAAAGGGCACGGATTATGGCCACAATGATATGCAGCGTTTTATTTTCGTTGTAAAAAAAAACATTGAAAACATTGACATCTCAAGTTCAAGATTATGTCCTAGAAAACTAACTATATGTTGAAATAAGGTAAAATGCAAAGAAACAAAAGTTTTAAAAAGTAGAGTAATTATTTAAAGCTCAGATAATTAAGATTATAGAATAATAAGGAATGTCGTGAAAACGAAAAAGTATTTCTCTCCAGGAACATGATTTGCACATTTTTCCTTGTTAAATCAGCCCAATGTACAATGGATTTAGGTTCAAATGACAGTGCAGGACTATCAGTTTTGATATTAGAACCTCGGCGATAAGTTAAATCTAAGTTGCAATCTAATCAGATGAAGTCAGAGGCATTTCCATTTTCATCTAACAAAACGAAGTGATTTTTCTCTTACAGATAATTCTGCGCAACTTGGCATCATGTTATTCCCTGTATGAGGACTACACTAAAGCTTCTCAGCACTTCAGCACCCTGGTAGACATACAGCCAGATAACGAGGGAGTTATTGCTGATTATGGGCGCGTACTTGCGATGGCAGGAAAGGTGGATGAAGCTAAGGGACAGCTTAGAAATGCTCTGAAGATAGCCGAGATGAAAAACCAAGAGCAGCTGCTAGAACAGGTATGTTTCTTCTTGTGTTTAATTGAGTGGCAAGAGTCAGTAAAATTCTGTCACCATCCGCTTCATACACGTCTGGATGAAGTAGGAAAGCAATGCTTCCGACACGTGCGATCGCCTGTGAACTTGTCTTTAAAATTGCAGAAACTATGTTTCTTAAATCGCACTGTAATTCGTATATTGTAGTTTAAACCCATGAATTCTGAACAGTAACTTTGAAATAAATTTTAGTCGTGGTTTTAATGCGAGCCTCTTCTGCAGCATTGAACAATGCATTGTGGCTCATTTGTCCGTATTCCAGTGAAGGCGTTTGTCAGGTTTTGGGCCAGTATTGGAAGGGGCTATTTTATACCACTTTATCTCTTTTTATCCTATTCTTTACTACATGAAAAGGGTAGTCTTATCTTTGGGTTACCTTTCTCTTAGAAAAAGTTGAGTCATTGCTGTTCCAGAGGTAATAGTGGGTTTACGAGCCTGACTAATGCGAATGTTAAGTTATATTTCATTTTGATTTTTTTTAATATTGCAGTTTAAGTCATACTTAAATCTACTGGAAGAAATGTAAGGGCTCAGAACACCCTATACCACTCAGGCAGTGCAAAAGACAAACTGGCCGTACAGATGGACGGACTAAAGGATTACAGGATAGATAAATGGACCTCTTCAACTAGCCATCGTATTTTGTCGGCGAATATCAAGCAACAAGGGAATCAGTGAACTTACTACTTTTAGTTGATATTTGTGTGACCAACTATTCTACGCAACTGTAAGGTGCCAGCTAATCTCTTACCTGCAGATCTCACTCTGTCTTTCGCTGAATGCCATGGGAAACCTGGGTACGAGAGTAGGTGTCGACATATCACTGCAATAGAAATGACGCGTGGCATCGTCATGAAGAATGCACATCATGAGAAATGTAAAACTGATCATAATGTGGCTGCCGCAAGCATCCTTGGGATTTTTTCGTGAGATGATTTACTTCATTCTCTCGGTGTCTTTACACATAATAGAGAAATTTTTAAAAACGACTCGTTTTCATCCCGGATTGCTGTGGAGAGAAAGCCTAAAGTTTCTCCAGGGTAGTTTGGACGGGGCCTAAATGGAATCAGTAGGCATGACATTGTATTTACTGTTAATACACTTGCTGCCTACTTTCAATGGTATCAGTGGATTAGGTTGCTTACAATTACCTCTGCTTAATGCATTGGGAACCCCAAATGAACATTACTAGCCAAGATTACAAACACTCTAGTATTTTAAAAGGGGAACCCAACGACCGAATGTTTCCAAAAGTCAGAGGTGCCTCAAATGGTTCTCCTGTTGCTTTACAATCCTTTTTGGTTAATTTGGAGCTGCCGTGAAAAATATGTATCTGTTTTGATGTATTAAGGGGACTTTGGTCGTCTCAAAAGATTTAGGTGGCTTTTCCGTCTCATAGGAAACTGTTAGCTACGCCCAGGGGGTACTCCTGGGAATTCTTTGTGGGGGTGTGCCGCCCGGTTCTCCGCACCGAATCCAGACCCTATTTCAGACCAAAAAATGTCATTTTCCACACCCGCTTTCAGACCTGGAGGTGGTCACAAAACGCAACATACGCGTTTATATTGACAGAAATTATGTCATATTTGCTGAGATTAGAACGCCAGCAAAACGATTTCTTTCTTTCTTATTCATTTATAATTGAAACGACGAACACACTCTTACACTACCTAGTTCCCTTGTAAACCATACCGGATTCTGGACCAAAATGGGCAAAATCTATACCCGTTTTCAGGCCAAATCGGCGCCAAACCATACCCCTTGGGGAGGCACATAACTATTTGGTTATATAAGGAGTGCCTCTCCCCCCGGGTAGCTAACCCAGTTCGAAGGTCCAAGGGCATGCATGGAATAGCCGTATTTTCATTAAAGAACTCCCGAATACGCTTTGTCTTGCACCGAATTTTTCTGGAGCAGGCCTTTATTACCAATATCCCGGTGATAAAATTTGAAGAGCTCAACTTCCGATTAGTCTTAGGCGAGTAGAACGGTTAACCAAACGTTTTTAGCCTTTCTCGAGCTTTAGAAATTCCTGGGCAATAATTTTGCTCCCTGGAACAGTTAATTTGCAGGAAAAAAAAACGTTGAGTGCCCCTGTTTTATATCAGATATGAGAAGGGTTATTTCTATACTTGCTGATTATGTAACACGGACCAAAAGACACGTACGCAGAAAATAAGTTCAGCACCATCGGGCTGAGGTGCAGGCGAATCTTTTCTGAAGGGTTACCCTATGATGCACAATTTACATTCAAAAGTTGAAAGAGTTGGTTAATTTGAGCAATTTGTGCAACTTTCAGCTCTTTTCAGGCAATAACAAAAGAAATAGCAGCCATCGAAAACTTCGAAATTGCCGGGTGGCAAAAACGTTAATGAACCTGTACGTTCTTTGTAAAGATTCAAGGTTTTCAAGGATAATTTCTCCGAAACTGTTCGGTGTATCGGGCTCAAATTTTCACAGATAACTGAAATTGTTATGCTCTTTACCCGAGAATGAAAAGCATATGCTTACTGAGGCAAAAATGTAAACAAAGATTCGTCTATAGAAAGTTGACAAAAGCTAATGACGTTATATTAGCCACTAGCGCATGACGTGTTGTATCCTCTAAAAAAACAGGAATTTAGCTTTACTGTTGCCACGGCGATGCTCAGAATTATTTGTACAGTAATAACCTGCATAACCTGCCGTAATAACCTGCACTGATTTTTGGCTACTGATTGAAATGGTTCTTTAGTAGAATAGAGCCTTGTGAAGTTTTTATAATTTTTTCATAGATGTCATCGAGGCTGAGAAGGATTTTGAGGTTTCGGAATTTTAGAATTCATTCTTTTGGCGGGTAGTAATTGTATTTTAGACAATTGAAATTTTCCATAACGGCATATTAAACTCGGCGCTTGCTTGGATATCTAAAACCAGATAGATGAACTGTGAAAGAAAAGTAAAATAAAAAGAGAGAACCGCATATAAAATCTTCGACTTAAACAGAGAAGAGATTTCTTATTTGATCTTGAAATTAAATATTTATGCCCTTGCTATTAGTGTGCATATATTAGAAACTTTACGTCCACCATGCGTGACGCTATAAGAAACAGAATTTTAAAGCTTTTATCTGAATAACTCGTGATGCATGATGTCGTTTAGTTATCGCTTGGAGGTATAAAAGGCTAGCATATGGATACACCTTTCGCAGAAATTAAATGCTTGAATAATTTTGTCCACTGAAGAGGCTGGACTTCGCATGTAAGTTGCGACTTGGTAGCTTATCAACACTTCGTTGGCCAAATTATAAGAGTTGTTACTCGGTCTGCAAGTCAACCGACAACATGAAGGTAAGAACGCTTCCCATGTCTTACACGATACCTTAAAATAAGTGTTCGAAATTATTGATTGTACTTAATGTCTATTAAGTATAGACGATGCGCACGAAGCTGTTCCAATAAAATACATTTTTCTAAATTGAACTTTATCGCAAAGAATAATTTCAAGCTCGAAAGCAGTTATTGATCAATTTTCATCAATTCTGTTACTCACTAACTTAATTCCCTCGACAAGTACGTCATTGGTGTGACTTAGCCAGTTTGCACAACATAGATCAGTACGCCAGAGGGAATGTTTGTGGAAAAATAAAGTCCTTTATAATGTTTTTTCGTCTTCATTAATACTGCATTTGCATAATCAGTCACATTATTATTTACTAGCCAGCGAGATAATCAAAATGCAGCCATTGTGACCGTGCAGTAATTAAGGGCCGGTTTACCTGGAGGTGGGGGACCTCGGCTAGGTGGGTTATTACCCTATCTTGAAACGTTTACATGGCATAATATGACCATTGCAGACGAGGTTTCACTCGAGAAAGGCAATGCAAAACAAATTGTGCCATCGATACGTCATTTTAGACATGGCCTACACTCTCGTAGACTAAGATCTCGAGCAATCAGAGCTCGAGAAATCGCTCAGTTATTCGAAACATAAATATGTACAGATACTAATATTATTCACAATATCTTTCAAAAGGCTAATCTGAGACAGCAACGTAAGACGGCTCGGGTTTTCTTCAGTTCACCATTCGGTGGACTGGAGGAGGAACGCGAGGAGTTAACCAAGAAATACTGGCCTAAGTTGTCGTCAATTTGCAAGAGAGCTGGGTACGAATTTGTTCCGGTTGACATGAGATGGGGTATAACCTCGGAGATGTCATCAAACGCTGCTACTATTGAGATTTGTCTTCGAGAAATGGATCGGTCTGACATGATTGTGGGCTTCTTTGGACAGGTAAAAAGCTCAAAAATATTTTAACTTAAGAAAATCTTACTGCGAACAACTCAAGAACAATGTTGAGCTTAATTCATTTTTTCTAATAAAGGCCCAATTTTTACTCCGTGCAATTTGGCCGTAAATCACAAAGATTTTATGAGTCGCAATGGAAAGTTTAATACCGACTATTTAATGTTACAGTTGCATGTAGCTTAGGGACACAGACCAAGAGAAAGACAGGTTATTTTTTTTAAATTTTCCCTTTCAAGTCTTGTCAGTGAGTGTGAAAAAGATTCTTGTTTGCTCTCCTTCTAAGGAGAAATATTGTTATTGCAGGATTTTTGGTTGTGATGATTTCTTTAACCCGAAACAATCATGTCAGCTGTGTAGGCTGTAAAGTCTTTTTGCTAGTTAATGACAACTTGTAGCATATTCCTGAGATTTTTGTGTCATTTACTGCATCTGACATAACTGATACCGAGAGTAAAAGAAATTGATAATCACTTATATTATTTTGTTCAGCGATATGGGTGGCATGGATTCGATGCCCTTTTGCAAAAAAGTTTCGACGTTGCAGCAGTGAAATATCCTTGGCTTAACGATTATCGAGAGAAAGCTGTGACTGAGCTGGAATTCTTACATGGCCATCTGAGAAATCCTGGAAAGAGAGCTGCTTGTTTCTTCTTCCGAGATAAGGTATTCGACACTATTTGATTTAAGAGTCTGTTTAAGGTTATGTTCACACTATATCAGAGAGTTATATTCCTAAATTTTCACTCTACTAAACAGAGACTGTCACTGTTGATTCTTGGTCACATGGCCTTGACTAAAATCAAGTGTATCCCGATCTTGAGCAATTGTACCCCGCTCTGGATACGTTACAACACGTGATCAAAGCATGGCGGAAAGTGGTTTGACAGAAGGCGGGAAAAACAGCGCCAGTTTTCACTTTTGGGGATGAAGGCAACAAGAGTCCACAACACAAACATAAAGCCTTAAGCTAAAAGGCGACGATTTTCAAAGTTATCCCTGAAGAGAAACAGTAGCTAGTGGAGGAAAAAGATGCAGACAATATAAGCAAAGTACTTTGTAAATCATTCATACAGTGGTTTTGAGAATTAAATTTGTGTTTTTATAAGAACCGCGTCGACTGTTTTGATTCTCTCCGGTTATTCTTTTGTCGCTGTTAAAGTGAAAGTCTTGAAATCTGAGAAATATAACAAAACACTTAGGGCCAGTTTTTTTAAACAGAGTTTAGCCATTGTTTAGCAAAACCGTGTTCCAAGCCATTTCAGTTTGCCGAACGCTTTTATATAAACACCGTTAATCGTGAAGAGTTTAGTAATAATAATAAACTTTATTTATATAACGTCTATATCATTAACTGTTCTAGTACTGAATAAAAGTTTGCGTACCTCTCCGGAAAGCCATTGTGGAATCTAGCTCCAAATCGACAAAAAAATTCAAGATAAAACCATTCCCTTTGTTTACAGAATCACCTTCGTCGATGAAAAGCACCTCAACGCGGGACGCCATTATCTTCTCCCTTCCTCTCTTGACAGCACCGAATAAAAGTTTGCGGACCTCTACGGAAACCAATTTCCGATTAAGTGACATCAGTGACATTTGTTTATGTCCTACTTAGGTAAAAGCGCCTGTATACTGAATACCACCGTTCTAACAATCAACTTACTTTAAAAATTATCTTTGTAGTCCTACGATGAGATGAAACTGAAGCTGGCTGAAGAGGCTGGGCAAGAAAGACAGGCACGTAAATTCCGTTCTTCCACAGACGGTCCTAAAGCTGCCGAATATTTGGCAGACTTGAAAGAAAGAGTCTACAAAACGCAAGACAAGGTAAGCAAGACGAAATCCCAGCTGGGCGTAGTTCTTATGTAATCCCTTTTAGTGTATAGAAAAGTGATCAACGTTCAGCCATACAAAACAGCCTAGTAACAAAGGATTCGCTGGACGTATGAAAGCCACCTTGTACCATATCTTCTCCGTGCTTCCGACTTTGAAGCAAATTTACCAGATTTCTCTTCTGCACTGGCAAACAGAGGTGCAATTAGAAGTCAGGTTAGACTAAAGACGGAAAGTATGAAAAGTTAAGACGGGAATGGCCTCGCTATCAGCATCCGACGCAAATGGTGGCTACCGGTGAAACTAAAAAAAGCTAGAAAGACATACGTTTCATCTTGCTCTGATTAAGAACAAAAGAATCTTAGATTGTTTTATACTTATCAATGGATGCTGAGTAAACCAAGTCTTCCAACAATATCAGAAGTTTTCTTCCATAAGTAACAAACGAAACGATAATGAACGCAGTTGTTCAAAAAAACCTGGTAATTGCGTTAATTTTCTATTCTAAGTGTTTAGCTGTGCACATGAGCTACAAAGATCCACAAGAAGGAGCAAGGCTTATGTACGAAACGATAGAGAAGTACTTAAGAGAAGTTTTTTTAGCGCGCCCTGTGAAAAAGTTGTCCCCTTTGGAGGAGGAGCGTTCTCGACATGACGTTTTTATGGTTAGCAGACTGGGCATGGGTGGCGTTTATGTTGGTGGAGAAAGCTACATGAATCAAATTGACAGCCATGTCAAGTCTGAGAGTGAGGAGGATAATCCTAAACATCTCGTGGTTATTGGGGAAGCTGGTAAGATTTCATGATAAAGTACCTTATCATTTATAATGGGGAGCGAGGGTGGGGCAGTGGTGAGAGCACTCGCCTCCCACCAATTTGACTTTGGTTCAAATCCCGGCGTCGACACCATATATGGGTTGAGTTTGTTGTTGGTTCTATCCTTTGCTCCAAGAGGTTTTTCTCCGGGTACTGCTGTTGATCCCTCTCCTCCAAAACCAACGTTTGCAAATTCCAATTCGACCAAGAATCAGGTAGAAGAAGAACCACTTTGTGGATGTGTTTCCTATATATCATTGTTTTTACCATTTATTATTATCATTATTAATGTACCGGCATACACACTCAATCAAAATTACTCTAAGGGGCCGACCATTTGACTTTTGAGGGAGAGGGGGGTGTGGGTGACTTCAGAGAAAAATATCCTGCATACTCATTTTAAGGGAAAAAATTTCTTTCAAGGAAATACCTGGCGAAAAAACATTCTTACACTGAAAAAAAATATCTTCCATGGCTTATAATGCTAAAAAGTTCTCGCACCGTTGTATGTCAGAAAAAATCTTTCATCAGAGGTTTCTCACCAGAGGTTTGCGAAAAAAAATCTTCTCCAAACCAAATCACCCATATCCCCCATCACTTCCCCACCACCTCAAAAGTGAAATGGTCGGCCCCTAATTGGCTGCTTACGATTTTAAATAAGGCTTTGCATAAACGTGTATTTCCAATGTGATTGTCATTAATAATTCAACGTCAGAGGAAATCATGAACGTGACGTGCTCTTTGCATCCTTTAATTTCTATTTCAAAATCTTATATTGTTTCTTCAAACGAAAGTTTTTTAAAAACAATTGAAAGGTTTACTCATTGTTCTTATATTACTTTATTATATTTTAATAACTAACTTTTTTTTTCAGGCGTGTTTATTGTCATGTTAGTTGTTACTTAGATTGTCATCACAAATACTTTTTTCATCATTTCGATGTCAAGTGAAAACAACATTCATAACAACATTTACAGGTTCTGGAAAGTCCTGCCTACTTGGTAACTGGTCGTTACATCATAAGGAGAAATTCCCAAAGGATGCAGTGGTAGATCACTTTGCAGGCTGCACAAGTGGAAGCACAGGTGGGAAGACATTCCATTCGCCACTTGCACATCTCCCATAATGCACTTTGTTTGCTCTCCTTCCGCCCTCCCAAAGCACTGTCTTCAATTTTTCGTGGGGAGACTGTAATACCCAGAAGAAATTGAAAACAAAGGTTACGCAAAAATTGGGGCGGGGGGGAGCTAGGTGTATTATAAGAGATGTGCAAATGGCAAATTATCAATTCTGACCTTTCTCTATTGTTACAAACTTGTTGCATGAGGGAAGGATCTCAAAGCGCGAGCGAAAACGAAAACATTGCCAGTGTTTTCATTTCCAGAAATGCTTGCATGTGCTGCATCATCGTCAATAGCAGAGAAAAGGAGGACTATGAGCGAGATATCATTAAAACATTAAACACGGAAAATACAAATATGAAGTTTTTCTCTTTTTTTTTTTTTTTTTTTTTTTTTTTTCATTAATCCAATGGGCGAGGCTTGCTTTCCGGTGAAGATAAGGCTGGGGGAACTGCTGTGCGGTTCACAGCCAATATATCGTACATGTGTTGTGTGGAGCTGGCGATTAAAGGAGTGCTTTGCATTAGTCGCCTCGCCAGTAAATGGCCTATGATACACGGCTTTGTCCTATTTCAGGCCCGATGGCGATGCCACGTTGATGAGCCCTAATAAGGGCGAAACCGGCAGCAGTCCATGGCTATCACTTCGTTTGTGCGCATGCGTTAGGTACTGGTCAGTCAGTTGGTTGGTGTTCGTGTGTCGCTAGCTCTTAAGTTTCTCAATTTTAGGATAAGATTGTCCTCATCGTGCTCCAAAACCGGGCATTTTCTTTGCTTTGCCACTGTAGATTAAGGAAATGTTTTTTCTTTTTGTTGCTAGATCATAAATCACTCCTTGTATTTGTTTCAAATTACGATGTACATTAACTGTTCTTATTTCATATCATGTGAATTTTCTTTCCGTTGTTATTTTTTTAAAACCCGTCTAGACTAGCTGTACTAGCTGAGAGTTGCCAATATAGGTAGCTTTCTCTTGAAAACCAAATTAAAAGTTGTTGTTGTTGTTTGCTGTTATATGACACTGCAGAAGGTGAGGTGTGACTCAAGCCCAAAAACAAAAATGTTATATTTCCTCGCCGTCTTAGCAAGATGCCCTGTTCTACCTGTATAATTCTTCATATTATGCTCATCCTCAACCACTAATGATTAATCAAAGATTTGCATGTGCTTGTTTGAACTGTTTTGTTTATGCTTATGCTTACGAGTGTTATGCTTATTTCATGTAATTTAAGTAACTGACCAAGACGAACAGCTTTGAACTTTTCTAGTACCACGAAAGATATTGAAGCGACTGGTTGAGGAACTCCGTGACTTGCTAAAGGAAAGGACCGGTAAAGAACAACCAACAGTAGAGTCAGACTCAGACAGTATTCGCGATCTTATTCGAGAACTGACAGACACAGTGAAGCGGATCACCGACGCAGGACATCGCACCGTTATTATTATTGATGCTTTGAACAAAGTCGACGAAGCTGGACAAACAACTAAGGTGAACGAAGTTTGATAATGAGTCAACCTTAACTATGTTTTCGGCTCTATTCACCATTTTCACATAGACCATAATGCACCTTGTTTACCCTCCAAAATTTTGCATAACCATTGTTTGCAATTGTTCCAAGAGAACAGGAAGACAACAGTTATGCAATTAAAATTTTGGGGGGAGTAAACAAGGTGCATTATGGTCTATGTAAAAAAGGTGAATACTGAAAGCTATTAATTGGGAGATGAGATCCTTCGCATGAAAAAACAAATTCTTAAGAAAATTTCCTTGGTGCCGCGAAATTAATCGTATATTTTCTACGCACATCGCTCGTTCTCAGAGCGATAAGTCTCAGCGACTTCGATCCCTGGGGCCGGGAAAATTTACAGGGTTTAAAAGGGAAGAGGGTACTGGCTAGTGCCTTGCAAATAGCACGTCCTTCTTTTGGCTTGGATAAATGGCAGAGAGGACGGTACTATGTAAAGTAGGGCCCGAAAACCAGTGTTCTCGATTAGCTCTCAGTACAAAATACTTAAGCCCTTATAACTAACGCCACCTCCCTAGGTGGATTTCCTTGGGTTTACACTGCATTTGCCTCATCAGGGACGCATCAGTGCAGACAGCTGAAACCTGTATTTTTTATTATTATTATTATTATTATTATTATTTCCTGAAAGCATTTTTATAATAAAACAGGTATGACCGTTAGATTTTTTGCATTATATCGGTGTATTTGTGTTATTATTTATCCCCGTTTAACATTCACCATTCCCCTATTTTTCGTTTTAGCAACACCCAGATATAGTTGCTATCAACCGAGCTATCGAACCATAAGCCGAAAAACACAAAAATTTCACTCAAACGCAACTGCTGCAGTATCATTATTTGTTAATTTATCTCGAGATTTACTAAAAAATTATTTCTTTTCAATTCAGTGCGATTTTCTTCACACACTTTTACCATACCAGTTTGGATATATTTGCTTCCGACTGACTGCGTCGTGTTTTTACTTTCATCAAACGATAGGTCTGGAATGATAGTGTAAATAGACTCGATTCTCTTCGGCATTTTTCGGGGAATGAGTCCCGCTCCTAATTCTTCTTAGTGGAGAACGAGGCCGGACTCGAGAGAGAGCGGCGAAAAAACCGAAGTCGCGCACTTTGCAACGGCGAAAATTCCAATTTTGGCGCCTTGTAACTCACGAACAGTAATTCAGGTTTAAGAAAGAAACTGTTTGCTTGTAATCTGATTTAAAAAGAAAGCTTAGGGTTGACTCTTGGACTATTAATTTACTACATAATAAGGCGACCTAAGACTTCAGAAAGCGGACTGTGCGAACAATGTAATGACACTATGAAAGTGGGGTGAGGGTTTTCACTGAACCATTCGATCGGTTGGAATGGACAGGAAGCAGGACAAGCTTGATGAATTAATCTGGGCAATCTTATTGAATATTCCTTGACTATTTACATTCCACTGACATAGGTATCGAAGAAAAACTGACACAGTAAAAGGTCCGTAAGTAAGTATAAGAACCTGCTTTTTGAAAACCTGTTAGGCTAAAATTTGCCAGTCAAGCCCCCTCTATACAAGAACCTGTTTAGCCTAAAACTTGAAACAGGATTTTATTCTCTAAATTCTATACACTTGAGCAAATAATTAAGATACGTCAACATTTACGATCCTTATTAGAGACGTAGGTGCCTTATCACCCCAACTGCAATGATATCGTTTGCAGATTTTATATGAGGAATAAACTGTATAGCACTTAATACTCTAAGCTTAGGCTCGATTTCCGCCGTCTCCAGGGTGCGGTCTTTGATCATTTTCCCGAACAGCGGCTGGTAATCGAGCCTACTCTAAGCTACGATATATTTTTTTTGTTCTTCAGAAAGTAAGAACCCATTTAAGAACCTAAATAACCTAAATTTGTGCTAAGAACCATTTCGGTAAGAACCTGTTCGCAGGTTAACATCAGAAAATGTAATTTCCTACTCGCGAGTTTTTACTGCAAGTGGAACGAGTGGAAAGTAATTAGTTATTCAATCAATTATTACTACCTAATTCAGTGTTATTTTTTATTTTTCTAACGCCTAAACTATGTAATAGATCTCTGTAGAGGCATGTGAACTACAATTATCAAGTAGGAAGCGAAGGAGCTGAATTGTTTCTTTTAGACGACGCGTTGTAAGACTCAAGACAGGCTCGATCTAACCTGAACAGGATTAAATCACAGGATGTTGATCTCACCAAACGAACGGGATTTTCTACTTTTTGTATCGTTGCACTCACTGAACTACCATCTTTAAGAAGCGACGGCGCTGAGATGATTCTTTTTAGCAACGTGTTCAGAGATCTAAGATGGGCTCGATCTAAGCAGACAAGGGCTAAATCACAGGATGCAGATCTTGCCAAACGAAAAGGATTTTCTGCTATCTGTATCCCTACATGCACTAAACCAAGTGAATTTTCTCGCTGTACGAATCTTATCCCTTCAGTTGTAACAGCTGTTGATTTTTTCATTCTCAGCAGCTCGAGCACAGTGTTTCTAAAACGGCGGTCTCTATAGCAGTAAATTAAATGATTAATTAAAGAATTTAAAAAAAGAAATGAGTCCGCTATCCGCCATGCGATACGTGTACCAAGGACTGGATAAACTGTTGCCAGTGTACCGACAATCACACCAGGGACGAAAGAAAGAATCAGGACAATCGTAACTAAAGCAGTCGTCACAGCAATTCTGTTTTCGAGTTTTGCTTGTACCAAAACGTTGACCTGGAGGATCTGATGCGTTTCCGAACTCCAAGGTACATCATGAAATAAAAATACACAATAAGAACTAGGATACAAACTAAAACACCGGCGCTACCGGTGACCGGGATTGTTACTGCTAAAGCCAGAGCCGTTTTATCCTTGCCAACCGTTATCTCCATAATGATGAATATACAGCTACGACCACTATAACCCAAGCTGAAATTGCCATCTTTCTCAAGCGGCTTCTCTTCACTATAGTTTTATAATCAATCCATTTTCGAATGGCTTTGTACCGGTCCCACGGAATCATTGTCAGATGGATAAGCGAGCAAATTGCCAGACTGAAAGTCAGCATTGAAGTTACCAAGTCCATCAAACAAAAATGTTGGACAGCCACTATTCGATAGGGAAGAAACAGTGCAACTATGGCTGATAACGGGATACCTATGCCACCTGTAAGAAGGTCCGCAACTGCCATACTTGAAATAAGGACATTGGAAGGTCTCTGCCGCAGTTCCTTCTTTTTCTTTACTGCTAAGATTGTTAATGTGTTCAAAAGAAATGCGATGGGAGCGGCTATAGTTGCAAACGCAGCAAAAATCCAAGGAGAAGTGGTTTCATGTAGGTCGAACGCTATACCTGGTCCGTGTGTCCTGCAATAAAGCACTGAGCTACTGGTATTATTGGTTTAGGCTGAAGCCCATTGTACTTCCCCGTTTCGGTCCATAATGATAAAGCGCTACTATTTTCAACTGTTTTCTTGGTGGTTCCAATGAAAGGCCTATTCCCAGTTCTAGTTACCTCAAGACTTTTCTCAGTGAGCGTTACCTTCTCAAAAAGGCGTGATTTTGTGGCTTTTTTGAAGAATAATTTTAAGGAATAATCTGGCGGACTTTAGGTCTGGCTGATTAGTAACTTCTCTTTGCCTCGAAGTAAAACCAGTGTTAAAAGCGCAAGAACCATCAGCTGATACTCCTCTGTTCTCTCTCAGTCAACCACGTGCTTACGCTTTTCCTCATTCACGATTCAGTCTTTCTCCCTTTTTATTCATTGTAATTTTGTCTCCGGCTCCATAATAATTTTACAGTAATTGACCACATATACGTCATATACCCAAAGCCTTTATTTTTGCAAGGAAGGAATAGAATAAAAAAACATTGAAGAAAAACAAAAAACACTGATTAGACTCTGATAAAGGCAGGATGAAAATCACCACCGAAGGGCCTCATTGCACTGAAACTAGGATAAATCTATAAAATCTCAGTAATTTAAGGTATAGGAAACATGTACAGCTTAATAAAAGCGTGGGAAATCGCCGCTGTGTAGATTACATTCAAGTTATATATTAGAATAACCACAATTCAGCTACGAATTTATCTTCTACGGCATAATACACAATAACACCGTAACTAGATTTTGGATTCCACAAGCAAAAATTTCCCAGATTCCTGAATTCGGATTGTCTTATATGGGGCATAGATTATATTTTCATTCTGTCGCCTTTTTTATTAGGCTTTCGATATCAGCTGTACTATCACAGGTATATTTTCATCTATTTTTCCATTATTATATGTAAAATTTGTCATAAACGTAGAGATCACTTGTACAGCAACACACTTCATTGGGGGTTCTTGTCTATACTGTTCTGCCCTCCTGTGTTTTACATATGCATTGTAAAAAGTACTGCTTCTCACGACAATTAGAACTTATTCAGTTGCAACTTTTACGGGAAATGTTTCTCTGACAAACCCATGGAGTCAGGGTTCTAATTGCTAAGACCAGGGGCGATATCTGCGTTGGGTTTGTCACGGTCGGTGTTTGTCGTCGCTCCGGGAGGTTCCGGGCACTCCAGTTTTCCCCCTTTCAGTTTTAGTTTCATTTCATTTATTGGCCAGAAAAAAAAAGGACATTCAATACATCGCAATGCATTTCTCGGCCTTAAAAATGAGCCAACTTTCCTAAATTCCAGTTCCATTAGAAATACGGCAGACGAAATTTTCATCGACTTCGATCCAAGGTCAGTATGTAATGAAAATTTAATTGCAATCGAACGAGGATAAAATCACCTTTAAGGTTATTAAAGCATATCGGTGCATGCTAAACGCAAGGGAAGGAGGTCGAGAAAGGGATTTTAGGTCCGACACCTGGGAATCCTCGCACTCGGGAATTGGGTTTATTGAATTTGACAAATGAATTTAAAATGAAACAGCCTTTCGTGATTATGATTATGAATTGAACCGTTTGGAAGTCACCTAAAAAATCACGTGGAAATTTAGGTTTTTGGACAGAGGTCATGAACTTGTCTTACCCAATGCAGCGCGACTTATATATTTGCTCAATAACTTTAAGAAGGCCAATTTCTCCAAAAACGAACGCTTTTGTGAAAAAAGAACTTATAGTAAACCGGAACTTTTTATCGGATTCTTATCTGTTTACACTGTTTAACTGACATGGGCATCAAAACAAGTTAAATTACTTAAGCAATTAGCTATTTATAATTTATTATTGTATGCGACATTAAGAGAACGCAACTCGTAATCTTTGCTGCCCTGTGGTACTCGTCGTAGGTCTGCATTTTGGGCGCCATTTTGAATTACGTCATATGTGCATCCTCATCGCACTCTTTCGATCAAGGTCAACCGGATGATGCAACTCACGTCGTAAGCACGGGTTTACTCGAGTTCGACAAGGGAATGAAACTTTGAGTTTATTTCGAAGCGGGTTTTGTCGCTGATCCGGCGATTAATACATTATTAGGTCAAGAGATGTAACACCGGTCAAGTCTAGGTGAAAGTTGGTAAAAAGACACAAATAAACATCGAGTAACATTTGTTCATGCCGTTTGTGGCTCTATTGAGGAATTTACCCGTGCTTTTGAGTCCTTCTTTATTCCCAGTTTTTTACTTATTTTTATTTTTATGAATAAAGTACGTACGTTTCCAGAATTTTACCCCTACATGCCTTGGTTTATAATGTGATGCTTTTGTTGTTAGTACCCTCTCGCTGAGTAATATCATGATGCTAAGTGTTGAAACACGATGAAATGGCGTACACGAACTGAATATGAAGATGAATAGTTCGCATAATCAAACCGGTTTCCCTGAATGTGGACTTTTTATTAGTAACAGCACGTCGTTAAACCTATTAACAGAATAAATTTCTTTTTTCTCGTAGACTTTGTTTTGGTTACCAAGGAAACTACCTCGCAAAGTGCATCTCATAGTTTCCGTAAATGCCACCGACCAAAACAAAGTGGTCGAGTTGACTGAGGAAAGAGGCTACTCGGCCATCCACACTTCGCCGCTGAAGGAAGCAGAAAGAGAAGAAGTTGCTTTGGTAAGACAGAGCTGTTTTTGTCATTTCTCGGCTTTCTAGAGTCGTGTTAACGTTGGCTTAAGGGAGGGGTAGGTGGGCAGTTTCCCAGATACGCATAATGTTTCGCATTATACGTTCTGCATGGCCAGCAGCTATGCAAATTTATCGGAACAAAAGAATATTTATACATAAGAAAAAGGTTCACCTCCCACAGGAATACCAACATGGGCGCCGTTTCATAATTTCGGTTTTGATGATTCAAAACAGGCAACACTGAAGGTTCGTGGAAAAGCCTTATCATCAGAACAGAAGGTTAAAGTTGTAACCAAAGCGCAGACGGAAAATCCTCTCTATTTAAAGACGTTACTGGAGGTAAGAAAGCTGTTATTCATTGCGGGTTTTATAATGAGAGTAAAAGATAAGAATCAAATTTTTAACGTAACAGGATTCGTCTAACTAGCACCCATTGGGAAAAGGATACATGTCAGGTTTCCGCCAAATACCATTAGAAAACGAAAAAAGGCTTTTACGTCACTGTCACAAATTTTAATCCATCAACAAGTACGTGGGAATAAACAGCAAAGCACATACAACACAAGGTTTGCAATCCCATGATTCAATACAGAGACAGGCATTCGAGGCGTGCTTACAACTATAACATTCCTAACAAATACAGGCTAATTTGAAATTGCTTTCTTTGATTTATCGGATTACGCATGCAATTCACTATCAAATCTTAAGATGCGAACGTTGATGCCCGATATACGTGTCAGCTGATCACACTACATTTATACATATACAGTGTTTACTGGTAGCCATTACGACAGCTGAAGGAAGATTATCAGGTTACCCTATATTAAGATCTCTGCTCACAGATAACCCACCCAGCCCCGGAAAAGTTGGGCACTCCACCGTGGTCTACGCCCTCTGCTCTTTTCGAACAGTGGTGTGGGTTCTTTTTTGTCTCACAAGAACTAGATAAGGAAGTTCTGCGGGACAGGACCTATGGCTTTTCGTCCTTATCTGAGAATTCAAGAAAGTCTAATCGTTTGCAGATGTCATTACAAAGGCAGCACTTTCTTCTCAGTTATTTAAAACCCTGAGAGTTGGTCCGACCGGGGTTTGAACTCGCGACCTCCCGCTCAGCATACTGGCGCTCTCCCAACTTAGCTAACCGCCGCCCAATCTCTCCTGGAGGCCTGAGCACGAAGACCAGGAGGCTCTGGGGACACAGGATTTGAAGTCCTAGATTTTAGGACTTCCGGTCATTACTGATTTTCTACAACGTTTTTAATAGCGTTCGTTTGCTCTTGCAGAAGCGTCAATAACTGTAAATTTAGGTGATTCAGAAGCTTTTAAAAGAGAATCCTCCAACTTAGTTTTGAATCGGAAATGACCGGAAGTGCTAAAATTTAGGACTTCAAATCCTGTGTCCCCAGAGCCTCCTGGCCTCCTTCTCGTCCTCGGGCCCCCTGGAGGCTCTGGGGACGAGATTGACCGCTGCTGGAAGGTAAGGTAGGTAACCGCCGCCGCCATTTCCTTCAACAGTTTCAACTTAAATGCACGTAGGTTGAGCTGGTCAAAAAACTGATTAGCAAACCAACTAAAATTGGGATTGCTTTCTAGTAAAACACGAAACTAACACCAAACCAACAACCCAGTCAATTACGGGACTTTAAATGAAAAGACTACTGGACTTTAAATGAAAAGAAATATGTGGTCTCTGAGGAAACAGCCTAACTTACGTGATTTTGGCGATTATTGTGTTTTCCCTTCTTTAATTTTTAAACTTAGTTTTCAGTGTTTATATGCATGCACTTGTCACTTTCATCCTTTACAGGAACTATGCGGCTTTGGGGAATTTTTTCAGCTTGATGCCTACCTTGACAACCTTCTTGAAGCCAAAAAGTAAGACCCTGCCCCCGTCTTTTGTTCTTCTCCTTTGATTTGGAACAGCAGTCGCCTGAGTAGCAGCCGCTTATAGTATGGCCGCAAGAAAGAACAGGGCTCGCGAGGGGGCAACGCGTGCTGCGTGTATCTGTCACGCACCCAGTTCTCTCTCACACCCATAACTTCCAAGCGCCTGCTACGCAGGCTAGAAGAGCAACTAAGCTATTCACATTTTAGTTTCTTTAATAAGAAAACCGTTGTCTATTCTCTTACAGCACAAAAGAACTGTTTCTCAAATTTCTTCAGCGGTTGGAAGAGGATTACAACCCCAAAGAATACGAAGGAAATTTGATAAAAGATGTAAGTACAAAGAACCCATTTTTTCAGTTTTTAAAGTAGGTTTGTCTAGGCTTAATTAGACTCTTTTGTTTCAGGTTATGTGCTGCATTTTTGTTGCTCGACAAGGTCTTTCCGAAACAGAGCTCAAGAACATTCTCAAAATCACAGATCAAATATGGTCTGTTCTCTACTTTACGATTGAAGAATTCATTTTGGAACGATCAGGACTTTACGGGTAAATCTAGCTTTGATTGATTGATTGATTGATTGACTTTTTTAACAAATAGATTTTTTATAAAATAACTGAGATAGTACGCGCGTTCGGATTGGCTAAGAGGTGTATTTGCATGAGAGCGTTAATCACGCAAGCACGAATTTGAAAAAGGTTTTCAGTTGAAAACTCGACAAGTTTGCTCTATTTATCCATTTCCTCGTCGTCTGGATCTTGGAAACTCTTTAGAGACATGCTGGGCCATTTTTTTTGTTCGCGATTAGTAAGAATTTCTCTTTTAATCAGTGCCATAAACAAAGCGTTTCGCTTTTGTCTCGGAAAAGGTATTTTAAAAAAGCAATAGAAAACTTTTTTCCTGTGTTTGCATAGCCTGATATAAACACTCGAGGGATTTGGAGAATTCTCGACAGTTATGCAAACCCTCGAGTTCGTCTCTAGTTTGCATAAATGTATAAATATCTCGAATTCTCCCAACCCCCCTGGTGTTTATATCAGGCTATGAAAACACGGCAAACGTCAGTTGTTCATTCAGGGCCTGTTTGCTTGTTTTCGTTTTTGTTGTTTTGTTATTTATACAACAGTTGTAAAAGTTGATTAATAATCTCACTGCAAAGCTTACGTGATTTATAAGCCTAATTTCCTTGTCCCTGTCACATTCATTCTTCAACCCACTGAAAACTTTATTTAGGAAGCTCAAAAGTGAATTGATTTGCCCGTTGGCTTGGTAAGCTCAATACTACGTTCATTCCCAGAAGTACAGAAGAGTTCCATCTCCCTATATAAGCACTTGAAACGAAGCATTTCAACAGTTTAAATTAAAGCAAAACTGTCCAAATTTCTATCTGAAAAATACCTTGCCTTTTAGGTTTTCGTATGATGAACTGTCTGCCGCAGTAAAAGAGAGATACTGTGAGGATGAATCCACTATCAAGCACTACCTCATGCTTCTAATAGAATATTTTGACGCGATCCTGAAGGTAAAAATCGAAAAAAAATGATTCTTATGTGACGGTCTTTGTATATCATATTTTCCACAAAAAAAGGTATATTCAGCAGCTTTCTCTTAGAATGGCTGTAAAGTACAATCCTCAGCAAAAGTCCTGGGGAAAGTGATGCAGTATTCGTAACTTTCTGTAATTCTGGGTACCATCATAAAACAGTGAAACCTTTTTGAAAATATCTTGCAGTTCTCTCTTCTCCCCCCTCCGCACCCTATACAAAGTTGAAACTCGCGAAAAAATCTGGATGGACATGTACACGTTCAACATTGTTTGTGGGGTAGGGAAGGGGTTTGGTGTTGGTGATTTCAAGTAATTCTCACAAATGAAAAGGTGTCCCAAGACTTTTTCCCATAACTGTAATTCGTTTGTTTTGTTTGTTTGTTTGTTTGTTTTTTTCATGTTGCGGCTAGAACTACAGCCTTTGGTCAGCAGGGAAAAAAAACCATACACGCTGGAGAATCAGGTCGTCAGCATAATTATTTCGAAACGAATACTAATATATGGATCTGCGGGTTTTCTTATAGGAGAGAAGTGCAGAGTACTACACAGAAATACCTGATCGAGTGAAAATGGAGTTACCTTGGCTTTTGGTCAAAGCTGAGGAAAAGGAACGACTTATCAAGTGTCTCACAACTGCTTCAATATTCTGGTCATTGAACAGGTTTGAATTTACCTTCGTTCTTTGCTTTGTAGTATTGCATATATCTCTTTCATTCACCCTTCAAGGAATGTTGGGAAATGATTGATGGAGAGCTTTGGTTTACCGATATGATTGACTAATTTTTGTTATCGTCGTCGGAGAAATAAGGGACGGATCCAGTAAAGGAAGTATGACCACGACAGCAATAGATGATAAATAAATAAATGAAGCCTTCCGGCGCCCCATGTAATGGAATCCAAGGCAGTCTTGGATTCCAGGATTCCAGGTACTAGATGCCTTAATTCTCCGTCAATGTAACTAAGATTCCGGATTCCAGTCGTCAGTGGGATTTTGGATTCTTTAAACAGTATTCCGGATTCCAAACCCCAGGATTCTGGATTCCGCAAGCAAAAATTTCCCTGATTCCCTTTACATGGGGCGAAAAGCAAAACACTTTCGTTCTTCAGCAAGTAAGTACATGCCAGCTCATTTTCTCATTAGCATACGGGCAAATGCATGTTTAAAACTAAGTTGGGTGCTAGAAACTTACCAAAGAGGCCTTATCTGGGAAAAAGACCAAAGCAACAACGTTGCCAAAAAACAACAACAACAACAACTTTTGTAATCAATGTAGGGTACCAAATAATGTTATTTTCCGGCGATGTTTTTGCCTTGTTCTTTTTCCTAAATAAGGCCGATTTGGCAGGTTTCTAGCACCCATCTCAGCTTTTAAGCGTGCACTTGTCCCTATGTTATTTTTTGACGTTAAGCGGTGCTTAAATGGCGCTCTAGATAGGCCTTATTTTTTCCTTTTGTCTAATTTAACGTTTTAAAAAGAAAAAATACTAAAGTCAAAGAACATTAAAAATTAAATTCAGGACGTATTGCGTTGGAATTTATTACTAATTTCATTTCTTTATTTCTGTATTTTCATTTTTGTATTTGCCCTTCAGTGCTGAGAGCAAGTACGACTTGATAAACTACTGGAATTCTACTGGCTTAACTGGGAAGGACATAAATGATTTGTACAAGACGTCAGTTGACGACCAACTCGCCGTGCTATATGTTAAAGAGCAAGAGAAATTCGGAGAACCAACCAACGCCCTAAAAGTGGTAATAGATCTTTTTTTATTTCCTGAAGTTCAATCTCATCTCAAGTGTAATCATAATGAATCTTTTTCGTTTCTTCGAAGACTATTCTTTAGCTCTTTTCTTAATTAGGGCTTTCACCTTTCTGGACGGCTCAGCAAAATTGTTTCGAAGGACCGGTCAGTTAAACGAAATCCACTTCAGATCACGTTAGTGGGCGTCCAAATTTGTTTGCCTGGTGTTTTCTTAAGAATATCAATGATTCTAGTCTGGGCTTTAAGGTTTCTTGAGGCTATTCACAACCGGTAATGTTTAGATGAGAGCGTTGGGCAAATTTTAAATGGCATAGAACATGGTTTTGTTAAACAGTGTTTTAATAAGCGGCAATAAACGCCTAACGGTTAATTTGCCACATGCTTTTTTACCACGTGACAAAAGACAGGAAATAACATCATTTTTACAACTACCAGAATTTCAGTTTGTTGGATTAGGACTATTGTTCTTTAATCCTCAGCGGGATTGACAAATTTCAATAACAAAGCAAAAACGAAATGAATTCTGGTAGTTGTAGTCAAATGTCGTCATCGTGAAAATGGCCTATTGCGGAACACAAATCGTAACCAGTCACCTCATCGCTTGTAAAGTGTCGATGTCACAGTAATTTAGGTATCCCCATGTTTTGGGTACCACCTCTCCCCGTGATCATTAGTGATATCAGTAGCCCCTTGTCATATTACGTTAGTGTTTTGGGATAGTTAGATTGCAAATGATTTGGGTATCCCGCTTGACAAAGCGGTTTATTTTCCCTGTAAGAAAGCCTGGAGCTCAGGCATTATCCTATATTTAAGTAAGGTCATTTTCTCCTCACAAAGGTGAGCTCAGTCCTCTTGTTGTTCCCTACATCTCTCCTTAGTTGTGTACTAGTTCATCTAGCTGCCGCGGGGTGAGTCTCCCATAGCTAATTACTAGTGTAGGCAGTGTTTGAAGATGGCCCCAGAGGAAATATACTACAATGTTATTTTGAAATTTTGCAGCTTTTCCCTTTTGTTTATGGTATATCCCAGTTTCAGTCAGATGCTGGAAATATGACAGAAGTAGAACCATTCCTTCAGAGAGCCATAGACGTACTTGTGAGTGAAAAATTAAACAACGAGCAGAGATCCATCTTGTTGGGTCCGATTTTTACTTACTTTGTGTATCAGTCCAGTTTTTACCTTTGTATTTTCAGTCAATAGAACTTGTTACGTCAATTCTTTTTTCTAAACTCATTAATAATTCAGAAAAAAAGGAAACAAATGACGCTGGTTTTGATATCGGATCTTTAAATTACCATAAAATTTTGCGAACTTTATCTATGCATTTCTCCAAGAATTCTTGTTCATTTGAGAAGCTATTTCAAAAACTACGCTCAGTGTTTCATCCGATATCCTGTCTCCTCGAAATCGGTCTAAAAAAGTCGGCTGCGCCTCGTTTTTCAACCTACTTCTATGTGTCTGGATATCGGATGAAACACTGCGTGTCGCTTTTGGTATATTGCATCTAGTGGCGTATTGCGTTCTAATGATGCTGGTTATGAGCCAGGCAGGATATCCTGCCCGTTTTTAAAATGTGCGCCAGATTTGACTTAGGCTGCGAAAACAGCGGTTTCTCCTCGCTCTTCACCGCTGAGGACGTTTAGCTACGAATTACGTCTGCGACTCAGCGACAGAAATTCCGTACTGATGACGTAAAATCTGTCCGGAATCCAGTCAGAAGCGCTAATTGGTCGATGGACTAGTTACATTGTTTTAGCTATTGTTTACTAATGACAGACAAGGCCATCCCAATAAAATGTTTCGTTTCTCATCGCCCGACCGACCCATTTTTTTCGAAAAGTAAAAAAAAAACAGATTCACCAGTCAACGAAGCGAGTATTTTAATTTACAAGCACACGATCTTGTTTTATTAACAGCAATTGGTATATATGATGTGATGTCCTTGTCTTCAATTAACATCGATACTACGTTTTTTAAAGGCTGTTTAGACATTTGGTAGTCGAAAAGACCACGTTTTAGAGTTGACTTTGTAAACCAGGCTTTCTTACTTAGCAGCCCAGCCTTTCCTGGAACCCAGACCCCTTCAAGTGTTCATTCTTTTTTTTTTGCCCGACCGACCGACCCACCATTACAAGAGACGGGGCGATGGAAAACGAAACATTTTATTGGGATGGCCCAAAAGACAAAAGGCCACGAAGGTCAACTGTAAACGCGATGAATCTCTAACAAAACAGTCAAAATTGGTGGAATATATTGTTCTCTAGAAGAAGCATTTGAGTTTTGCTGGTAAAATCGATCAGGGGAAACGTAAAATTGAACAAATTTGGATGTGGAACCCCATGACTACCAGATGTATTATGTAAATATTGATTTACTTCATCACCATGGAATTTCTGTCGCTGAGTCGCAGACGTTCCTCCGCGCGAAACGTCCCTTGCGGAGAAAAGGGAGGAGAAACGGCTGTTTTCGTAGGCTAAATTTGACTGATAGTATTGAAAATAAGTTATAAACGAGAAAAACATAATTATTTCTATCTCGTTTTGTAGAAGACAGCCCATTCAGAAGAAGAAATCCATTCTAATTCTGTAGTAGCTGAACAGTACTGCAATATGGTGAATTCACTGGCATGTTTGTTTGTGGATACAGAGCAGTTTGATAAGGCCGAGCCACTCCACTTGGAGGTCCTTGAGCTAAGAGAAAAGTAAGTTTTTCTCTCTTTTTGCTGGTGAAGGTGGTTATCATTAATCAATCCGCATGCGTTAACATGATCGTAGTACTCACACCCGCAGAGAACTTTCTTAAAATTGGTTGCCTTCGAGCAAGAGATTACATTTAGGTTAAATCTTCATAGTTTACCCATAAAGTACTGGACAATCTGGCACCTTCAGCCACTCATAACCAATGAAAGCGCTATAGAAATAATAAATAATTAATTATCGTTAATTATAATTTAAGTCTTGGAATTTTTAGGGCTGCAGAAACCCCGCAGTACACGCTAAGTGATAACCTGAATTCGAGTGAACAAGCCAGGGAAAATCTTGATGAACATTTACCAAACATCTTCTGCCCTTCGTCTTTACGTAAAGATCTGTGAATCATTTTGAACTGATGACAATTTTTCCAAGCTTTTTTCGTTGCTTGTTTATACCAGGAACTTGCGGGTATTGGCGGCTATTAGTCTTTAAGCGGAAAGTAATCTAAACTTTGAAAAAAAGAGAACTATCCCAATACCACTAGGTCACACGACACTCGCTTTTTAAATGAACCAAATTCTCGTTGTTCCTATGCATTTAATCAGATTCGCTGACACGTGGATCAATGGTTGGTCGAGTGTTGCTTCTTCATTGAACGGTCTTGGAGTGTTGTATTACAGGACAAACAGGTTTGAAGAGGTTCGAGACTCAGTTTTCGTTTTTTAACTACCATTAATACTTTTTGTGACGGCTTCCATTGACTGACTGTAAACTGCCATTAATGTTATGGTTTCGAAACACGACGTTGCCAAACTAGCGTAGGTTCTTTGCAATACGGCTTTTTTTTCTACATTAGGAACGAAAACACAGTTTCAGAGATGCCAACCTCTAGAGACCTAAAATCTTTTTTCACTACCCCCCCGGAATTTCAACGAACCCCCCCCCCCTCCCGAAAAATTGACCTAAGGCCCCAATGGGAATGATTTAGAACATTATATGACGTCTTACATGATGTTCATACTATCAAAATTCGAAATCATCGTTTTGATGCTAGAAATAATCTTTGTCAATGACTAAATACGTGCAAAACTGAATGCCCCAGAAACCGTACTGCGAATAAGAAAAATTCAAGTTTTGAGCTAAAAATGAGCTAAATCTCAAACTAAGTCTGTTTTATTTTTTACTAAGTATTCAATATTTATAGTGGACGTACAAAGCGGGAGATTAATGTACCAAAGCGGGAGAGCGGGAGACGGGGCAAAAAAGCGCAAGTCTCCCGCCAAAGGCGGGAGAGTTGGCATCACTGCAGTTTGAAGCACAACTCACATAAACTAATGTGATGCAGTGATTCTACGTTTAACTTATCAGTTAATAAAGTAGATTAGATGTAAGCTGAGCTCCTTTTTTAGTTTCCTATTTCTGATTCGCGTCGCAGATTGTTGTTTGTTCTTTTATTAAGTAATTTACTGGCACCTTAATTACGACTTATTGTTACCTATCTTTCTGCGAGAATGTGGTCAAAAGTTTATTGAAATGTTGATTCGGGTGCTCTTTCTTAGGCGTTAACCTACTACAACAGATGTCTAGAACTTCACCGAAAAACTCTGCCAGCGACACACAGTTTAATTCCAGACACACTTAACAACATTGGTGCTTTATATAAATCCATGGCGCGCTGGGAAGATTCCGCTAAAGTGCTCGAGGAAGCATTACAGGTTCCTTTCGTTAATATCGTTAACTAAATTAAGGCGGAATAGCCTGTTCATTCAAAATTTTTAGAATGAAATGGTTATGAAGCTCATTAGACTTCTTTGTTATATTTTCTTGTGGACTTGACGGTGCACAACGTTCCAATAGCATTCCTATCATTTTTATTATATGTGCACTGTCAGGAGCTTCCAACATGAACGGCAGCAACATTGTTTTCTCTTTTCCTTTTGCCAACTTTTCATAAACACTCTCCTTTACTAACTATCAATTAAAGACTGAATAAGTCAAAAAGAGATGAACCTAACACATTACAATATTAACCATACTAAACTGGTAAATCTCCTGACGTTTTAAAGAAAAAAATGGTATACATTAGTTTTTGAGTACCTTTTACAGGAAAGACTACGTATTGCATATGAAACAAAAAAATGGAATTGACTGTGTCTGTCCGTGTTTCAACCAACTTATTTGAAGACCAGTAGCGAAGCCAAGTTGAAAGTAGTTCAATTGTTTGATTGGCTCACTAGACAGAGTGTTGGGTCCGGTTATCAAAAAGAGCAGAGTTCGAGTTAACAGTTTCTTTTCATCAAGTTCTTTTAAAGTAAATAACATGCAGACACTGCCCAGATCATCGCCATTATCACATTTTTTGGGCAGTTCAAAACACGCTTTATTTATTTATTTATTTATTCATATTAAAAATCATAGCTGTACGAGGATGCTTACTTTGGTCAACTTCCCCCCGACGTTGGTGGAACTTTCCTGAACCTTGGAATGGTTTACTTCAGGCTCTATGACGCCAGCAAAGCAGAACCGTTGTATCTAAAGTAAGTGTTAAAGGACTAAACTGGGCTTTCATTGCGACGCTTTTAAATGACATGCGACCTCTCAAGTCATAAATTTAACCAACCTTCACGTTTTTCGCAAGGGAAGCAAAGACGTCTTCAGCCTTTTCGAAAGTTCGCGACTGTAGGTTGGAATTCAACTTTGTTTGTCTTGTTTCAGTGCAGTTGTGATTGAAGGAAGCGAAAAAAGTAGTCGTTAGTGACATTGTTTTACTTTAAAGGTTGCATGTCATTGAAAAGCGCGGTAATGGCTTATTTCTCACTAAATACTGGTTATTTTTCAAATTAAGACGAATTATCCGATTGACTCCGATTATTAGCGGAGACTTCATTGCTATAGAAATCAAGTGGAAACCCATCAATGAGAGAAATTCGGTTATGACGTCATCGTACGCCTGTCCGCCCATTCAGACTGTCAGGGAGAACTTGAGAGACGGCAAGGAAGGGGACGGGGGAATCCAAGTCATGCAGCTTGCGTTTTTCCTGGCGAAAAATGAACCAGCTTACGTAGAGGTAGCCAATGGAGTTGTTCCAGTAAAAAAATCTTGAAGTTTCTGTTTTTTTACTTGTGACAAAAAAAACTTAGAAAGATATATTATTTATTATTACCGACAACTGAATAGTTGTTTAATTTTAAGTTTTAAACTTTTGTGTTCTTTGTATGCTGCCACAATATATAAATACGGCTGAGTATGAAACACGGCTGTCATCAAGCCGAGTGGTTAAGCTACGTTCAAACGGAGGCAACAACTCCTAATGTACCTCGCAATGTTATTGGTCGTCTGTCATGCAGTTAAGCCGTGATGTTATTGGCTACGAAGACTCGAAATCAGTAATTGGTGGGTTTCGATCCGTCTATTGTCACAGTTAAACGTTCGTCTATTGTTTGTCAAATTGTCAGTTCTCCAGTCGCTCTCTCGTAGTTAGTTTTGCTTGATCTCGTCAATAAGTCGTTTGTGCGGCGGTGGTAACTGCTGTCTACGATTCAGTGGCGTTTTTTCTAAGTTAGTAAACCAGCTTTCTAAAGTAAGAAGTTGATAGTAGTCTGTAGAATACCGTAAAATTCCGAAAATAAGCCCCTCCATGTATAAGCCCCTCCAAATATAAGCCCCCCAAACCGGTTAGGCAAAAAACCCTCCGTTAAATCGCCCCTCCAAATATGAGCCCCCCCGGGGGCTTGTACTTGAAAAATTGCCCTCCAACACAAAGTAAAACAAAGCAAAAACGGTAAATTTACTTCCAACTATAAGGCTAGCTCAATCGATTTTGAAACGCAAATTTCCCTCCGTAGATAAGCCTCTCCGAATATAAACCCCTCCAAAAATAAGCCCCTCAAAAAAGGCCCTTGAAAAATATAAGCCCCGGGGCTTATTTTCGGAATTTTACTGTACGTTATACATGTCGCAGAGTCCCGGTCAATTTGATGTTTCGTCTGTAAAGGGTGCTCAGCAATGTGATTGTTGACACCAGTTCTCGTCGCTCGTTTGTGTTCGGTCAGTCGCGTGCTTACGTTTCTGCCGGTTTCACCAATGTAAGAAGCCTGGCAGTCGCAGCATTATTATTATTATTATTATTATTATTATTATTATTATTGTTATTATTAATATTATTATTATCATTATGAATTATTTTTAGATAGTTTTATTTTTGTATTAACTTTTTTATGCTTTTTATAATTGTTATTAGTAGTTTTTAGATAGTCATTTAACGACAATTCTCTTTCGTACACAAGAAGAATGTACATAGGGTATATATTTTAATATTCGTATTCTTGAATCTGTAAAAAGTCTATTTTTTTAATCTATGAATAAAGTTATTTTTGTATTATTTAAAAAAATTATTATTATTATTATTATTATTATTATTATCATCAAGATTATTTTGTTGTTCAAAGCTGGTTCGATGGTTTGCTTATTTATTTGTGTTTAAGGAAAGCGTCGCATAAACGATTCATAGATGGCTAATAAGTTTTGGAAAGTTCGTACAGGCTTTTTCAGAAAAGTACATTTCTGAGCTCATTTACTGCCTTTCAGGAGCTGATCTCAGGTTATTCTGTCTGTTTTGACTTTTTTACGATGTGGGACGTAATTATTTCCTCTCACTTAAGCAACGTGCAAACGGATGCAATATTGTTGAGCCAACAATGTTGGGAGTTGTTGGCAATGGAAGTGCAAGCGGATGTAACAATGTTGGCGCCTGGAGTGTATTGTGAAGAGGATACCACCCATAAGACTTTGGAGACCACGTTTAATGGGCGTGCGTGGCTCCAACAATGTTGGAAGAGCTGTGAAAATGGGTCCAACATTGTTGCGCTACGCTTGGGCGATCACAGAACAAAAGAAAAGTTGGGATTTGTTGGGTCAAAACTTTGATTGGTTTTAAGCTTTGCGCAACACCATGCAACAGGGAGTGCAAACGGACGCAACATGTAACATCCAGCAATGTTGAGAGTTGTTGGCCAACAATGTTGCGTCCGTTTGCACGCGTGTTTTCACGACTTGCGCGATGTATGGGCTCCTGTTATCAGGTTAAAATACACATGCTTAAGCTTACAACCATTTTTACTGGTTACTAATAATAAAAAAAAGTTCTAAAGAATTCTCAATTGCCGTGTCACTCGTAAGAAGAAAACTTAAAGCGAAAGCTTCACAAGGATTTTTGAAACAGTTTAGTCACACTAAAAAAAACTCCCTTCTATTGAATAAAAGTGAACTGTTTTACATGTTCTATTAAATTGTCAAGAGTTTTGCAGTGCGTTTTTTCCGTGATTCGCCCTGAATGCCGCTTGAATAAACTTCGATGCGTTTGTTTTCGCTTTCTCTATCCTCGCCGAAAAAATTATCTAAATGTAAAAGAGTTCTCGTTTTCTTCGAGCTTGAGCTCGCCTTTTTTTTTTAGAAAAAAAATATATATAAATAATTTATTGTAACGTTTATAATTTGTAGTTTTTGTCTTAGAATTTTTGCTCGATGGGCGAGATTTTTCATTTCAGGTGTGTTTGTGGGATGTCTTTTTTTTTTTTAAATCATTCAACCCAAAGTGGAAGGCTCCTAAAGATAAGTAGGGATTTGAAGATTTCTTTTTAATAGCTGAGAGTTTAAAATAGTAATGAAGGTGATAGGCTAGGATTGCATCTCAGAAGGCGACCGTCTAGTTGTACCAAATGTACTATGCAGCTTTTTTCAATCATACACTCCCGCGAGTAAACGTTACAAACCTGAAGTTTGGAATCACACTTGTTCACAGCTGCCTACCAAGTCACTGAGTTAACTTTTTCAGTGAACTGATTCTCACTTCATGTGTACTAATTAGGTGTCATTTTCATATACTATAGGGCATTAGACATTCGCACTAAAGCATATGGCCCGGACCACCTTGATGTTGGGCAGACGTTGCTGACTTACTCCGCCTTTTTGCTCTCAGTCGATGCTTCGAAATCAGCCGACGCCGCCATAAAAGCGGTAGAGATTTTCGAGGTATACAACAACTTAACTAGCAATTACAATATCAAAGTTTGAAATAATGAATCACGAGTAGTCCCCATTTTCCTCAGGGAAGTTTGAAATAGCGCGCGTGAAAAACGCGAGAAAAGGCGACATTTTTCACGCGCGCTCGCGTTTTTCTCGCTCTACTATCCCTGAGGAAAAATGGGGGACGACTCGTAGTCTACTTCTGTACACACATTCCACTCAATTCATTATTTATCTTTTTATTCATTTATGTACTTATTTTTTTCATGTCTTCACTTTTTCCTTATTCAAGAAATCACTGGGGCCAGAAAACATTAACACGTTGAACGCTCAAGAGAATGTCGCGTTGGCTTTTGCTAAGGATGGAAAATTTGATAAGGCACATCCGTACTTTAAAAAATCAGGTACTAACATTTATATATTGACTCTTTTAATTTACGTATACTCGTTATATTAGTGTTTGTGATATTCAGTGGCTTGTAAACGTGGCAAAAGATTTTTAAGTTAAGGAGTGTCACTCAGAAGTAGTTTGAAGACTGTGATTGCAGTTTGAATCTCTTGTAAATCGATTAGAATCACTAGATCAAGATGAATTAACAACAACACTTGACGATTCTTAGTTCGCCTTGTACCCAAACTACATAGTCATCGTATCTATAACATAACGCTGCTTGCAAGTGAGACGAAGAAAGTGTTTCATATTAATTTTGACACTCATTTTTCAACTCTGTAAGGAATCATTCGACATCAAAGGGGCCAGATGAATTCTTCCATTCCAATATTGAACGCTGCCATGGCCGATTATTATCTCAACAACGAACGCAATGAGGAGGCGAGACAGCTATTTGAGAGATTGGTAAGTGTTCATTTCTCGTTGATTTTAATATAATGTTATCAAAGAAAGGATAAATCACATTTTCAGAAAATTAACGGAAGATAAACTTACCATGCGAGTTACTAGCCTGTCCCAGTCTACCAGGTAGTTGGTGTCTGCGAAATTATGTAATAAAAGAGCGGGAACACTGAAAATAAAACGGGACCAGATCTGACGCGCTCATTTTTTCGCGTGCCTTTCACTTACGCTTCATTCCCACTATTGAGAGCCTGGAACAGGCTAGCAAGTAACATTCTCACCAACTTTCACTGCAGATAAAAAAACTAACAGAAGTGGCTCTAAAACGAATGAAAAGCACGATCTCTCGTTATCTTAAGAAACATTACTATTTCTGTTATACTGAGTAATGTATTGAAATGCAATGAATCATTTGCATTTTAAAAGTGTTCTTTCAGATCAACGCCTTTCAAGGTGATTTTTCAATTAATTCTGATTTGCTTTATCGCTTTTTCCAGGTTGGGACTGATTTTGCGACGGATAGAGACTTTGCCGCCCTCGACTTCTTGGATCATGAACTTCTGGGAGATGGCAAACCTGAAAGGCCCTACAATGAAACAGTAGATTTTGGCTTAGAAAAGTTTGTACTTCAATTTTTAGGGCTCCAAATTAGTCCTGAAAAAAATCATTCTGCAAAATGAAAGCATATGCTATAGAGTAGAGTAACAAGGAATCAGCTGGGATGTGTTGGGTGCGTGTCACCTAAAACACTCGTCAGTTATTGTTGAAACACTTGTCACGGTGTGCTCTCGATCCCCAGTATTGATTCACTTATTACCTATTTGCAACAAAAAATGTTAGTCGCAGCACTGGTGAAGGAGAAAAGGATTACACACAGACCAAATTTAGATACGTCGGTTGAGAAGGTGTGACATGAAAAAAATGCCGGCCACTGCTTCTACGAAATTTGACGGCTATTGTTATAGTTACTGTAGAAAACATTTCCTTAATTCGCTGTACTGAAACGCTGGGAGAAAATTTTCTTGGGCGAATTCAAAAGGCTAAATTTTTCTAACAAACGTCTTGTCGAGGTGACAGATCCATAATACAGATTTATATTCATATCTAGTTCTTATTTTATTAGCGGTGCTCTCGCGCGCGCGAAGCGCGCGCGCAGCGGAGCACCATGGGTAACAAAATTTGGTAAACTATCCATCCCAGAAAATTTGGTTATGACGTAGAGTACGCCCACCCGTACACACACTTCATTTAAGCCGATGTCAAATGTCACAATAGATCTTGCACAACTTGACTAGCCTTTCAGTTATGTAAGCCATCCGTATGAGTACGATTAGATTGACAGCTGTCAAAATCAGACATCCGCTGACAATTATCACATGACCATCTCGCGGGCTCAGATGAAAGACGAGTCGTTTTGCCCTACATATAAGCTGATATAATATGTCACACTAACCAATTCAACATAAAAACGAAACTACGCCGGGCAAGGCTGTAAGTTGGCTGACAGTCGTTTAAAGTTATATCGGTAAGCAAAGTTAAGGTCAATTGACAGCTGTCAAAATGGGACATGTGCAGACCACTATCAGAAAACTAATAACGTGGGCTCAGGTTCGCTGAGGTACACGATCTGGCCTTTTCCACTACAAGCCGGACGGATATGCCTTACTCACACTCGTAGTCCGTTAATTCGAATATTCACCATTCTAATGAAGGCTAATTGACAGCTGTCAAACTAGAGTATACGCTGACCATCATCACCTGAGTGTATCGCGAGCTCATTTTTCTATCCATTGAGTTCACGTAGTGTTTAAAGTTTTGCGCTGATATTTTATTTGATCACGCGCTCAATTCGAAACCCCATAGCTTAGGAAATCTATCCATCCTAGAAAATTCGGCAATCACGTGACCTTACACCGACCACCCGACCTTCCGTCGGTCCGCACCACAGGCATCCCAATGTTTAATCTCACACTTTCTAGCTAATTTGGGAGCCTGCAACCTGATATTGTACATCCATGTTTTGATTAATTGACAGCTGTCAAAATAGTGTTTCTGCTGACCAGTATCGCCTGACCGTATCGCGGGCTCAGGTATCGACCCACTGAGTTCGAGTGTTTTTTGAAGGTATCCGCTGACAAGTTGCTACTTTTCAAATGATCGCAGGCTCAAGTTCAATTTTTTTAAAATGCATATGAAATAAGTCGTGTTTATGAGCCGCATTTTTAAAATTTTGATTTCGAACTGACTTCGGCCGCCAAAATTCAACCCGCTTTTACATGCAGGCTAGGCAATCGCTTTTGACTTTTCTCACTGTCACGCGTTGATCACGTTCTGCGTCCAACTTTTATGTTCTCATTGGTCAAAATTTGACAGGTGAGTTCATGCGGAAAATTCATACAGCGTCTGGAAACTTGTTTACTGATAGCTGGAGCTGACAGAGTTTTGTATCATCTTGTGATGTTTTAAACTGTCTTTTTCTACCTGGTGTGCAAAATGAAATACAGCTGCTATCAAGATTGTTCTGTAATTCATGGCTGGTCTGTTTATTGCGCTTTATGTTGACAAATGCACCGGTTGTCAATAAAGTCATTGGAAATCCGATTTCGGATGGCATCGTTTTCAAGAATGAGCTTAGCTAGCCACTTGCCCTTGCTTGAGGCGTAAGAGGGTTGAAAAGTCTCCAGCGATTCTGGAACACTTGATGACCTTCAAAAGCAGCGTCTCGACTGGTAAGCCTGAGCAATTATTGTCTTTGATGTGTTTTTTTTTTCGGTTTCCTGAAGTCGAGCGTATGGTTTATACGGCTTAAGTTTATACACGAGCAATGATCTAACCTACAATAGTAACAGGTTTAAAAAGCCTTTAGACGTTTTTTGACCGCAATTTCAAAGAAAAGGTGCCGAAGATTATTTAGTTATGATTTTGGCTATAAACAGAAAGCTCTGAGCGATTTTCTTGCTTTGAGTTCATCTTGAAAAAGAGCAAACACCGGGAAGCCGCGGCTTAAAACATAAACAAGTTTATGCTTACCTGACTCATGATTTTCAGAGACACTTTACTCTCAATACTTCTCTTCGTGAATGAAAATTATTGTCTCTGTACATGTTTCACCGAATTATATTTATTTTATTGATTGTTAGTAGTCCCTTCCGCAATTTTTTTCGCTGCACCGGTTGTTTCCAGTCGAACATAAACATCGCATGCAGGGATACTCAAAACGCCGCGCGTAAATATAACTCGCTTTTAAAGATTACACATAACAAAACCATACACAGTTTAATAAATAAAGGGAAATAAAACCTAAACATAAACAATTTCTCTATCATGTTAAAGCGTAAATGGTAACTCAATTAATCGCACTGCAAATTTGCGTGTCAAAAGTGAGAACCCGTCCGGCTGGCCGAAAAGGTGATTTTGGGAATATTTTTTATCGTTTTCACTAAAAGCCCATAATTATTACCCTGCATATCACATAGGACCAGATGTTTGTAACGGAAAAGTCCCGCATTATGGAATTCTTCACATGAAAACGTCTTATAATTCAATGCTATAATTTGTTGTGCAAAAAGGAAGCGCGTGCTATTGAATGAGTGCAAGTTGTCTTGCAAAATTGTGAAAAACTGCAGAATTATAGGGCAAAAAAAGAAAAAATTCTGTCCGAGGTCTGTATGATAAAAAAAGGACCTCATAGTACTATTTACCTGAGACGTGTTGAGAAAACAGCTAATGCAAATACAATACACGAATAGGTCTATTTGTTTTCCAGGCCTAATCTACTGTGATCGAACATAATTGCTATTTTTGGGTGTACAAATAAGACTATTAACTCGATGTAAAATTTGTTTCACTCTTGGACTGTTAAATTATTTTTCTCTAAAATCACTTAGCCTTAATTTGCCTCAAAAGTCACATGAATGTGCCCTATCTGTGGATTACAAGTTTATTGTTTGATTTAAATTATGAATTTATTAACGGAAGCTTCGCTTTTAGCCCTGGCTAAATCTATATATTATAATAGCTTACTTACTGTGAATTAAGGCACAAACTCGTCAACACTTCAAGAATACGCCATTTTACAGTTATGGATGGAAGCGAGGCTGGAGGTGACCTTTTGATACAAACCTTTCTACGGTCTTGTATTTTTTATTAACGTCTCTTCTACAAAATCCATATGCTGACAATAATAATTTTTATAGCGGAGCTCTCGCCGGAGCACCATGGGTAAGAAAATAAAGTAATCTACCCATCCGAGAAAATTTGGTTATCACGTGATCGTACACCGCCCGCCCGAGAGAAGGTCCGTCCGCACCACAGGTATACCAGTGTAAAATAACTCAATCAACAGGTATGGCAACCCAAATGCAACTCGAGGTTATTTTGGCGCGAAATCGCATAACCACCGGCGTGTTGTAAAGCAGACACAACAAAAGAGTCAATAAAGATGAAAACGGAAGGCGGAAATTATTTCTGTATCCGTGTTGTCTAAAGTATAAGCTTAGATAAATTGTCATGTCCACAAATTTGGAATATAGAGCAAGAGAAAGACAGAGAAAAAGAGAAAGTGGGTGGCAGGCCAGCGAAGCTCAACGACGACAGGGATTTAGAACGAGAGATAAAAAACCGATGGAGACAATTTTTTTGGTTGGAAGAACAACATGAAAATGTTGTGGCGGCGGTGACAAAATGAGAAATGCTAGCGGCCACCAATGCAAGGTGAAAATGAGCGGCAGTGAAAAAAGTGAACGGGAACACGTACGACATTTCCTCCATAAAACGTGTAACTATGAAGTTTCTGGAAGTTTCACGATGTAGGCGTGCAAAACAACGGCAAAGAAATGTACAAAAAGTGTGCTGAACAATTAGTGTACGGCACGTGCAAAGTTGCTTTTGCTAATTAGACCTAGTGTTGTTTTTCACCGTTTTCCGGCGTTGCATGCGTTCGCCGCTTAGCATTACACAATTTTATATTTTGTTTGAACATACTTTAAAAAAAATATTATCGAGCGCTTCGCTTTTAGCCCTGGCTAAATCTATATATTATAGTTAAGGCGAAAAAGGGTAAAACGTGAGCCACTCTACAGTTCTGGCCGTTTTTTCTTTGTTTTGGCCTCGGTTGGCTGATCATCGTTTAAAATTTGGCGCTCGTCGGAGTGCGCTTTAAGTTCCCGGATATGTCGCGTGATTCTGGGCGATGTTATGTAAATCAAGATGATGTTCTTATGCTAACTACTATTTTCAAGGACAATTTCCATGACAAAGCAAAACAGGTTTGTATCAAAACAAGGTCAATCTGAGCCTCACATTCACTCGAAGGCTAGGGTACTAAGCCCACAACTGTAAAAAGGTCTATCACAAACCTCAGTTTCATTGTGTGGTGTATTCAATGCAGTGAAATGAGGGGACGGTCTATTGGTTGGCTGTTGTCTTTTACTCGAGTTAATACCTCGGACAGCTGTTCATCCTCTCTAGTCTTAAGACAACTACAAGTACTTGAAGACATTAATTTTACACTGCCATGAAGATAATATATGCAATAGAGAGAGACACTTGCGTTTAAAACTTCAGTTGCTCAGAACCACAATTTTTTCTGCCGGCCTGTTTAATCGGTGAAAAATTGATGCAAGTGCAAAGTGCAAGATAAGACTTTTCTCCGAGAATTTAAGGAGAAATCCGCTCTAAACTCGGTATATTAAGAGAAGCTTTCCCCTTTCCAGATTTCCGTCGAGTGTTATGCTATTTGGTAGAAAACTCCCAAAGCTTGCGGAAAAAGGAGACTCAAAAAGCACAATTCATATTCTGGAAAAAGGAGACTTTGGCGTTGAGAAATATAACGAGTCATATCAAAGTTTTGTTGAGAGTCAGCACAGAAGAGAAGGTCTTGAAATCCTTACAGCTGCCCACGAAACGTTTCCCACAGACACCGTAAGTATGCTAAGGACAAAGCAGCCCGTTCGTAGCTCTAGCCTCAAAAGTTCGAAATAAATTTTGTTTAACGTACAGTTTTTTTTTACATATTTAGTCGTGAATAACTTGCATCTGTTATAAATTGTATAAATGTACGATTCTTAGTCAGAAATTTACAGAACACAAATATGGTCAAACAAGCAATGAAAAGTTAATGCCAGGGCGTTTCTCTAGGAGACCCCCCTGGGGACGAGGCTGATGTGGTAAAGAATCATATCGCCAACGCTTTGCGCGTTTCCTTTACTTGTTGTTGCTGTGTCATATCTTTAGAATATTTTCATCTTATGATAATGGTGAAGTCTGGGATGATCAATCGTAAGGTGAAATAGGCTGCAATGCAAATAAACAAAAGTTTCAAATTATGGAATAATGATTAAACCTTATCAAAGATTCGAAAATTAACGTAACAGTGAATACAAGGTGGAATTCTCTTTAAGAACCCAGCCAAACGGTAACTGTAACAAGATCAATGTTAATAACATGCATGTTCGCGCTGATAGGTCAAGCCCAAGGTGTAATCTAAAAGAAAGAGGTAGGTATTTCTATTTTTATTATCACTTAAAGACGACGTGTTTTTTTGTCTCAAAGATAATTCTGCAAAACGTTGCCTCGTGTTATGCCTTCTATAAGGACTACAGTAAAGCGTCTGTTTACTTCAAGAAGCTGGTAGACTTGCAGCCAGGTAATGAAGGAGTTATTGCTGATTATGGACGAGTACTTGCCATGTCAGAAAAAGTAGATGAAGCAAAGGAACAGCTTAGAAATGCTCTGAAGATCGCGGAGAAGAAAAATCAAGAACAGCTTGTAGAACAGGTATATTTCTCCTTGTACTAAATCAGTTGCAAAAACTCAAATCTTGTCACAAAATTCCCTAAAGTAGGTCTTTCGGACGGAGAAAAGGCATGCCTTTGCCTCGGACACTCCTCGCCGCCTGTACGAGCTTTTAAACACGAAATAAGTACTGTAATTACTTTTAGTTTTCATGCTAGCCTCTCATGTAGTATTTAAAATGCGTTGTGTCACATATGTTCCAGTAAACAGGAGGGCATTTTGCATGCGCATGCGTGAATCCGCTGAACGACAATAGCGTGGGCGCATCAAATCTGATGGCGGGAAATCGAAAACTCGCACGTAAAGTTACAGTCCTTTTAAAAGCCATTTCGTTGGTGCTTTGAATACCGTACTTTCCTACAAAAAATATTCTCCATGACAAAAATCGGACGTTTTCTACGCGGGTTTTCACTTGTAGATTTTTCAGCAGTAGGTTTTCTTGGCCTTTTAAAGACTTTCAAGACTCAACGCCAAAAAGTCATGTTCCTGTATAAGTCTGATTTTCACTGGCAAAGCAATGCATTTCTATGGTTTGATTTCCAAACTCGTGGTTTTACTTATCAGGGAGAAATGCATCGTAGCAATGTTCAGCTGCTTTAAGACAAAAAACGAAAAAAAAATTTACCACGCGAGGTTTATTTATTAGCGCGATGTCTCATGTTAAACTGATCGCGGAGACACGCGTTTATATATGCCACAAAAACATGAAATCTATGGGGTTTTTACAGTTTTTCGAAAGTTTTCGCGGAAAAATTTATAAAAAATATCCTATAGGAAATGAAGAATGGATTGTGTTTGAGACAGCAACAATTACAAGTGATTGTGTAGTACATAATCACTTGAGCATTTCATAAGATCAGTTACAGACAAAACGAATGCACATACTCCGAAAAAACGAACAGTACTTTTATTTTTCTTTAACTCTAAAAGATACAGAGATTTTTCCTAAGCTACTATTTTGAAGCGATTCTTGAGTGACAGCTCCTGTGTTTCACAATCGATTTCTTGTTATTAATTTTTTTGATGACGGCAGTAGTGATCCATTCAAAAAGGAGAATGCCCATCACTCCATAAATCTAACTGACGCTGTTGTTCACCTTCAAAGCCTGTTTAAACATAAGACAGGAAGTTTGTTAAAGGGGTGCATATAATGCTGTTTCCTCAAAAAATAAATGCTTCTGCTAAAGGACCCAGATGAGCTGGGACGCGACAACAAACATGACACAAATGGATGGATGAATTTGTCTGTTATTAATGTTTCTGTTGAGAGCTTTCTTTTTACTGTATCAAGATGAACCCCTTATGTAAGTTGTACATCATGGAAGAATTATCAAGCAGAAACTGATGCATTAAACAAGAATGTGGTTCAATACAGAGGAGAAGCTGGTCTCAGTCAACATCCTTCGTGAATGAAATGTCTCACAAATTAGCATATCAACAAATGTAGTATCCACAAAATGGTATCATTTAGGAATAAATGCGATTTTTTTGCAACAGAAGCCAGGATTTATTTAAAAGGTGTATTGATAACGTTTCATTTCGTGCTATTTTGGGGTTGGGGAGTTAGGCTAGATTTTCTTTAAAACGCCAAAATGTTATATTTATTTGCATAATGAAATGTAAACAAACAGTGTGCCATCAAAATAAGGTGGAAAAAATCAGAATTCAAACCGATTGCTGTAATTTTTTTCCTTTGTATAACTAAATGATAGAATATTCTTATTTCCAAAACATAATCTTCCCGGCATCATTATATTGATTTAAATTTATAGTTGAAGTACGTGTATTTTATTTCTCAACGAAGACGTACCGAAGAAGAAAGCTAAAATTACCGCAGAAGGCGATTTTTCACAGCCTTCATCAAAGCGCCATTCATTCGGAGAAGTATTCTTAGTTTCATTAATCATTAACTTAATCTGGGGAGAAAGGCAAGATTTCGAGATAAACAAGCCGGAGAAAGGGGGAAAAACAGTTTCACGGCAGAATGGACACTTAATTAACCACTGTATTCCTGAAACGATTAAGTTCGATTTTAGAGTTATACTATTGAGAAGAATGAAGTATCTATAGGATAGTTGTTTAACAAAAAACTATCATACTGACCTTTTCCTCCTGGTCAAAAAATGTGCGCGAAATGTTAGGTGATAAGAACATTCAGCCGCCATCTTGTCTTCGATGCACTATTTTACGAAAGGAAAGACTGTCCTCTCAAGGGCGACAGCGAGGCTACAATAAACTCACTTTCATCGTAGAAATACCGCGATACCTTAAAGAACATGTTTGTGGAACGTAGTACCCAATACACGTCATTAAGCTCCAGAAAACAGCCTGCAAATGCTGGTACTGAACGTAAACAATTCACAGAAAATGCTTCTGTGGCCCTTCAACAGCCCATATTGACGCATGCGCATACAAAATGCCCTCCTGTTGTTCCAGTACTTGAGGGGAAACCATTTTATCTTCTTTTTATACAAAATTTCTATCATACATGAATTATGTTTGGTTACCTTTGACTCAGAAAAAGTAGAGATATTGCAGTTGCAGTGGTAATAAATGGCTGACGAGCCTGACTAGTCTTTCATCCTGGTTTTTTCTTATATTGTATTGCAGTTTAAGTCGTACTTAAATCTACTGGAAGAAATTTAAAGAATCAGGACACTATATACAATTCATGCAGTTCAGTAGATGAACTGACGAACAGATGGACGCAATCTAGTGGATCACAGGATAGATGAACGGCCCTCCTCTGGTGTTCCAGCGTAAATTGGGAAATCGGCAAATCAATGAATGAGTAAAATTTATATTACAATTATCGACTAGGCAGTTGGTAAATCAACGAATAACGAAACGGACCAAGGGAAATAAAACCACGAAGTTGGTCTACATGTATGGTTAGCCAATAAACTAATGACTTAATAAAGAATATCAACCTACCGGTCAGTCAGTCAGTTAGGGATAACTAACCTCTATGAAACCATACATAACGATAATGTCTTAACTAGCCAGCCAGTAAGGATAAAAAGTTTCTTTAACTTGAATTTTTAGTTCTTTTTAGCACAATTTTATTGATAACAGTATCACACATTTCTATAAAAATTTATTAACCAACTATGTACCTTTCAACCTCTTTGAATTGAAAAAAATAAGAAAAAGATTCCAGCTTTAGCTGTACAAACCTGATGAAGCATTGAATTTTTCTAACTAATCCAAAGCATTCCGTAAAATGTATAACTAGTGGTTACATGCAATTTTAACTTCGGCCTTCTTCAAAAAACAAACTTAATAAAAGTTGCCTTGCTAATTACTTTCGTCTTTTTCACTACCATTCCTTGATTATTTTTGTTTTTCTTTACACCTAAACGTTCCGGCCTTTCCTATTCCTATTATTATTATTTGAACTTAGCTAATTTACCTTAGATCAAAAAATGTAGCTAAAACCTTCCGTACGGGTGGTTTGGAGCCTAAAAAATCTTTACAGTCCACTCTCGTAAAATAGCGTACACCCTCAGCTCAACAATTCCATTCAGTGTCTGCCATAGCCGGGTACGAAATGGTACGAATGTTAGTGATTATTTCAGACTTGAACTACACGCTTTTTCTTCATTTTTTATAAAACCGTGAATCATCCCATACTGGAGTATCAATTGAAATTGTAACATGACTAGTTTTTACAGTCCACTGATTTATTTTGTAAGATCGTCAGGATCGAGCGACTTTTACATGACAATAGATCTGTTCTTCAAAGAACTTTTCAGGATAACTTAATAGTAGAATATATCATTCAAATAAACCAATCAAGGCAAAGCGAAAAACACTGTAGGGATCCTTACACACTAGTTAACAGTTTCATTATCACGGTACACTCTTTTTTTCTGTGTAAGATTATGCTTTATGAGAATGGCGAGGCTGATTTTTTCGAAACTTCAAGAATATACTCAAGGCTTAGATTTTAAAAGGATATACTTTGTGTGTTGAAAATCTGTTAATACAATAAAATAATATGAATCCTTTCTCTAAAAAGCAAAACTAGTCACCAAAACGAGAGAACCTGTTTACCTGCAATTCAAAATACCTCAATGTATTATAGAACAGAAAAGTCGTAAGCTATAAGTCTTAAAAGAATCATGTGAGAATATTTTCAGCCTAAAATCAGCCGACAAATAAGAATATTCAGCCTGTGCCGGAAAAACAACTTTCTTATAAAAAAAAAGAGTGGATGTATAAATTTAAAATATTAATTTCCGTTAAATCTGGCCTGCACCAGTTGCGCAATTAGAGGTTTTATCTAATTCAGAAGGTAAAACAAACGCTTAGTTTCGTCTACGTGGCACAGGATATCCCTTTTAGGGCACCAGCAAAATATTCAACCACGCTGCTGGAATAGGTTGATTCTAACTACTAGCAGTGGCGGATCCAGAGGAGGGGCCGGGGGGCCCTGCCCCCTCTATTTTTAGACTGGGCCGAAAGACCCCCCTCCCCCCAATTGTCTCAGGGTCTGGATGACCGGGCCACCCTTCTAAATTTCTGGATCCGCCACTGAGTAGCGCTCCTTAAACGTAATAAATGAGCATCTGCATCGCATCGTAAAATACTCTTTAAATTCACATTACATATTGAGCGTATTTCGCAGACCTGCGATTAGCCCAATCATGAAAACCGTTACAGAGGATGACAAGAGTTCAGCATGTGACGATTGAACGTCCAGCAACACATAGTCTGTTCTTCTCTGTATGGTTGTAACAGGACCGGCGTTGCTATAGTAACTAAAAAAGTCCAATCTACTTGCGGTATCCACACTTCTGCCCTTCGTTGCTATGGTAATGTTCACACATTCCCACGAAGAATCGTAGAACCATTGTTTGCCGGTGTGGTAAGCGGTTTCCTTCAACTTCGCCATGCCAGTATACAAGATACCATTACTGAACATCATAGTTAAATTTCGTGGATTTTCATCCCTAAATCGCCTTTTCAGTTCTTTGGACGCACCAATCTTATCAGTTATTGATACATATTTCAGCGAAATTATCTTTGGTTGGCCTTCTGTAAGGTCTATAACAGTACTTTCTTCCTTTACATCCTTACAACACCATTTGGAAATTCCAATTTTTTTGTAAAACATTTTGGTGATATTAACGCGGAGTCTGTTTTTGGTAGCCGTCTTCAATGAGGGAAACTGTTTGTCAAAGCATTCAAGGTCCTTTGACGGCCCCAATGGTATGTTGTCTGGCAACACTCGAATATCAACTTTGTCAGTGTAAAATTCAAACCCAGAACTGCGCCGATAGTTTGAATAAGACGAAAAATCCCCGTAACCGTATTGGCCTTTGTTCAAAGACCAGTGCAGGCAAGACCATTTTCTACTAGTTGTCACGGTGATCGAATTATAGAAGACAGAATAACTCGCAATTGACGCCAAAACTTGTTCACCGTCGAAGCGAATATACAAAGTTCTAGGATTGGCCTCTCTGTTGAAAGACGTCCAAAAATAAATCCATTTGTCCTCACCTTTGCTGAGCGTGACTCTCAATTGTTTCTTAGTGTCCTCTTCTCCGTAATCGTTTACGTAAATATGTTTGATGTTCACAGCTGCAAATTGGTTACGAGCGTTCCGCGTGCCGACGATTCCAGCTGAAGTGCTCTGCAGACCCGTCGAGTTGAACGCACAACCCTTGTCCTTTTCGTGTGGCGAACATCTTGCGTACTGTAAGGTCAGTAATGCTGACAACATAAATATCAACAACAGGTGCATGCTTCTTGATGTTAAGGGGCTGTTGATGCGGTCTTTAGCGACTGCGACTCCAAAATGAATGTCAAAGCGGCAGTTTAAGTCTTTAAATAATCTAAATTGACGGAAAATCTCTATGATATGGAGCAATTCATAGTCATTTTAATTACGCAACATATAGGAAGTTTAATCGTGTACTTGCTACCCAGGAGGCGTAAGGAATGCTGAAATACTGTACACATTTGACGTCACAAATACAGAGTTCTCGTTGCAGTGATTTTCGGTAATTTTGCAAGTGAAAGGTTTTAGTCAATATTAGGTGTTTACTACATAGTACCGGCTAAGTTGGGGTGCTTTCGTGGATTGCTGTCATTCTTTCATTTGAAACTTGAAAGTCAAAAACAGTACAAATATACACTGTACTCACTGTGACTACCGGGGTATCCCAGACCGGAAATAATTGTGACAGAAATGTAACGATGAAACGTGATTACATGCCATTGAAGGACGCCATTGAAGTAAAACCATTTTGAATTTCGGCAGATGAAAAGATTTTGAATCCTGGTTTAGAACGGGGTATCCATTTCAGACGCGGTTTCTAGAAAATTTCGAACGCACGAAAGCTCTCCACAATACGGTTCAGTGCGTTTTCAGAAGTTTTTTCTTCCGGGGTATAAAAATTGGCCTATTTCTAGAACGGGGTATCAATGTCTCGGCACATACCCACCAAAAAATAGATGAAGTCACCTGGCGGAAAGAGTTTCTTTTTCCGCGTAAGAGCCTGTCATTTAGATGAAGAGAGTAGAGAAAAATTGGCCAATGCTCCGTAAACTCAGCGGCATAAAATGGAATAATTTTATACGGTTAAGTCAAAACATAAATTGAACTGTATCTACAGATTTTGAAAAAAAAATTTGAGTCCTTTTCAAATTCTCAGCCTCCTGTTTATTTTTTAAAACATTCAGTTAAAACTTCAGAAATTTCAGCCTGAAAATTCTTATAAGATATATTCTTATAGAAATAAAAAAAAAAAAAAAACTTGTTTATTACAATTTTTGACAACTATTGAGCTATTCTATAATTATCTACGGCACTGACAACAGACAGGTTTCACTTCAAGGGAACCGAGTACCATTAAAATACTGTTAATGTCGTTTTCTTCATTGTAAAAGTGGAGTGGCTTACCTCGTTTATCACCGCAGATTGTATTGTAAAATTATTTTTTACCGGACTCATAAAACGAGCTAAAACGGGGGCGTGACTGGATCTCATGGAAAGGTCGCTGGCGTAATACCATGACGCCAACTATTTTTCTTCCTCTTCTCTCGGTAAATTTAAGTGTAGTCTAAGGGAGAAATGTTGCCCTATAAAGTTCCTTTAGCGCGGTGCGATAGAGAGGGGCCTGATATTCAGCTATTTTATAGAAGGTCGAAGTACTGTCCAGTTATTCAAAAAAACTTTGAAGAAACACTTAAGGGCTAGTTATTTAAACGGAGTTTAGTCCGTGTTTAACAAAACCGCGTTCTAAGCCATTTTCAGCTTGCCCAACGCTTTTATCTAAACACAATTTACCGTGAATAATTTTAATTTCACAGCGCGCTGTCAAATTCTTTTCTCTTTCCTGGAACTACTAAGTGATGTGCCGTATCGCTCCGGAAGTTAACTTAGATGCGGGACAGAAGCGTTTCCTTTCCCTTGAACAAAAAACAAAAGCAACTGACGAGATAAATCGACCAATTGGATTCCTGCTACCTTCCTTCTCTCTCTCTTTCTCTCTCTTTCTCATGTCTTGTCTTTTTTTTCATCTTTTTTTACACTTGTTATATCTGATTCATAAAAGGAATATTTCAAAGCAAATTTTACCAGTACTTCGGTCGCCAGACGGGAACAAAAAAACGGCAAATTTGTTCCAGGAGTTCAGATCGATTGTACAGCTTGCTTTTTGCCAGGATTTTGGATTACAAAGCAAACTGCGGGGGACGTGTGGGGGTGTTTGAGGGATGCCGCAAATCAGACCATCAGCAAGAATCTCTTGCTATGAAATCGTTTGCCAAGCATATGTACACTCTAGGACGTGAGTAACTTTTTATTGCATGAGATGTGTGATTTAAAATCTATAGAAAACATATTTCAAACTTTAACTATGTAGCTTGAATAGTGAGTATTAAATTTTCCAAGCATTTTATACATCGTAGGAATTTTTAAACGTATGTTCTGTTTCCGCCAAATGCAGAAATAATTACAAAAACAAAATTACCCTAACTACTAAACTTGAGTTTGCTGTTTCGCTTGTACTCCTAACTAGATTTTGCCTGAGCTGAGCTACTTTCGTAAATAGCAAAACAACTCTGCCCTGCATGGACGGTTCTTTGTATGTAGATATTTCTATTTTTTTGCCTAGAACATCAATACATCAATCGATTCCGCCGTTCTTTTTCAGGCAAATATTAATCAAAAGTAGTTTTTAAGGAGCCGTGGGGCAAAATCAATATACAGAATACTTGGGATCAGAGAAGAATCCCTATAACGTGCCCTTATAAAGAGTCGTGGTCATTGCTGAAGAGAATTAGTTCTCGTCCCGACATAAGGTAATCCAGATTCCAGAAACCGGGTAATTTTTGCTTGTGGAATCCGGAATTCCGGACTCTGGGATCCGGAATTCAGCTGTAGGAATCAAGAATTCCACAAAGGATTCGAATCCGGAATCCGGAATCCACAGCGTAAAATCCAGAATCCAAGACTGTCTTGGATTACCTTAAATGGGGCGAAACTTCACATTGCGGGATGAAAGAATAAAGACAACCTCCTGGCTAGGGCACAGCAGTGGTCATCAAATCAACCCCATGCTGCAGTTGGACTTGTTAGACATCTCTTCACCGTACTGGAATTCCTGCGAAATCGAATATAGAAGGCTGATTACTTATCGATCGAAGGTTGCCATGGTAATTTTGCAGTAGCTGTAAACAAATGAGATATTGTTTTTCTTCGGAAGATTATTTGCTTGTCAAAACTATTGAAGGGTGTCCTTAGTGCTATGACCTGCTTTTCTTCGTGAAAAAGCGTACTGATCGTAAACGCGCAGCGGTGGACTTATGAGCTGTCGATAACCAAGCAATAATCCTTCAGCTAATGTTCAAGACCCGTTTGTTACTAGCTGCTACAGATTATACAGAATTTACGAAAACACGACCTCCCAATCTTTAAAAATTTCAGTCACGGTTAATTGATAGTTGAGAGTGGTCTTAACTACGCCACACGATTAATACCATGGTATTATAAGACTAACTAACCAAAAAATGAAATAAAATTGTTACAAAACAAAGAAGAGACAAGAATTTTCTAATTTCAAAATATTTTATTTTGGCAGTTTTAAAAGTTAACATAAGCTGCAACCGTTCACAACAAAATCAAAACAAAGTTCTTTTGCGTAATAAGACATCATATGTATTCTTATTCCCTAAATGATCAAACGGCTTTTTGAATCTTTATTCTCATGTAAGGGCATCTTAAAAGCTTCGTTGGTTTATATGATGCGCGTACGTAATCTCGTTCCAGATTTTATTCTGACATTTTCGTTACTTGTCAGTTAGAAAAAAATTCAGCACCTACTTGCATACATATCTAAAAATATATATTTCAAAGTCAGATTCTTCACATCAATATGGATTTCCTTCTTGCTTCTTTTAATATACTAAACATAAGACTATGGAATATTTTGGCCGTGTCTATATGGAACGAAGAAAAGTAAAGAACGGCTCTTCTCGCAGTTCTTTACTTTTCTTCGTTCCATATATATATTTCCGTCCGTTTAGACTTTCCCTCGTCCCCACTATCTGCCCCTGGGTCTCCGAGGATCCATTATACCATGCAGGGGAGGGGAGGGTGGGGTTTAAAAAAAAAATTCGGGCTGTTCCTCCGGAGGAAAATCAAGGAGGTGCAAGTGTTTAAAAACACTTGCTTTTCCTTTTCCACTGCCAAGTAAAGCGCTGTTAGCTCCCTCAACCTCTGCTAAAAAATTAAATCCTCACGGTGTATTTAGCATTAGACGATGGTCCTGGGGGTCAATTGGAATCTGCCATGATATTGCATTGCTTTGTGCATGTATAGGGTAATGCCTATGCAGTGATAATTAAATGTAGAAGGCTTTTAAATATGACAAATTGACACAGTGCCCCTAACGTCTTGTTAACAACAAAGGACTGGACATCTCGCGTCTGAGTTGCCCTTTCATGTACTCCAGCAAAATGACGTTATTACAACCCTGAAACACTCCACAGATAGCAAGAGCGTAAGAGTAACAAAAACTCAATAAAAACCTAGGTCATTTTCTCCTTGTTGTGTTGGTCTTCATATCCAGACGGAAACTGATTGGCAAACTGTAACTCGTCCCTCTGATACGTTTGAAACAGAGTTGGCGAATGCATACCTAGTGAATGACGTAAGACGTATGTACGTATGAGCGTATGGTATGTAAATAATACAGTCGGAGTAATGACTTAAAGCAGCTAACATATTCCTGACCATAGTGCAGTACGCTAAGGGGTCGCAGCCTAATAAAATTGAATTGTAAATTGTGAAATAAAACAACGCTTAATAGTTCTTGGGAAGACTAACATGCTTAGATATAAAGTTTTTATATTAGGTTTTTTGTAAAGCCTAAAGCCCAAAGTTTTGTAAGTCTCTTGAACAAATTTTGTTCAAGAGTTACCAAAAGCCTCCCTGTTTGAATCAACTATGTCAAAGATCAAAGAGACAAGATCAGAAACCCTATGCTCGTGTTACTGAATTGCATGTAGTTAAGGTTAAAAGGATATTTGAGATGGAAACTAATTCTTTAAAATTTTAGAATTCTTATAACGCATTCACATAATGTTTTCGTAACTTGGATCTCTTTTCTATCCTCAGCCAAATGTTAGCAAGTCTGAAAAGATCGCAGCACGGAGGAGTGCCTTTACTAATTTTAAAGGCTGTTACTGACTCAAGCTAAACATCTGACTCGCATTGAGACACAGCGGTTTGATATTTAGTACGATCATTGTAAGTAGACTGGGAGAACATTGACCTTGACTGCTTGGCTTTCTTCCTCCATAGTCGGCAGCATGGAACGAGGCGGACGAATCCTCTACGGAACTGCTTACTTAGAAAACCGTACAAGACAGGATTTACTGCACTGTTTGAATACACCAAAACGTGGCAATAGGATAGCAGTAGCCATATGCCCCTGAAACGAGATTACAGAGTGTGAGTACGTATATTCTATTTGTATTATTTATTTTAGCCAATTGTAATATAATACAAATGGACCAATCGGACCTCAAAGCAAGTACAGTGATAACAGTGTTCCTTGTTTAAGTCACTATTTCGCCGTCATCTAAAGAGCGTGTCTTTACTCTAAAGAGCAGCAGGGGTTCATCTTTGGACCCCTTTTCTTTAATGTCTATATTAATGACACTAATAATCTACCAATTTATGTGAAACAGCCTTTTCTTACATCTCAAAGGCATAAGCGCATTTGTAATCAGTCTAAATATTGTTACAAAGGACTTCAGCCTCATTCCCAGGGACCCCTCCTACTCGGCCCCCGTGGCGAGAGAGGACCCTGGGAACGAGGTTGAATGGACACATCTTGCGAGACTACTTTGTCAAGATGGAGGGTATTGAGATTGCACTTACTTGTATGAATCTCCACCTCCGAATTCAAACCATAAAAATGTACAGTGGTAAGGTAAAAAGCATAAGAAGTAGAACACCACAACCATGATCAGCATTCGTATCACTTTTCCTTTAGCTTTTGCTGTTCTGAATCCCTCACTGTCCGACGTTTCTCTTGCTGCCTTATTCAACTTAGCTACAACAATTGTATACAGCACAGCTATCAACGGCAAAGGGATGGCGTACGTTAGGCAAAATGAAAGCAACGTATATACGTCTTTGAAAAACTCTATCGGCCAATTCTCCACACACAACACGTCGCCTTCACTATCTTTCAATTGCATGACTGCAAAAAAGGGAAGACCAACTAGAATTGCAATCAGCCAGACGATTGCGATAACGAAACGAACCTGGTAAATTGAGATGCGTGGCTCCCATGGATACGCAATGGCTTTGTAACGTTCTAAATGAAGAAAAAATCACACATTCCAATATATTTGATTACTTTTATAATGTAAACTTGTTAAAGGTTTCTTCCACTAAAGGAATCACGAAGCTGTATCATCAACGTTTTACCGGCCTGAGCCATCACACCCAACTTTCGTTAAATTGTGAACTCCGATATCCACATACAACATTTCTAGACTGATCTACATACATTTCGGCGAATAATTTGTTGAGAAAACTTGTTTAAAGATCAAAGTATTTCCCTTAGGGGATCATTTTGTTAATTCGCGTAATCATTTCTCTTGGGGATGCAATGATACAGTTGACAGAGAATTGATGTTAGTCATTCGTATGACTTAAAGAGTTAATGCGGAAACCGCTGAGACATGTAGCAAATTAATTTTCTTGATAGCAATTTGAAATTATTTCAGCAGCCAAACATCGGAAGATACTTTTTGCCAAGGGTTAGCTGCTTTCCTTGTTAGCAGGAGTCTGTTATGTTATGCCGGTATCAGCAAGGCAAGACGATAGACTGTAGCTGAAATTAATACTCACCGATACTTATCGCTGTCAAAGTTCCAATGGACGCCATGATACATATAGCCTGCGTAGCAGGAATGATCTTGCACAATGCGAAGCCAAAAGGCCAGTAGGTAAACTCATAATAAAGGACCGTGAAGGGAATGCACAGGATACCTACACTCAAGTCGGCAACAGCCAAGTTTGCAATAAGGTAACCTGTAACTGCAATAGAAAAATAATTGAACGAGGCAAACTGATAAGTATAGTCATTGGCAGGATCGCAATGGTAACAAGCGGGAAAACCATAGGGGCGCGATCCATTCAACCAAAATTTTCGGAAATTTCGGTCCAAAACTCAATGGATCGGTTCGGTTCAACCGGAAAAGTTTCGAAAAAACGGGTCCACCTTTAGAGGTGGACCACTATTCCCGGTCGGACCGGTTGGAATTTTGGTTGAATGGATCGCGCCCTTGGATTCGGGTTCGTGTTGGTTATAGGGAGGTGGTCCGGGAATTCATAAAAATTATCCAGTTCAGATGTCTAAATTTAAGTACGCCTGACAGGCTATGGGGAGGCCAGAACAGGCATGAATATGTGAAGTGGCAGTCGCACGGAGATGGTAGTTCGATACAGTCTCAACTGTCAGTTCCTGTCTCAGGCAGTCCTGAAAGACCTGTTTATAACCTACCGTTACAGGAGCCCATACTCCGTTCTAATTAAAACAATTAGCTTTTTGCATTTTAGCATTAAGGGCAGCATAATCCCTGCAAGTTTGTATAAAGGGATTTGGTTCTAAGTCTTACTTTCAATAACTAGAACATTCAAAGGCACAAAATATCACAAACAAACGCTGACAGTTCCAGTATCGGAGGTTAAAGTTATCAGGGGGTAAACACAAAAAGGAATCGTAGAAAACCAGCCAATATTTTAGTTACTATACTTGTGTATTCTACATAAGAATGCTTTTAAAACGCCATGAAATCAGTTTTTTAAAGAAGAAAAGGGTACCGGTATTCACAGAGCGAATGGTTTTGTAAAGTAGGTGTGAAGCGCAACAGCACTAAAATGACTATTATTCAGCACTTTGATGTAATCACTCATCACACTCGTAACACCGTTTAGCACTTGATGTTATAATTACAAAGAAAAAGACCTGAAGGAAAATAAAATTACTTTGAGCTTGCGAACCTTCGATTTAAGGGTAAAATTAAAGCAAACGTATGGAGAAAGTCTGAGAGAAATACACTTTGGTTCGAGTTATCTAGCCTGTGTACAGGCGCCCCCTCCCCTCAAACAAAATTTTTTTTTGAGGGGAGGGGGTGGCTGTACACAGGCTAGAGTTCTCATGGACTTCGAGTTACCGAGGTTCAAATCACCTGCATTTGTCATCCCCCGGGAAAGTCCGTGGACTCGCAGAGTATGGGTTTGGTACTCTAATCTCTGGAACTCATTTTTTTCTTGGCCCGTTTACTAGTGAGCTTGCAAGGTATTTTGCTAAATGTTAAGCGAACTGTGTGGTGATAACAAATTTTAATTTCAAAATGTGGGAAATACTTAACTTGATGGAATATATTTGGGAATAGAACAGTCATGCCCAATGTCCAATACTGCCGCACTGTTATGGACCGTTGAGAGCAGCTGACAGATAGTACATTCTGTACAAACCCTCAGCATTGTTAACAGTCATATTCTAAGCACATACGAAGCGAGCACATCTCATTATTACATCAGGGCGCCTATTACGGCAGTCCTGGTTACGGTTAGTATCATCCGTAAGATCCGTACCGATCGTATTGATACGGATTGTAAATTCCACGTTATGTAGGCCATAAAGCGTGCCAAGCACGCTCCAACAGTAATATTTTTATTGGACAACCCTTGAAGAGGGCTGACGTATCTGTAGTTGAGCGGATGAATTACACAATTTAATTAACACCTTCATCACTGCAGGGTAATTAAAAGTCAATATTTTTGTTACGTTCCAAGAAAGAAATTTAAATGTACTGACGATTACCGTAATCAATCATCAGTCTAAGTTGATTTATGTTTTACCTAAGGCGACAAAAAACGCGAATTACGGTAAATGACTGTCGGCTTGATCAAAGAGTGCATAACCTTTTAGGTAATAGTTCAGTAATTAATTTTGCATATTGCCTAATTTGCCGCCATTAATATTTTTAGGAATACAAGGAATTCTGATTTTACGCAAATGAAGGTACTTTTTAGAAAAATGAAACATTCAGGAAATTCTTTCTACGAGGTATACCGACACGTTCTCAGTTTAAACGTGAAGCTTTTCTTTATTCACGTTTTAGGCAAGGCACGTTCATTGACTATTAATAACTGGCAAACTGAATTAAATTTGTAAATTTGTTTAAGAAACGCTTGTCTTAGTATGCAACAAATGTTTTCACGTCCTTGTGGTTGGCTTTTAGCAGAGAGGGTTAGCATTCCGCACATCGTAGCAGAAAATTGGTTGATTCCTTAGAGTCAAAGTTATTTCATATTCGCAACAGAAATACTTAATATATTTATTAAACTCGAGTCCTTTAAGAGACGAATGCAGTCGACGAATTCATAGTTGTAGGTGAAAGCTGGAATATGTAAGTGCGACAACTTTAATGACATGAGGGATTTCGTAGATGATTGTAAATATCTGCATCTTCTTATCGTTCTTGAGCTTTAACCACAAATGAAAAAGCATTTCACGTGCAGAAATCAGTTTGTGAGTTACCCCAAAGAAAACAATGACAAACGCTGAAAATTGGGCGAAATTGTACCCGAGGTCATAAATACTAAGGTATTCATACGATCTTACTATCTTTCAATGCGAAAAAGGAGAGGCATTTAAGTGGCTGGAATTTTCATTTTTTCAGGAATTTAGATAAAGGAAAATCTCCGGAACACAACAGGGCTAAGGGAAACACGATTTTGTAAAGGGTTTCAATTCACCGTTCTTCTTCTTGAGTCTGCGAAGCTTTAACTTTTGAGTTGCAGGACATAAATTTGAAAATTGTAAACACAGCAGGGAAGAATGAAATGCTCGCACGTACTGTTTTCCCTTATATAAAAATCTCGTTGCCTTGAACAGCCAAAACTAGGAGAAATGGCAAACCTCAGCGGGGGTAGAAGACATTTAAAAAGCTTAATGGATTTGACAAGTCTATTTCCTGATCTCAGAGTGATAACCTACAATCAATTCTTTCCTTGAATAATATTTCACCTGATTAGTGGGTATTTTGACAAGTTATTAAAGAGATTGCCCTGCCATATTCCCTGTTTAAGTACTAAACAGCTTACTAGCTGACCAGACATGGCACAGTAGAGAAAGAAACATTTTCGATGGATCACGAATCTTGTGTCAGTTACAATTCTGACCTCTCGAGTAAGATCCCGTTCTTGTCAGTTCGGTTAATTATTCCAAACAACCAATAGTAAAAGCACTTAACCTTTAATTTATCCTTCAGTCACTAATATTATAAACATTAATAACAAAACAGGAGTCCCTCGGTTTTCTCTAAAAAGCTAAAGGCGTTTGCTTGCCCTAAACTATAAAAATTGGTCGAAAATATGCGGTTAATGAAGACAACACCTTTGGTGCGATCTCTTCATCACTTTCACACTTTATGAAGTGGTTCATTCGATAACAAGTTTGGCTATTGATGGAAAAAATGAAAGCCGTACATGAAATAAAAAATTCACCAGACATAAGGAGGTAACGCTGAGAATAACTTGCTTACCTGTGTGAAGTTCCCTTATCTTGTAGACGACGGCGAGAACTAAAGCGTTTCCAGTAATGGTTAGTAGGAAGATAACAGAGTACACAATTAACCGTAAATACTTCGAGGCCAATGGTTCTTTTATATAGTCCATACCAGCGACAGAGGCAGTCGTAGTTCTGTTTATTATCGATGCGTTTGTAGGATCCATTGCACCATACCTTGACAACAGATGCCTGTGTCCAACAAAGATGAACAGAAATTATATGCCACCAGTTACGGTAAACACATGTTGACCTCTCCAAGGCTTTTGGAAACGATATAGCTACTCCAAAGTTTGATATAACACTGGTATTAAATGACACTATCTCAATCCCAATTTCTAATGACGGAAAGCTCCTCAAGGTCTTAGCTCTGTTATATCCAATTTTCCTTGAGCAGCGCGATAGTGGCACGAAATAACTCTCGTCTTCACTTTTCATTAAAAGATCCAGCCAATCCCAATATTTATATAGTAGATTTTTTCTTTTCTTAATGGTTTCACTGTTGAAGTAATTAGTTTGCCGTAGGGCTTTTTCCGGTAAGGCAAACTGCCCGAGGTAAATTAGCACCCCTATGCGAGATTCAGTAGCCCCGACTTGCGTTATGATTGGCGTGCATTAGGAGGGCTTGTCAACAAAGCTATTTTCGAAAAAAGAGTTATTTCCTTTTTAAATGCACTTTCAATCAACGAGGGTTCAACTTTGATTATAAAGATATAGCGAAAAATAAGTTGAAAATAAGTTTGTATAAGCTGATAAACAAGAAAAATTACAGGAAGATCCAAACCAGCGCGTAAACTGGGGGCCGATGGCCAGGAATAATATCTAAGATTGGCGTTGTTCAATCACCTGAAAAAAAGAGTAACAATTGCACTTCTCTGCACTTTCCCTTCACTGAGTTAAAATCTGCTACTCCAATGAGTCCATGCTAATGCAATTTTCATTCCAAACGTAGCTGTTTTTAATCTCTAAAAGTTCAAATATGATCATATCAACTTGCCAAGAATGCCCATATTACATTGTCTCAGAAAAGCATCGTCTATCATCTAACCACAAATTATGATTCTGGTTTAAAGAAAAGGCAAACAAGACACGAGAATCAGAAATCTAGATTTGTAAGTTTGTCCGGATTCAAATAAGGACTTTGAATTCCCTGACGTTAAGTATAACTCATAAAAGCCATGCCTTTTCCTCTCTCTTAGTGCGGATTACACCATTTGCAACATATGCGAAAAGCAGGAGCCCTGGAGTATAGTCGTTGCGTGCACCTATTTCCTTTTTTAACCCTTTCTCTGCCAAATTAAGTCAAAAGCAAATTTGAATAATTGCCCAAATTTCATCTTATGAAAATTGTGAAAAACAAATAGTACCATGTGTAAGTACAGGCAGAGAGCTTTAATTTGAATGGTCACATCATAGTGTTTCGTCCACAGACTCAAAAGTTAAGGACACCTTAAAAAACTCCATCAAGAACTCTGGCAGTGAAAGTGTTAAGTTCAAAAACATTTAAAAACGTCTATCAGGCAAATGCGACGGCTACAAAAGTATGTTGAAAATGAATCTACCCTAGTTCTTAAATAACAGGAAGTGCATTTAGAAATAGACTTTTCGAACCTCCGGGGGGAAGAGAAAATGTTATTTGTTCCAATTAACGGGAGTTTCATTCTAGATGACGTTTTCATCATCAAAGACAACCAATTAAAATTTGACATATTAGGAAGACCTTGTCGCCGTCAACTACTTCAATAACTACGGTAAACTTTTAGTAGGTCACGTGATATGTCGCGTGACTATTTTTCTTCAAAACATATCAAAAACATTAGAGGACGAACTTATTTGATGTTAGGGGGAAATAACATGCTGGGAGTCCCGGCTTCGAAAATATTTTCTTGGCCCTGCAGGCCTCGGTTTGGCTTCCGAAAACTCATTCCTCTGGAACCTGCCTCCTGCCATTAAATAAAAGCTCCTCTTTATCCTCTTTATCCAAATAAACCCTCGCTAAGTGTTTTGACAGCTGTATGTGCTATACGAGCCTTGCTCTTAGCAAGAGATGGGTGGCATCAGAAGGGCAACTTAAGAGGTGTAGAATTCGTAAGTCTTGCCTCACGACAATAGATCCTGATTGTTCCTCAACAATACTTTACTGCCCTCTTATCTGAAGAAACTGTTAGATGCAACTGGCTTTATGAAATTGTAACTACCTTGCATGGGGGTGAGTAGATGAGAAAACTGTATATATTATAACCAAAGATCTTGAAAGCCATACTGTAACCCGATAAGTGTCTTGGTTGTTATATAAGTACTTGAGTTTCACTTTCAAAAACAGCTTGACATCATACTTCCAGTAAGATTATCATCAGTTCAGTTCTGTTTCAGCCCTTTAATGTCCATCGTTGGACGTAGGCCTTTCCCATTGACCTCCACTGGACCACGTTTTTCGCGACTACTGAGTATCAGGCAAGCCAACCCTTACAGTAATTCACATCGATACAAACCCGGTAACTCACTTAACATGAGTTTACGCACTTTACTTCAAAGGAAAAAGAACACACACACACACATTCACTAGGTTGTGAGATCCATCGTCAGTATTTTCAGTACTTTTTTTAGCATATATGAATAATAATTCCAAAAAGGAGCGTACATGTATTTGGTCCCAAGTGGCTAAAATTTAACCATGTCTTCTGTAAGTTAAAAAAAACTACAGTCGAACTGTTCCAGTAAGCGACAACCTAAAATGCGACGATTTAGAGGTCGCTCACTGGAGGTTGCCTGTTATGAGAAAAGAAGCCCAGGGAGTCTCTTCCAAAAAGATGACCGGACACATCTACTTTATGGAAGATAATTTATTGCATACAATGTTTAGCTATGTTTTAATGATGATAAGTGTAGCTCCCTGTTGTTACTTAAGTTCTTCGTATACTCTAAATAGCATAGTTCATACAGCAAGTATAGAGATCAGACCATTCGTCAAGTGATCGCTTACAACAGGTTAAAAACAATAGAAAATTATTAAACCCTCAGCCCCAATAAGTCGTCGCGGTCGCTTACAGGAAGTGGTTGGATTGGTGGTCGTTTACAAGAGGAGGTCGCACTCGGAGGTAAGACTCGACTATAGTAAACGGAAATATGAGACACTATGTACTGAATGTGTCGAGAAGGAATACAGTAAAATCGGTAGTAAACACCCTGGTAAATCAACTTTTTGTACCCTGCGAATACAGCAACGTTCCTAAGGATAGTTTTTGTTTTGTTCTGTTGTTGTTTGTTTCGTTTTTGTTTTGTTTTGATTTTACTTTTTTGATAAACTATTTTGGGATGTAACATGAATTCTACCAAATTCCAAGTACGAAAAAACACCTTTAGGTTACTTGAGATTTCGTTCGCTTCTGGTAGACTGAGCTTGTTCAAAGTCATTTTGTTCGGAATGACCCCTTGTGACCGGGGGGGGTAAGGTAACCACCAAGGACCTCAAACACTGAACCTGTTCAAGACAATAACTGTTCTCTTCGTTACCTTGTTTACGACAAGTGACTTTATTTTAAAAACCTGATTCGTTTTGATTTGCTTACAGAATCGAGTAATTTTTCAAACTAACATCACGAGCATCACGGAATAGGATTTTTTTGAAAACAAATTGTGGGTAGCACAAAAGTAGACCGCTCATCGCCAAGCTTCACACTCTTTTAAAAGGCCTCCGGTCCAAAAAGGCACCCTGTTCAAGACGCTAAGTAATTAAAATATGGTAGACTCAAGACCCTGACACCATACCCTGTTTAGAGTAGCCTGCAAAAAGGCTCCCAAGTGGAGCGGGGCGAAAAGGAAAATCGGGGGACGGCAAGCGGAGCGTGGCCTATTCACAGGCCGCTATGTTTACAGGAACATATCCATCAAGCTAAATGAGGGAGTGCCCCCCACAGGGGAATGACATCCACTGTTGTAAAATCAATTGCCAAGTGAACCCTTCAAAATTACTAAAGCGTTGAAACTCGAGAGCTCAGAGTTCTTTGTGTATTTGGGCTGAATCCTCCGCGGCTCCCTTTGCCTACAGCCCTTTTGAATCCTTTTTTGAACTGATCGCCAAGGAAAGCATAGAGAACCGGGTTGGTTGCACTGTTGATGAACATCAACAATTGAAAGTAAGACTGCAAGATGTACATGTACCTATGGAAAAAATAACGTAAGGAGAAAAAATTTAATTATAATGATATTAGCAAAATTTTAAAATTAACCTTGTAATCCATAGCATAGCAAAAAAGGTTTTGGGGTTTTTTACAGTCGCTTATAGTAGCTATAAATGTCAATCCTCTGTTAAAATTAACCATAAGCTGAAAACTAGCGTGTAAGAACCTACACTTTTTTTAAGCCTATGATGGAGTAGCTATTGGCAATAAAGTAGGTTGTTAATAAGGTTCGTACCTTCTACGAAGGAAATAAAGTTATTGACTACCAGAAAAATTAAATAACTTGGGTTTGGTCCTTAAATAATACATTGTATTTATTCTCAACTGTATATATTATGGTTAGCCTAACAAAACTCGTCAGAATGTATAAGTTGTGTTTTGTCTGTAACAAGTTCTGTATCGTTTTAAAAAATAAATTAATTAAAAAGTTGATAAATTTAATATTTTCTTGTAACGTAAATTTGCATTTTCAAAGTCAAACTAAATCGCGTATTTTCTCGTACATGAATTTGCAATCTCAAAGTCAGACTCCTTGGTTAAAATGCTGATCATAATTTTACAAAGTTTGCAGTTGGGGATAATGAGAAGAAGATGACTTGTCATATTTTTCTTCATCTTTATCCCCAAGTAGCAAACTTCCCTTGCGAGTGTGTTGACAAGTCTAAAAAGCTTGAATAAATTACCAAATACAAGAATAAACAAAAAAGTTAAAGTAAGAATACCCTTTCAGATAGGAGATAATCCGTCGGCAGTCTTTCTCTCAACTTTCACAAATGTGTTAGCGTAGCATTTTAAGGTTAAATTTCACCAGCATTTTGTGCAGCGAGTTGTATGGTCTCGATTGACTTCATGCAAACTTGCAGATACATAAAAGTAGAGAGCTCTAAGGCTTATCTGCTGCAGCTAGGGAAAAATCTGTCGTCAAGGAGTTTCGAGGTTATTTACATCTTTTGTAAAAGTGCAGATCTTAAAATATGCCGATATCTCGAAAACTTTTTATACCGAAAGAAAATAAAGAAAATAAATAACATTTCCTTAAATTTCCATCGTTCTTTACTACGGATGCTAAGAACCATAAAAATCGGTTAAATCGTTCCTGCTGACTGAAAACGCGATTCAAAAAACAAAACCAAGACGCATATAAAAAGGTTCGGGCCACCTTAATCAGGCAAAAAGTACCTACTGAGAATAGCAAAAACTAAACGAGTTGAGCCGTTACAATGATCAAATACCTTCTATAGGGTTATGACACACGAAAAATAAAGAGCAAAATAAATGAAATTTAGGAAAATAATAAGAAAATAAATAAAAATAAATAATTAAATAATAGAACAAACAAAACAATACGGTACCAGATAACCTTAAAGATAATTATTATTCATTACCAGTACGTCTATGCTCGTGGCGTTCTTAAGAGATATACTGTCGTAAAATGAAATATCCTGATAAACCAGCAACTCGTGATATAGCACGCGACTGAAGATATGACCTAAGAGAACCTCAGTGAAACTGCGCTTTCTCAAATTGCCTGTTCCAGGCGTTTAGACTGGGGGGACCGGGCAAAGAAAGAAAAGAAGGGAAAAAAGGGACTCCTGGGATGACCTAGTAGAGGAAAACAGAAATCGGCAGTTGTAGTGTCTTTTTATGCGATACGAAAATAGTTCAGCGAAAAAGAAGCCCTCGTGGCATAGCGCCTAGAGAAAAGGTAAGAGCAGCGAAAGCATTTACTTCAATTAGCATTTTTTACAGGCTCCTTTAAAGATTTTTTAAAGCGGGCAATAAAATCACACAGAGCATCTTGTTAAGGGCTAAAGAAACTATTATGATAACCCCCAATACCTGAAACAAGGGTCACGAGTCAGGGTAATAATTAGATGAAAAGTCACGTGGAAGAAGCTTTTAAAAAAGCTTTAATTTTATTTATTCAGCATTTAAACTACTTACACTCTTCTTTACAGGTTAAATAAATTTCTACAGTTAATAATTACAGGTCATGAAAGCATTTAACAGACTAATCATTTGAGGTTCGATTTGTGGTGGTTAATGACCAGCCATTAATGGTTGACCTAAAACTCCTCCTGGTAGAGGCGACTGTTTTTTTTAAACTAATTCTAAACTGGTCTCCCATGAAAGCATACAACACAGGATTGGAAGCACTGTTTGAGAACATTAGGAGCTGAGAGAAGCTTTGCAGTATTGGATTGAACCTGCGAGAGATAGAAAGAAGCAAAAGACTTCAATGCAAGCTAGACGGCTATTGAAATAGCAACTACTCAGTAACGACCCTGCCATTACGCCATTACGTTCATCACCTGCCGAACAATACTGGAATATTATTATCCCATATTAAGTTATTGGCTATTCTAAACTGACATTGCCAAGCATGACTGCGATTGTTGAGCCAATTTGTTATAGATTGTTTAAGACGTTTCTTGACCAATCGGAGAGATAACTCACAGATCGGTGAAGCTACATGGTTTGCTAGATTTCCATTTCCCTAGAACGTCCTCTATCCAGAAATCATTTGACAGGTGTGAAGGCAAGAAATGTTAGGATAAGACATGCTAAACGGCCAGCGGAGGTGTGATCATTTCATGCGCAATAAAAGAAAAGAAAAGCAAGCCAAAAAGAAAACCCCTGCCAGGTCGCACAATAATTTTGTTAGTTGTAAAGCACACCTTTAAATTTACAATTTAAAACAGAACAAACGTTTGACGCTGGTAAATGCTGACTACCGTTTCGAAATAAATATATATATATGCTCGGATTCTATCACACGTGACATCGACCTGCTGAATCGGATATACTGGTAACAAACTGAATTCCAGGAAAGTTGACTAAGGCCCTGTTTATGTGAAGAAAACTTGTCCCGAGTAGAAGTGTCACTCGCCCACCCAAGCTACCCTGGGCGAGTCAAAACTTGCCAGTCCATTCACATGACAAAAAGTTGGCTCGGCTAGACTCACCCGTTTTCGATGGCAGGGTCACCCTCCTCCATGTAGACACTGTGGCTCGCTCAGCCGGGTCAACTCGGTCAAGGCGAGACAATCACAGCATGCACAAACGCTGTTGTCAGCCCTTGGCTCGGGCCAATGGGTCGACTTTATCCCATACAGTACCGTGCAAAACACTATAAACGCTCGCTAAAGTTCACTCGGCTCTGAGGATGACCCTCTTTCCCGGCTCAACTTTTCTATTTCTCTAGTAATCGATAGGCTTATTTAAAATATAAAGTGTTTACCTGGATATGTATCCTCCAAAGTCCATCATAAAGTATAAAGTATGGAAGGGAAGGAAGCACAATGCATAGCAAATAACTACTGCTGACAACATTTTGATGATCCTCTTTGTGGCTTGAGCCTGTGTGAACCCTGGTCTATCAGCAGCTTCTTTGATCGCTAGACGCAACTTAAGTCCAATCCGTATGTAGATGAGAATCATAATCGGCAGTGGGATAGCGTAAGTTAAGGCAAAACTGCACAACAAGTATATTTTTTGGTACGATAAGCCAGAAGTTGGTGGCCAAAATTCCCCGCAGCTGACCCAATCTTTAGCGAGTTGGACCTCCATGACTCCCAGCATTGGAAACGCTGGTAAAAGAGCAGTCAGCCATATCAGTATCATGATAAGCTTTCCTTGAGATCTTGTAATGCGCCGCCCGAATGGATACACAATGGATTGATGGCGGTCTGTAGGAAAAATCAGACCAGAATATGACTGATGTAAATAACCGGGAGGTGCTCCTCATACGCGGAGGCTCCGCAAACACAAAAGATACACAGATCAAGTGGTTGGTACACTTCGAGTATCGCAAATGATCCCCCCCGACCGCAGATGGTCCCCAAAATGGACTGCAAATGATTCCCATTGTCAACCGCAAAATGATCCCACGAGGAAAATCAGACTGGCTTGGACTCAAATTACTGGAACATCGTGTCAAGTTTATTATAACATTTTGCTTCATAAATAAATGTTACAATTGTAAAACTACATTAAAGACTTTGTTCAATTAGTGAAACACAATCATTTGCAGCATGAAATCATCACGGTCGGGGGTCATTTGCGGTATTGGCAGGAGCCTGTTGGCTCCTGGTACCTACTGCAAGTAATAATTGACACCTTACCTATTGAAATGGCCAACATAGTTCCCACAGATCCCATAACAAAACATGGCATTAAGGCAGGAAGAACTTTGCACATCACTGACCCAAAGGGCCAATAGAAATTAAGTTCAAAATAGACAACTGTAAATGGTATACATAACAGTCCAACACCAAGATCAGCAACAGCCAGATTTGCAATCAGATAACCCGTTACTGAAAAAAAGTAAATCATCCACCCATAAGTATGCATTTGCGTTCCTTGAGTACCGTAGCGGTACAAAAACTATAACACCACTAACATAGTACTTTTAGTGGAAGTGCCAGTGGGCAGAAGATTACATTTTCAAAACTCAGTAGCATAACGATGACGTATAAAACTTCAAACAATGAAAATGACAATTGTACCGTGAAGTAAGACGACTGTATTTTTGGTTAGTTTGTTTTTGTTGTTTGTTTGTTTTTGGTTTTTGTTATTGTTTCCGTTGTCTTTGTTTCAACCGTTTCGGAGGCAGAGCTGGAGATAATTCTACACGGTTAGACTACAGATCTGTGAGAATAAAATATATGACAGCAATAAATAGATTAAGCCAAGGCAAAAGTGAAGCTCTCGTGGGATCTTTAAGAAATGTCTTTCTGAAGTTAATTCAACCTTCCCCATACGAGCTCCGCCACTCATGACTTCCCCGTCCTTGCAACGATTTTAGGTGCCATCGCACGCGTCTGAGCTGCCAGGTGATTCTTCGCTTTGATATCATGCATAGGATTTGCAAAGTTTCCCATGAGATGGCATGTACTGGATAACTAATTATCCTAGCACGTTACTGATTAACTGATCATGCCTTTAAAATGAATAAATAGTCACAGTGAAGGTAAACTGAAGGAAGGTCACTCAATTGGTTTCTTCCTTTTTCTCAATTATTTTGAATGTTATGTCGTTCTAAACTGCTTGGTTTTTCCGATTTTTGGCTATTAGGAAATGACGACCAAACTCGATTGTCGAAGAAAAAAGGAGGCTATGAATGGTTGTAGAAAAGATTAATGTGCTTTTAAGATAGTAAATTAAGAGAGTAAAGCAGGATTTGTGAAACTGACTATGCCCACGTACCTCGAGCGATACTTGAGTATAACTTCCAACGCAATTAGAAAATATATTGGGAGAGATAGACTGCGAGTCCAACTATTCTATGAATAGTCATTAGCTTATCTACTTCTTCTTCCCGAAAAACATCGCAAAAAACGATTTGTTGAAGACGTTGTATTTGTTTTCGTTCAAAACACCGGCTCGCTACAAAAGTCAAATGAGTATGTCACCCAATTAGATCACAAAATTCGAGATGGTATGCTACTTGCTTTGTACTAAATGTTACTTACAGCTGTTTTTCGATTTAACTAGAGCCCAACTAGGCGTAGCCTGCGAACAGGCGGAAATAAAGCCTACTGTACTCTTGAGATCATTATACCATTGATGTCACACTGCATGTCGCAGTACTGACACACGACCGTAATCATAAAATCTTTATAACATAAACCTCAGGAATCAAATGCAGGTCTCAGTTTATATGGAGGAGTTAAATTTCCTCGCCGGATTTTACAACTAAAATTTCTTTAGTTATCATCATAACTGAATGCTTACGTCAATCAATAACAACTAGCAATGATAAATGCCTCTGGCATTTAATATTTTTACCAACAATATTATTCACTGTATCGCGTGCTACTTGTTGCCTTCCACCTAATGTGTGTGTTAAAAGTCCGGGGATTCGGTATTTAATGGTTGTCGTCTGGCTCAAGGTGTGGTAAAGATGATGTCGAACCCGGTTACTGTGTAAACCATAATGCCTACACTGGTGGTCAAGTCAATACACATGTTTTATGAATTTCCGAAAACGGTGAGATGAAAAACAAAGCAGTTTAACGCAGAGGTCCATTTCCACTCACGTCTTTTAAGTAGTTGTGGGTACTTTGACACCCACAAGAATTTTGAAGGAATTGTTATGTATTCGGTTTCAGTAGAAAAAACCTTCTATAAAATTAGTTTAGTGGTCAGTTTCCCTGTCTCGTAAAATAACAGAGATATCTCGTGTCATAACAAGATCATAAGTGATTTTTGGCGATGAATGAAAATGTGAAGTAACACCTTATGAAATCAAAGAACTGGGATTAGGAAACGATACCAAAACAGCTTCATTAATATTATTGAAGAGCTTAGATAGCAATGTTATGTCTAGGTCCCGACGCCCTTTACCTGTCTATTTTCGAAAACGAAATTTTTTCTTTTTTTCTGTTTCAGCTTTCCGTCCACACATTAACGACGTTTTCGGGCACCACAAATACAGGTTTCGAAAACGGTCCACAGAGTTGAGATTTTGAAAACAACGACTAACTGCACTTATGTATTGACGAAGTAAAACGGAGAATTTCAAACCATGATGTCATACACCATATCACAAGCAGTGCGCATTCCCTTTAAGGGATGCTCTTTTACATCGGTGTCTTCGTGTGGACAGGGGAAAGAGATTCGTGGACGTGTATTTCTATGAAAACGGAGAAACAAATCCCCTTTTTCTGAAAATATCCGGATACTTGTAAACTGGCCTAAAAGGTCAGCTACTTTGTATTAAATTCTACAAAAAAAAAAATACAGCGACGCTTAAGTTCATTATAATATGATGTATTATATGGACAACTTCAAGAAGGAACGCCACTGGAATTCCTATCTGCGGAAAAACCGGAAAACTCTTCAAGGATCTTCCTAAAAGGAGCCCAGAAATTTTTAAAGGAGATTTTTTTTCCATAGAATGTCATTAAACAATGTGGGAAAAGGGCGATAGACAATTGAACCTTCAAGCAGCAAAAACCCGGGCGGGCGCGCGCGAGATGATGAAATCGGTGTCTAACGCTAAATAACTAAAGCGTTGCGTTGTACAGTTCCGGGCTCGCAAACGTCTTTGATACAAGAATGTTAATCCAATTATTTTTGCCGTGGCCTTTGTTACCCTCTTTTGTTTCACAATTTTGTGTTCTTCTTTTGCGTTTCTAGATATCAACCGGCTTGTACTCGTCACACTAGTATTAAAAAACAAAATGAAATGGGATACTGAGGTAGAAGCAGAAAACAAGGCGTAGCAATTGTGGCAGTTATAAAGAGTTAGGAACAATTTGCAAGTGGCAATCGTGGTCAGTTTAATGGACAAGAAACAATGTAAATATTCTTGTGTACATAGAACAGAAAATGGAGGTTGCCTCTTGTTTGCATTTGAACAGGAAATGAACACACCTTTTGTCTTCACTAAAAGCGATAGAGCACATCGTAAACTTTCTCAAGAACGTAGATAATTCATCCTGCACAACAACCTTTTAGATTGCCGATTGTTATTGTCATACGTTCGTTTCAATGTGTTGAATATAAATCAATCCAACTGCAAATAAGCTACAAGAGACACGTAAGCTGATTAACTCAGCCCACAACTGAAATGAACGTTGTGTATTGCATTAAATTTGCCCAGTTGGTGCTATCAGCACTTTTGTGTCGTTTTGAAGTAATTGCCTCAGCGGACGTTTGCATTATAGTATCAATGCCAAAACACTGAGTCCTGAACAATATTATCAATACCTTTGCTTATGAAAACTGTAGCCTGCCTAGAATAAGGTTCTAGAAGCCGTGTTGTGTCGTATGGGTGAAAGTTTATTCGCTTGGTAATCCTCTTAAAAGCTTTTCGGCTCGAAAAAGCAAACGCGGAAAGATAAAAACTACTTACCGCTATGCAATTCTCGTGTTTTGTACACCACGAAAATAACAAGAGCATTTCCAAACGTAGCTAACAGGAATATAATCACGTAAACCGTAAGACGAACAATTCGAAGTCCCAGCGGTTCTTTGACGTAGTCCATTGGTGTTTCGGTCGGGGCCGTTCCCGTCCCGTTCAACTGAGTTGATCCCTCAGAAAAGCTCATTTTATGACGAAGTAAACCTGTGTCTTGTTCGAGTGACACTTACGATGGCGTAACGTAGGTTCCTTGAATGCCCTTTGCCGTAATAATATTAATTGACCAAACGAACTGAGTTGCGATAAGAAGTTAAGAATATTTGGGCGCATCTACATTCTTGACATCGGCTTGACATCTGGGTAGTTCACCTCAAAGCTTTCTAACAATGTAATGGCTCTCTGTGCGTTGAAATGCAACCACCGGGTTTACTCAAACAACAAATAAATGTCAATTAGAGGAAAGAGTCCACATTTGTTTCCTGATTACATCAAGCCAGAAGCACTTTCTTGCCGTTCATCTTTGGCATGGTTCATCAAGATCAATTTTGACGAGCATGGTCGTAGAGCGCTGAAATCTCATGTTGAAATCATGTTGAGATGCAATCAGACGTGTCAGATTTTATCATTTTAATAGCAATTTAAGAGCTAAGACGGGATTTGTTGATCAACAATGAACGCGAACAAGCCTTTGTGTTCTGCGTACTTTGTGGTGCTAGGTTTCACAACCTTGATTAACATTTATTAATTTATGAGCCAGTCTGAAAAGGAAGCACATCGAAAAAACAGTTTGGCAAGAGCTCATAACATACTAAAGAAAACCGCACGTAACGACCCTGTGGTGTTCATCAAATGTGGTATTCACTTCATTGAAGCCCGGATTGTAGATATGATAACTGCCATTAGCCGTTGTTAAAATCATCAATCTTCATTAGCATCATAAAGAAAAGATCAAAAGTAATAATACTTGGCTAATTGTGAAAGTGACACTAACACTAATTCAAATGACGAGCATTGCATTACAGTAGCTTTAAGAGTACTCACGTTTGTGGCGGGAAATATTTTCTTTTAATTTAATACAAATATTTAAAAGCAAGGTCATAACGTGTCACCATCCAAGTTTAAGCAGGTATGTACTAAGTAGAATAAATCCGGTAATGAGAAAGGCCAAGTGTTCAAGAAAACTGTGTGTCATGTTCTCTTCATACTATCCTGACTTGCGCACAGAAGAACTTTTAAAAAAGATGTGTTTTTATATCAAAAATTTGGTGTATTGAAAAGATTGCAACAGGTCATTTGGCTCTAACTCTGATCGAAAGACATTATGAAAAAGTAGCTGGGTGAGTCGCCGAAAATATTCCTGTGAAAGTATTTAACAGACTGGGCAGCTGATGACTTGAAAGAAGGCTGACTATTTTTGAGTGGCCGTTGTCACGAAAGCGTGAAATCGCTTCGATAACGGAATTTTTGTAAGGTTCGTTACAGTATATGGGGTGTGAAAATCTACGAAGCATATGGTAGTTTAAGAATTCTAACGATTTCGACGACACGTAACTGTGTTCAAGGTTCAAGCCAAAACGTTAAGGAACCGGGTGAAAGGAAAGTGTTGATAAATAGAAGATATTATATGGCCGCGCGGAGATACGAAATTTCTCTTCGAGTGAAATATTTTTTCAACTCGAGAAGAGAAATTTCGTTTCTCCAAGCGGCCATGTAATATTCTATTTATTATATAAACATCAATGAACTACCAAACCATTTCACTTTAATAGTTTTTCGGTGTGAAAGGCGCGATTTATTATGAAGTCATAGCAACGGTGATATTTTCACATGTGAAGATAACATGTTATTTTCACACGTGAAGATATCAAGTTTTCGCGCGAAAGCTCACCTGGTATTTCATTGGTGTATATATAATAAAAAATTTTATTTAACTGTCTTTACACGACAGTTCATATTAAAGACATTATAGAGAGTTCAAATTAACGACAAAATAATTAGTTTAATTAATTAAATTTTCTTCGCCCAACAGTAGTCACCGTGGTCTACTGTGGTGTTGTCTGCTAAAGGATTGTGTACTTTTGAAACAACTCAGTATCGGACATTTTGTAAAAGTAATTATAAAATATCCCTCCCTGGGTCTTCGGACCTCCATTCACTTGATGGCAAACGTTCCAGTCCGTTCTCGATAGGCTGCAGGAACCCTCTCATGTCTGCTCGGGATCTCGAAGAAGAAAAATGCATGCTGTTTTAATTTAAGCCCATAAGCTATATACCGTAAGCGTAGGAAAAAATGTGTTCCTACCGAACACGCAAAAAATGCAGATGTTAAATTCCATGAAATAAGTAAACTGTGATTTATGACTATGGATCTACGTATTGCGGGCAGTAGTCAGTAAGAGTGCAAAAGATTTTGGAATGGGCTACCAAATTTGAAGAATGGCCACCAACCACTGACTGGTTCGCAGATGGCAGTTGCTTGATCAGTACCAACACAATTACAAAAAAGCCGCACAATATTTGATACCGTAAGAGGGCTTTTGATTTTACAGCATTGCTTCACTGATTGTTATCAGTCCGAGTTTTATGTAAGAAAATGAACCAAAGTACACATTAGTTCGAATAAAGCTTTTAATTACCACGGTGTTTGCATAAATAACCTTTCTCCGTTTTGTACAAAGCCAATCCTTTACCAGCAAAGAATTTCTTATAGCTTTGAGAAATTCACAAGAAATATTTTACACATGCAGTAACATCGTCCTATTTAATGAAAAATGAGAATTTTAAAAAAAACTGAATAGGAATAAATTAGGCCGTTCACTACATTCAGCAATCTGTATTCTGACGGAAGATGACGCCTTTATGGTGACAAATTTACTTCCTCTCAACTCCACTGAATTCTAAGGCAAGTATGATATCATACCGTAAAACTGTTTGTGGGATTATTAATAGAGAATATCAAAATATAGTTTACATGGCTAACTTATTCCTATTTGGCTTTTTTTAATTTGTTTTTAGTTATTATTTTTGTATGAGCGTTATTGCAATAAGGTATGCATCTCATACCTCTAAAGCCCCGTGCGAACCAACGCAACATTGTTGGCCAGCAACTCCCAACATGGTTGGATGTTATATGTTGTGTCCGTTTACACACCCTGTTACATGTTGTTGCGTGTTGTTGCATCCGTTTGCACGTGGCTTAAGGTATTTTAAAAGCAAATCACTTTTAAGCACAATTAACATTTTTACTCTTTATAATGATCCCTACATTTTTCTAATCTGCTATTATACATTTTATACAGTACTTTACATGGAATTATATTCAGTCACAACTTGACGTTATTTTAAATTAGTCTACTTAAATTACCTTACCTACAAAGGTTGCTCTTAATTATTTACCTTCAGAATCCTTTTACTGGAAGAAAAATGCAATTATTCATTTGTTTAAATCAGGGAACTCAAGTTAAAAAGGGGTTTACTTCAATCAGCGTCGCTACTAAAAGGGTGTCCGGCTGATATACAGTTTTACCAATATGAGCAATTCCGCCCATATTTTAACAATTGTGAGGTCATACGAGTGAACTTTGATTGTTCAGGGAGAGCGGTCTGGCAATGCATCGATGTGTTGCCCAAAACCATTTTTAAATAAGTACCACAGTAAAGATCCTACCAAGATCGGTGGCAAATCAGTCGTTCCAACAACTAAGAGAAGTTTCTTTAACAAAAAAAAAAGTTATGACTAGGAGTCATTAAGTGAGGAACGTAGTTCTATTCTAATAAGAAGGTTCAGGGGTGGAACCTCCAAACCTTGGGAAACTTTAACCAGCTCTAACGGAAATTTGCAACCGGTGTAGGCATTGGAAACAACTGTTCAACAGCAAATTGCAGTTACGAACTACACTTTTTACCGCGTTTTGGAAGCTAGGACTTTTTAATACGTACCAAAGGAAAATGAAATTTAACCGAACAAAAGCAAAAATATGGTTACACTTTGGGCCATACGGACATACTTTGCTAGTTCCTTAGCCCTTTTTACATCTTGGAGCTTGCGTGCATACAACATTCAGAAAATTGTAACGTACATTGTGTCGCCTTCAATGTTTCCTCCACCTGTTTCCTTCATCAAATATCACTTTACTACAGTCAGTAATAATAAGAACAGATAAAACGGAAAGCTCACGATAAAAAAGAATTAGTGTACACTTACAGCACCTCGTCGAATTGTCAAGATACGTACATTGTTAAACAGTTTCTCCTCCTGTGACTTCTCTCTCTTCTGCAACCTCATTCACTTGTTGATCGACTTTTAAGCGCCATCGCAAATGAGATGGCAGAGCTCTTTTCCCCAGATGACTGGCAAGGTCTGCTACTTCTCTCTCGAACTCCGCCAATAACACAGAAGAGTCGCTAATTGGCGAGTGATGAGTAACCAAGCCTAGGCGAATCTGTCCACCGTGATTGGTAATAGAGATTGACAAACCATTTTCTGTCTTTCTCGGAGCCCAGCACGCCATCATCTTTGCCATTTTGCCGTTAAGATATACAGGCGTGTTTGGTCCTGGGATTTGGGTCACCGTACAGGAGACCTTTTCAGTTAAATAGTTAATGATCCGTCTACCAACAGACAGAGGGAAAAGTAGGAGACAGAGCTTGATGAACCCATAAATGATGATCGTCTCAAGAGTAAATGAAAACTTATCTATTCTCCGTCTGGTTTCCCAAAGACGAGGGACAGCTCCTACAAAATGATTAAGTTGTAATAAAATAAGTACACGCTTACCGTCGAGGGACCCTCCGCTAGAGTTATCCGCTTAATTCAGGTACGTTTTTCATATGACATGGGAAGTTACGTTGGGACTTATACTAATGCCTATGCGCGCTTAAAAAAAAAGTGGTAACGGACGTAACTGATTGTCAACTGTTCCAGGCTTCAAAAGTGTTGACCTGCGTTCTGACGGCTTTATTATCGGTCACTGATTAACACAGGTAAGAATAAGCTAGTGACTCAACAGAAGATAGGTTTGAGAAAAGGTGGAATATCCGTTCACGATTTCACGCAATTCGAAGCAAAAGCTCTTCTCGTACTTTCGATAGGTAATCGTTACTTCGCAAAGTAGATTTCGTACCGTTGAAAGACTCGTAAACAATCTCTAGTTATCTGTTGTGGAAAGCGTGAAGGCGTTGGGCAAGTGATAACGGTTGCGGGACGTGATGGGAAGGACGAAGAAGCAGCTTTCCGATTTACGTCTTGCTAGTTCTCAATGCAATGCAATCACATGACCCGGGAGCTGAAAGAGTCTGTACCGTTGGTCTGAAAGGATGTCATCAAATCTGACAAAATAGACCCATCTTCACTCGTAAATAGAAAGTACAAGATTTTCACATGTACGGGTTGTTCTAACTTACCAAAATGCTATTTGGCAGTTACATATTGCGAGTTACGTATCAGAAATGCAGTACGAAATCAAAGGAAAGTTTCAAAGTGAGAAAGCAAATTGACTGGAAATTTTTCTTAAACTTAATTTGTCTCAGAGAATACGATTACAAAAGCCAAATCATGACAAACACAGTTTTACACGATGTTTACAAACTCCCTCACTTTATTTGCGCAAAAAAAATGACATTTGAATTGAAAATTTATGTTCGGCCCTCTTGTGAACGTGAACCGGCTTTTGAGGGTGTACTCAGTGGTCAATTAAAAATTTCAAGACAGTTTGGTGTTAAGTAACCGGCCGCGCTGTATCTTACTAAAGATTTATATGATGTGCGTAAGGCAGGTTGGTTAATAGCGGCCTGGTTTTAACTCATACCTAAACAGATTAGACTGTAAGCAGTCACGTCACTTATTTTTCTTTTGCAGTTGCTACGAGTCACAGTAGATCGAAGGCACGCATGAATGGCGAGCAGTGAAGCTGTGAGGAACAACGGCGGAAGTCCTTCTTCGTCCCTCCGTCTTAAACTCTCCTCCTTTTTACAATTAATTTGCATAAAAATTTTACCTTTCCGCGTGCGCGGTTCTGAAGAAAGAAGGACGACCGCTCGCGGTCTAAAACAGGTTAAGAGCCTTTTTCATGCCTGTTTCATGGAGGTGGGGGACCAAAGGTGGGTGTGGTAACCCGCTCGGAGGGGTGGGGGAATAACCCGCGGTTACAAGCAATCTGACAACCCCGCCATCCCGGGGTGCACTTTCTCAAGATTATTGAATGGCTGCTAAGCAAGTAAACCAAAAAATGGATGTTAAATGTTGCGTCCGTTTGCACACCCTGTTGCATTTTGTTGCATGTTGTTACGTGTTGTTGGGAGTTCTTGCATCTGTTAGCAGACCACTGCCAACACGGACGCAACAACTCTCAACATTTTCGGGCCAACGATGTTGGGAGTTCGTGTTACGTCCGTTCGCACGTAGCTTAAGATTCGATTTGTTTTGCAACCATTTTGTAATCCACTTCTGGTGTCTTGCACAGTCAGGTAATGTTAAATGATTTTCACACTCTTGGTATGTTACATATAATTGCACTTTATGACACACCACACTTTAATGAGTAAAATGTAATTTTCCTTTAAACTGGCCACTGAATTACCAACAGTATCATACCTTCTGTTCCTACTGGAAGTTTGACAAAAGCCAGGGAAGACTTGTTATCCAGGTTCAGTTTGGTATGTTGTGGTCTAATGTCAGTTCTTATACAGACAAGAATGTCATCGGGGTCTTGACATTTATGCTTCTGTAGATACGAACGAATTGCACCAGCAACACAGGAAAGAAGAACAGTCTCCACTAAATCAGAAAACAAGATCCTTAATCACAACTGTAATTCAATAGACCAATTTTTTTCAAGATATTTAACCACAGTTGCTCTTAGGCTAGGGAAAATTACACAAAATAAATATACAGTAAAAACCAGCATAAAAGAACAAGTGGATTAAGAACACTCGGGCTGAAATTGGGTCAAAAAAGTAACATATTCATAAGAACTTGTTCAGCCTGAAAAATGAAGATTGTTCTTAATATATATAAAAAAAAATTGGCTGCCAGTTAGATTAGAATAACCTACTAGGGTACAGTACTAAGTAGATCAATAGTTACATAGAAAGAGGGAGGGGGAGCTGGTGCATTTTGAATTTGCTGACTGTTGCTGAGTTTCGAGTTATTTATCACCAGAACTGCTACCCCTCCCCCAATGTAATATTATTGCCTTCATTAATGCAGTTAAGATCATAGTTCCACCCATTAACTATAATTAAAACGTTGTGCTTGCACATTAAATGATTTCATCTGTTGGTAGTCTATGCAGTATTTGATTTAGAAACAATTTTAAGACCACCTTAAGAACATGAACAAAATCAGCCTGAAGCCCCAAAACAAGTGTTCTTTTATGCGGTTGTTTACTGCATTGGCCATCCCGGTGACTCTCAAGGTAATTTCTTCTATCTTATTCCCCCAAGCCTCACAGCCAAGTCTGAACTTTAATACATCATAATAGTACAGAACTAACTCAACTTTTTTTTAATATAACTTACTCTTTTCACGAGCCAGACCCACCCCCCCCCCACCCCCGGCTGTCACTAAACAAAGTCGAATACTAAATTAGTTTCCACAACAAGTGAGTAACATCAAATAACTCCATATATACATTGCAAGTGGCTGGTACACAGTGTTGACTTTAACACACCCTGCCAGTAGCGCCTTTCTTCCCCCTCACTCAATTTTGGCACAGACGAGAGATAACATGAATCAATTAAATCCTTTGTTAACTAGGCGCTGCATGTCGCTCTTATACAGATTCAAACCCAAGCCTAATACTTTAAACTTGGTGCAGCAGGCTCAGCTATGACTATCGGTTTATTAATAAACAGATGGCCTCTGCACTTGAAAAACCAGTTTGACGAGAGAAAACAAGATCGACTAGTCCAGAATTTCAGTATTCAGTGACTTCAAAGGCTTGACATGATTCAGGCAGAACCTCCTTTTCTTCTCTTTGATCAAGAAGAAGACAAAAGGAGGCTCTGCTCACAGGGTGACTTTTACAGTGACAAAACAGTAAAGCAAACTATATATTTGCATTTATTAAAAACTGAATCATTGGATAATGCAATTCTAGAGTTCTGATTGGCTTAGCCTTCATGGTATATGAGCCAATATACCATGCTCTCAAAAAATGGTAACTGCAGACATCTGCTCAAAATTAAAGACAAGCTGAAAATCGGCTGTTTATACAAATAAGGCGGAAAAGAATTCTCTACATTTTGTGGGCATCTTTAATAAAACAATATTATTCCACTCGTGGTTGCTGGATAGGAGGTGATTATAGCCAACTCAGTGCTAAACACCTCATTGGCTATCTACCATCTCATATCCAGTAGACAATAATGGAATAATTATTGTTAATTATTGCATATAGGTAATTATTGGTATTTTTTATCCTGCATGAACACAGAAAAAGAGAAACTAATTAAATTCTACAACGGGATGACTATAAGCCCAAAATAGTTACCTATAGGAAAGTGAATATAAGAATTTCATCATATATTTGAATTTATTGGGGGAAAGATCATCACAAGAAATGAAAGATGAAAGATCATCACAGTTACCAGTATGTGTAAAACACAACTTAAGCAGTTAAATTACTACCTCTTACCCCTAATGAATCTTCACATGTATGGGAGAAAAAGCTACCTGAAAAACAACACTTTCTTCATCCTCTCTTATGGAAATCACTTAGGTAACCCTATATGTCACAAGGTTTTTAAAAGTTTTGTCTTACAATTTTAAAAAACTAAAACAGGGCTGTGCTCTAGAAGAGCCCAGTTTACCTAAGAACAGCAGAAAATTTAAAAAAACTGTAACTTTGGTATGAAACATCTGTGCGGGAAAACATGAATTTCATAGTTTCAGAACTCTGGGCTTCCCTGCATCACGTTACAGCCGAGTCTGGCTAAAAAACTGCTATAATCCGAGAAAATGTGAAACCAGCATTCTCCCCCTACACCCATCCCCATTAAGGACCCTGGGGGAGGGACTTGTATATGAAAGAGACAGGGATACTAATGATTCACTGTCTCCCTTGGAGGGGGAGCAAATTGCTTATTTAGGTCTTCTTTAGGGTGTTCAGTGCAATGAACTATGTGCAAAGAAATATCTATATACAAGATCAATGTTATAGTGCTGTGTTGGTGTAATATCTTCTTTATATGTCCAATACTAAAGGCACTTCTCAGCGGCAAGGGTACCTAAAACGAATTGTACAAATTTTGTACAAATTTTGTACAACCGCATTTTCAAATCCCTCACCAAAGAACAACATTGCTACACAAAAAGCTACCATCACCCTCCCCCTGGAGCAACAATTCATTTAGATGAAGCCTCAAGTGGCAATAAACATGCAGTATTTCCCAATTGTAAATTTCTGATAAGTTGCAAGTAGAAAGTGAAGCAAAAGCGAATGCCGTGAAATTATTTTTGTAAAAACGAATTAATAAGACGCAAGTGGCACATTTTCATCCACTTGTTAGTAAGCAATGTGTACCTTCAGACCCACAGCCTTCTGCGGGGATTCCCCCTGACCATGGTCTATTCTGTCTACCAGTCCTTCTCCACAAGGTACTGTGCATTACAAATCCCACAGATCTTTCCTTGGGGGGTCTTGCTACAAAAGTGCAAAAGCAATCTGACCCCAATGCCCATCCGGTGTTAAAAAATTATGGCCATTAAATGTCAACAAATTCTGTGCCATGCCCAAGTATGTCTTAGGGGTCAACACTACAGGATGGCCATCCACAACTGCATACGCCTTCAACTATAACAAGATTGGTCTCCTTTTGGGGTTTGATTCTACTTTTCAGATGAGCACACCTGTCCCATTCATATCAGAGTTTCGCCCAGGGTAAGCAACGTGACAAGAAGTCCACACTGTGTATGTACAGTACTGTAATTATACTGTGAGAAATGTAGAATGAAATAGATAAATATTGAACCAAACACCAACAAAGCACACTGACAGAATTCTTACCTTTTGTGCGAGTAATATCCTTTATCCGCTTGACAGATTTAAAATCTACAGCTCGAGACCAGGACACGTGAAAGGAATCACTGGCCTCTTGGCTTGGTGTCAAGGAAAAATCTCTTTGTTTCTTCATAAGAAGTCTTTTAAGAATCACAAAAGGTCCCCTGTAGCAGGCACAAAAGTAAGTAGCTAGTCGTCCCAAAAGAAAACACTGTTTCTTGAGATAAATCGTCTTGTAATCAAGGGATTCTAAAACAACCTTCGAGCTAGGAAAGATGTCAGCGAGGCTCTCATGAATTTGAAAGAGTACCCCTGTATCTCCTTCATCAAAGTTTGGGAACACTAGAATTCTCCATAATTTTTCAAGATTGCAGGTGTCTAGCACCTCCGCAATTCCTGTTAAATCGACGGGCATCAATGAAGATTTCTCTTTTCTTTCAAGAATATAGCCGCTGATATTTAAATTGCTAATTTCCTTCCATCCATACCCGCTGATTATCCGAATAGGAACGTGCTTGAATTTACCCAATGGCAAATTATTACTTCGCAGTGGCCCTTGAAGAAGCAATTTCTCTGAAATAAAATTTTGAATTTCACCCACAGATATAACACCCTCAAAGGTAAAGAAAATATTCGATACCGGTGTAGTATTTTTCGTACTTGCCAAGTTGACGAGCCACACTGCGTCCGAGGAGGACATTGTCCTCAACATCCCATCTCGGTCGTTCCGAAGGCTACAAATCAGAAGGGTTTTCCTCACACAGTAACACACAGGAACCACAAGAATTGCCACACAAATAAACAAAGTGAAAAGGATCGTGTTAATAACGCAGTGCGCCGTGAAGAGAAATACCCTTAACAGGAAAATGCTCTCGCTGGGGTGAGTCAGCCTTTTGCTTTTCACGCTCTTTGAACGATTATTGTTTTCAGCCAGTATTTCAATTGGAGATGTCTGATTTAAACGTAGACTGTTTCGTGGAGATGCCCAGCATCCATCGTTTGTTGAGCGCATACTCTCTGTACGATCAGGACACGAAGATGCAGCCATTGATGACAACGTGGGATCCTCTCGCCCTCGAAGTTTCGTCCTCACGAGTGGCCATATTTGATCGGTATTCTTCGCTAATATCTTGTCAGTACAAATTGGTAATCAAACCACAGCGAGAAATAGCGAAATAAGGTAAAAATGATCATTCTCTACCCTTCCTCCCAGCTTTAACCCTTCAATAGTCGATATTACGGAATACTATTGCCCTTTCGTTTCTCGGGAAACGTCGCCATGTTTGTTTTTCTTCCGCATCCTAAAAGAATGAAAACGATTGGTTGACTTCCTAAAACAAGGGCTTTCATTGGCCAGTGATTTTATCAAACAGCCGGCGCGAAAAAAAACGAGAAAATAATCACGAAGAGGTGAAATAAATTAACGAGTCCGAAACTTTCATTTATTTTATTGAACTGGTGACAAGTTGACGTGACAGAAAGTGTCTTCATTTTACTAATGCTCGCGTTGGACTGTTTTCCCAAGGAAATGGATTGATTGATGCATTCAAAAATTTGAAATGAAACAGCAAATATTAGAACATTCACCAGACTGCGTCGTTAAGAATTAAAGGTATCATTTTGTTATTGTTTTTTTTTTCTTTGTTCGCTATCTTCCCTTTATCAAGAAAACGGAGTGATCAATAAATGTTCAACTAAGAGATTGGACTCGCCCTACTGGCAGTTGGCAAACAAAATAATTTCTGTATTTTTTTAGCATTATAATAGTACGTTTGAACAATTCTCAGCTTGAGCTTTGAATTGTTAATTTTTTTAGGTATATTTGTAAACGCTAAAATATATATATATGACCTGAAACCATACGTTCATCACATTTGTGAAATGATCTTTTAAGTGATGTCGTAAAAGCATTAAATTTGGAGCAAGATATTGAAGCTAAAGTAAAAAGATTGACAACAGAAACGCAAATTATCTTCTTTTAAACCTGCATTATTTATAAGAACTAATACTCAGTACTCCGGTCCAAAAAAGCTTTTACACTTCACGGTGAATGCTTAATTAAGATTTCACAATCAATATTTGCATTTATTTTTTCTGCCTGAAAGGTACAAAGCTGGTGTATAAATTGTTTTTGAAATGAAGGAGAGAATCGTGGGAATTACAGTGGAATCCCCGCTGTTAAGGAAAAATAACTTTTTTAAAAAAAAAAGCAGCTGCGGGGAAAAATATTATATCCTGATATTTCCTGTATTTCCTAAACCTTTGGGGAAGCCACGGGTATATTTTGTCATGCTGATGCGTCGAAAATCTCCAGAGTGATTTGATCAGTGTAATTGCTTTGGGAAGAAAAGTACAATTCTCACCAAACTATTGCCAAACTAAATGATCATTCCCATAATGTGCAGCTCATAAACCACCGTAATAACAGGAGGGCATTTTGCATGCGCATGCGTGAATCCGCTGAACAACAATAGCGTGGACGCATCAAATCTAATAGCGGGAAATCGAAAACTCGCGCGTAAAGTTGCAGGCCTTTTAAAAGCCATTTCGTTGGTACTTTGAATACCGTACTTTCCTACAATCGGACGTTTTCTACGCGGGTTTTCACTTTTAGATTTTTCAGCAGTAGGTTTTCTTGGCCTTTTAAAGACTTTCAAGACTCCACGCCAAAAAGTCATGTTCCTGTATAAGTCTGATTTTCATTGCAAAGCAATGCATTTCTATGGTTTGATTTCCGAACTCGTGGTTTTACTTATCAGGGAGGAAATGCATCGTAGCAATGTTCAGCTGCTTAATTAAGACAAAAAGCGAAAAAATAAAAAAAATAAAAATAAAAATAAAAATATTACCACGCGAGGTTTATTTATTAGCGCGATGTCTCATGTTAAACTGATCGTAGAGACACGCGCTTATATATGCCACAAAACATGAAATCTATGGGGTTTTTACACTTTTTCGAAAGTTTTCGCTGAAAAATTTATAAAAAATATTCTATAGGAAATGAAGAATGGATTGAGTTTGAGACAGCAACAATTACAGGTGATTATGTAGTACATAATCACTTTAGCATTTCATAAGCTCAGTTGCAGACAAAACGAATGCACATACTTCGAAAAAACGAAAAGTACTTTTATTTTTCTTTAACTCTAAAAGATACACAGATTTTCCTAAGCTACTATTTTGAAGCGACTCTTGAGTAACAGCTCCTGTGTTCCACAATCGATTTCTTGTTATTAATTTATATTTGATGACAGTAGTGATCCATTCAAAACAGAGAATGGCCATCACTCCATAAATCTAACTGACGATGTTGCTCACCTTCAAAGCCTGTTTAAAGTAAGACAGGAAGTTTGTTAAAGGGGGCATATAATGCTGTTTCCTCAAAAAATAAACACTTCTGCTAAACGACCAAAATGAGCTGGGATGCGACAACAAACGTGACACAAATGGATGGATGAATTTGTCTATTATTAATGTTTCTGTTGAGAGCTTTTTACTGTATCCAGATGAACCCCTTATGTCAGTTGTACATCATGGAAGAATTATCAAACAGAACTGCTGATGCATTAAACAAGAATGTGGTTCATTACAGAGGAGAAGCTGGTCTCAGTCAACATCCTTCGTGAATGAAATGTCTCACAAATTAGCATATCAACAAATGTAGTATCCACAAAATAGTATCATTTAGAAATAAATGCGATTTTTTTGCAACAGAAGCCAGGATTTATTCAAAAGGTGTATTGATAACGTTTCATTTCGTGCTATTTTGGGGTTGGGGAGTTAGGCTAGATTTTCTTTAAAACGCCAAAATGTTATATTTATTTGCATAAGAAATGTAAACAAACAGTGTACCATCAAAATAATGTGGAAAAAAATCAGAATTCAAACCGATTGGCGTAATTTTTTTTCCTTTGTATAACTAAATGATAGAATATTCTTATTTTCAGACCACAATCTTACTGGCATCATTATATTGATTTAAATTTATAGTTGAAGTGCGTGTATTTTATTTCTTAACGAAGACGTACCGGAGAAGAAAGCTAAAATTACTGCAGAAGGCGATTTTTCACAGCCTTCATCAAAGCGCCATTCATTTGCGGAAGTATTCTTAGTTTCATTAATCATTAACTTAATTTGGGGAGAAAGGCAAGATTTCGAGATAAACAAGCCAGAGAAAGGGCGAAAAACAGTTTCACGCCAGAATGGACACTTAATTAACCGCTGTATTCCTGAAATGATTAAGTTCGATTTTAGAGTTATACTAATGAGAAGAATTAAGTATCTATAGGATAATTGTTTAACGAAAAACTGTCATACTGACCTTTTCCTCCTGCTCAAAAAATGTGCGCGAAATGTTAGGTGGTAAGAACATTCAGCCGCCATCTTGTCTTCGATGCACTGTTTTACGAAAGGAAAGACTGTCCTCTCAAGGGCTACAGCGAGTCTACAATAAACTCACTTTCATCGTAGAAATACCTCGATACCTTAAATAACATGTTTGTGGAACGTAGCATCCAATGTACGTCATTCAGCTCCAGAAAACAGCCTGAAAATGCTGGTACTGAACGTAAACAATTCACAGAAAGTGCCTCTGTGGCACTTCAACAGCCCCTATTGACGCATGCGCATACAAAATGCCCTCCTGTTCACCGTAATAGCTTTCTAAGGTGCCCTGAATGTTAGACGTTGATTGCTTTCATGGGTTAACGGTTTTCTATTACACTGCAAGAACGGCATAAATGTTCCTGCGAATAAAAAATAAATCTCATGTGGACCCATGTGTTCTGACTGGTGCAAACTTAGTATTCATATTGTGGACTGCCTAAAAATAAATCGTTAAAATTATTATTATTATCATTATTTTGTTGTTGTTGTTATAAACAATCTTATTTTAATTATTCGTCAGTTACGCATTTCGCATAACACAATTTTTCCCCAAAACAATCTGGCTTTGTCTTGTTTTAAATTCCTTTTTGGTACAGTATGTTGCCCGGTATTCGGACACTTCAGCTTAACATTGCAATAACTTTCCTTTGTTAGTTGCAGGAACTCTGAAATTTGGCCCAGAGAAAATCTATTTAGTCCTTAATATGTCAAAAGACAGTTTAACTTTTTTGCCTTTGTTTCCATTGCGAAATTAATATTTTTGCAGAGCTCCTATGTTGCCTTGTATCCGGACAGCTGGCCCAGTATCCGCACACAACACTAACAACGTAATTGTTAATTAATTTTCCACAGGCAAGCGACTTATAAGCTTCTCTTGCACTTGCAAAGTAGTCTGGCAATCGATTCCAAAAACATAACCTAGCATCGTGAAATAAAACATAGCAAATGACTGGGGTGTGGTGGGGAACGCGAGCGGTTGTTAAATAGCAGACAATACTTACTTCCTTGTCTAGGAACTTTTTCACTGAATTAAGGAAGGCATCCGTGGACATGCCGAAGCCGCGGTTTGCTAGCTCAATTAGCCAATCTGCAAACGACTTTTTTTCTTCATTTTTTGTTAAAAAAAGCTTGGGGAAGGGACCTCAATGCGACGGTCAAAGGTCACTCTCCCATTTAGTCTGACCTGTAGTGTTGATTTCTTCATGCTCAGTCCCTACAGACCCTGATAAGCCTGCTTTTCTAGCACTAGTTCCTCCTTCTTTCACATCTCTCAATCCCTTTGTGACATTTTTCAAACCGTCGCAACCCCATTCTAGCAGTCCCAACTAGGGAAAGTATCACAATTCCAGGGTCAACTCCGACGCTTTCGATTAGGGACCGGTCATAAAGTACAGGGGGAGGGTGGGCTATGAAAAATTGGGGGGGGGGGGTGACTATTTTTGAACAAGTTAAAAAGGGTGGGTCAGGAAAAATAATGCACTGCAGTAGGGGTGGGTCATGTTAAATTATTTACATATCACTACAAGCGTTAGTAAAATCTTTTTTTAACAATAAATCTAATTTTCCACATTAATCCAACTTTATATGACAACAGGAATTCACATATTAAATATTTTGTTTCTATTTATGTACGGTCTTTAAATCTGAAGAGTAGTCACGCGGGAAACTTTTTGTAATATAAAATCTAGAACAAAGCTTTACTGTGTGTTCATAAACCTACAACTTATGTTAACATCTTTTTTAATATCTTCGTCTAATCATCTTCAGTCATCACCATTACCATCACCCTCAGAAGCATTACCATCCTCCTCCTCCTCGTCCTCCTCCTCCTTCTCATTATCATCATCATTATCATCATCATCATCATCATCACTACCATCTATAGCACTCAATACAACTGGTGATACGTT